GGTGAACCTTTTTATTGAGGTGTAATAATAGCGTGATTTTCGCGCAAATTATGGTTTAAGAATCCAAATGAATTATTTTCATCTTAACGTAAATCATAACTCAAGATAAGTTATGCAACCCAATGTTCACATAATATATATGTAGATTTGCAAAAATTTTACTTTTTCATTTATTAAAAAAATCTTCTTTCTCTTTCATTCTTGGTCTTTAATTATATAATAAAATCGTAACTAAGCCGAATCTGTATATTTTTTGGAATTTTTTATTGAAATAGACTTTATTATCGATACAGAGGCCGAATCTATAGTTTTTAGAATTTTTGCCTGTCTGTCTGTCTGTCTGTCTGTCTGTCTGTCTGTCTGTCTGTCTGTCTGTCTGTCTGTCTGTCTGTCTGTCTGTATTTCTGTCTGTCGGTTTGTCTGTCTGTCAGTAACCGCATCACGGAAAAACCACTGGAGGGATTTTGATGAAATTTGTTAACTTTTTAAAACTTTTTACCGCGGAAAAATATCTCATTTCTGAGAAAAAAAACAAAAACTGCATTGTAATAGTATACTAATATGTAAAACCTAAGAATTAGGTTTTTCTCATTTGAACGCGGGCGGAGCCGCGGGTAATGCCAGTTATATATATATATATATATATATATATATATATATATATATATATATATATATAGCAAGACATCGATTACACGTTGCGTAATTCGGGAAGATTATATTTTTGACGGGAATAGAATAAACAGAGGTAGCATATGTACAGGTTCTTATATTTAACCTAGGAGTAATAGCCGCTTTTACCTCGCTAATGCAAGATTTGTTTACGGAAGTGTATTCCATCGCTAGCTGCATATTCTCGTCCACGTTCTTTCTAAAATTATGAATGAATAAACACGTAGTGGTAATTCATGTAGTATTTACTATTTACAATTTGATTCTTTATTTCATACAAAAATGATTATAATTTATATTCATAACATGGCAGAAATTAGATATTTAAATATAACTCATAAAAATATTTTTTTTAAGTTATACATATATTAACTTAAAAGTTTAAGTTAAAAGAACACATGAATAATATTATTGTAAGCTTCTTCAAGGATATCTGACTGGTGAATAATGAATAAAAATAAAAGTGTTGGTCGACGGCATTCCCGACAAGGTTCCAGTTCAATTAGATTCGTTAGATTATGCCAATTACTGATTTTGTACTTGAATTATAATGTTACTGCCTTTAAAGAATTATTAAGCGTGGACTTGGAACGAATGTTTTTACTATCTTTTTGCTTGTAAGGATTGTTTATTAATTATATGTATATTAATGTTTTATAATTACAGAAGTTTTGTAAATGTTTAATACTTTAAGTGTTATTTAATGATTTTTTCTTAGATATGATAATTACAATACTAACTTTTTATTTGATCAATTTGTTTTGATTTATATTTATTAAAATTATAGTGGTTTGGTAATTTAAAATTCGAATAAGGCAATTCCAACTGTACTTACCAAATAGAAATAACAATTTTAGAAACTGTTTTCGTTTTGTACTAACTAAATAAAAATATTATGAGATTTAAAAATGCATTTCTTTATCAGTCGTTTACGGTATATCCACTTTACAAAGCCTTGCCATATTTTTAGCCAAATAATTAGTATACGAGTATATGTATTTAACACGGTAGGCAAGTTTCAAGGTAGAGTTTAACGGGACAAAAATATTATATAAATAAATAAAAGTTAAAAATGAACTGTTTAAAAATTGCATATTATTATAACTATTTTGTGTTTTAAAGAAATTAAATTAAACATGCGAAAAGTAGCGAGCCAAGCCTAGTGTCCAACGAGGCGCAGCGAGACAGTGAGATGCGCGTTGCCTAGTAACGCGGCGTCACAGCGGCGAGCGTCGAGACGCTGCGGGCGCCAGTGCCTCTCCCGGCTCCGCACGCTGCGTCTTACGCTGCAACGCCCCACCCGAAAAATTACTCGAAACTTACGTGAAATGTTGTGATAGTATTTGTAACGGTGTAGCAAGTGTCGTGCTATCCTTGCCATAGTATAAATTTATAGTGATAGTGATAAAAATGTGTGAAACCTGAAATTTCTTTTATATTTAACATAAAATATTTGAATAAAAATATTCCATAATTTCAAATTTAACTGCACATTTTAACGTCGAAATATTACCTACTTTAGAAATATTTAACTGAAAATTATGCAGATAAATGTATTAAGATAAATTATATAAATACAAAACATGATAAAGAAGTACAAGCAACGCGATAGAGTTACATTATACAAGATAAGATAATAGACTCTTGATTATTCTGCGAAATATTTATAGTGCGCCTTAGAGGCCCGTAATATTTAATTAACATTTACGTAAAATTAACATAGCCAGTAGCAAAATTTAAAAATATTTTTATTGTTCTTATATTTCTGAAAGTCGGTAGTACTAGTTCTAAAAGAAGGTATTAATCGAGCATATGTAGTAAAAGGTATCCTTCTGAGCGTCACGCATGAGCATTCATAGCACTGTAGGGAAAAATAAACAAAAATTGTAATCAAAGTGTAAGAACACAGATTGTCTGCAGTTGGTGACCGTTCACGCCATACATAACGCTTTCTTATTTATATGAGCTTCACCCCATAGGTTATTCACCCTCTCGCATTAGGCACGAGCTTATTAGGAAGGTCAGGGTTACACGTTTCTAAATCTAAAATTAGCTAAATTTTATTTACGGATCTAGAGTTAAAAATCGTTTCGATATCTTATGTGTATATTGTATTATCTATACAATCATAATGGCGATGTATGTTGATAAATTATAATACCTATATCATATCAATATCTTAAGTACATTTTATGTATTTAAAACACACATTTAAAATTTAATAAACTCAGAATTGCTATTATGGTTTCGAATATTAAATGCCGATGAAAAATTAGGAATTGTTATATCACAATGGACAATTTGACAATGTGCAATTCGTGTCGCGTATACGATACCGCAGTGCAGGAGCGCATGCCCCCGGCGGCCGACTATTTGTCGCTGATATCGTCAGGCTCTAACGCCTCAGCATTCTCTTCCCGCAGGATATTTTCTCCATTCTCATTATATATCCAAATTAGGAACTAGTATAATATACATTTATTCATATCCGGTTGTAAGAAATATATATGAATTAAGCGTTTTTATTTATAGCTTATCGTAAAATAAATATGATGTAATCTGGATTTTTACGGCTTAGAGCCACGCTAGTTGAAAAAATAGGTGCATGATTGTAAAACATTAATGCCCGATTTCACCAACATCCCATAAGCTACCTACGTATGGGATCCCTAGCTTAAAAGTCCCCTAAACTAGCCCCTAATTTAAATTTCGTTTTACCATCGTCAGAGCCCGTATTTCTAGTACCTATATTTAGGTGGCATTTTAACATTTAGGTGTCCCATAACAGCCCCCTAACTATGCTTAGGGCATCCCTTAAACTTAGGTGACGTTGGTGAAATCGGCCATAAGACATTCAATAAGACATACAAAATTCCATCATTAAAGATGAATGTAGGATCAATTTGCGCGAACTTGAGGTGAGGATGCGTCCGCGAGTGCCGACTGCCCGCGAAGCGGAGGCGGCGCGTGCGTTGCATCGCCTAGCTTTTGCTTTGTGGCACGCAGCATTTTATCTGCAACGGGGTCCGACGCGCAATGCACGAATAACCTCTAATAATCGACAGGATCGGACAATGGTGTGTACATATTGCGTTGTGGAATACCAAATCCTAATGCAGAAGAATTAATACAAAGTCAAACGACTAAGTATATAAAATTTCGTTTAATAACGTAATTATAGAAATGTTTTTACTAACGCTTACGTTTTTTTTAATTGATTAAAACAAAAAAGAGTATGCAAATATTTGACTTAATAAAAATTGGAAAACTTTCTTTCTCCAATAATGTAAGCCAGTTACAACTTTAGTATTTTAAATAATCGGTTCCATCGACACGTTGACGGACGTTGATGAAAATCTGGGATCGTGATTGATGTGAAACAACTAATAAGAGTAAAAAGTGTAAGTGGTCAGCGCGGCGATGCTGGCGCTTTGCGTTCCGAGCGATCCGCTTCGCGATTAGATAATGCCAATTCCGAGGGATTCTCGGCCTCAAGATAGGCATCAGATTTTAATGTTTGCATTTTATTTAAATAGACCTTAGGAGAAACTTCATTTATTTTCATTCGAAAAGGTTTTGATATTAAGTTTTAAAAAACTTTCCGCTGACATCATTTTCACACGTTCATGTGTCTTATAGTCACTACGCTTGATCTATGTTTTGCTTACTTGAATATAGGGCTATGCATAAAAAATCTAATGAAAGCGTTTTTGAGAAATCACTTTTATGAGGAACTTTAATGAAATGTCATAAGGTGCGTTGCCTTACATTAAGGCAGCTCACAGCGTAATGGCAATTAGTGACGGAACCCTCTGTAAAAGCTGCAGTAATCACTTAGGCCACACCTTGCTTGATGCCATCATTTATCAGAAATATTGAGCTCGACCCCACACTTCACACATAATCATGATAACATCTGTTCTTAGTGAAATTAAAAAATATAGAATTATTAGAAATTATTATATACGTATATAAAATCATGCAATGCACGTATTTTATTTACAAAAAGAAAAATGAAATTTATATTCCAAATATTACATATTCTTTTTGATTTTTATGTAACAAATTTATTTGAGTTTGTAACATTAAAATGAAATGTATAAAATACATTATAAAACTTTCTCTTTAGTAGGTATATGATAAATTAGTGTTGTTTCTGAGTATCGAGAATATATCAACTATTAAAAAAGTATAATATTGTATTAATCTCAGTTATTACTGACATGACGCGTAAAGGTTTACAAAACATGTGATCATTTATTAATCAATGACAAAAATTTAATGTTGTAATTTCTGATTTTATAAACGGTATAATTACATTGTTTCAGACTCGTGCGGTGAGCGCCCCAGCATCTTCAGCCACAACCATATTTACCAGAGAACATGTTCGTAATAATGATTAACATTTTTAATTAAATAAGCTCTAGCATCTAAGTTTAGTGCCTTTTAATCTTGCAAGAACAAAAGTGCTTAATTTTAGTACCTAAGTTTATTTCCTTTTATTCATTTACTTTTTTTTAATCGTAAACAAAGAAATAAAGCGACTCGATATACTTCTTTGTCCTGTTGTTAATACATTTATATATTTACTCCAATTAATGTTATTAGTGTGCTTGTTAATCCGCTTAACTTCATAATAGTAGAAATTACTATTACTCTTAGTGAAATAAACGGATTAGTTGCATTGTAAAATTCAAAACGCATTGCGTTTACCTACTTGCGCCTACGCATAGCTTGTGTCACTTTCACAGAATTGTGTCGCGCCTACGTCTCGAGTGTTTGATCTCCCATAAACATACTTGAGTTAATCACGGCTTTTCTCTATTTACCGTTTCATTTTCAAGCAGATCAAATTTAACTATAATTATAGACATTTGTAGCTTTACTCACGATTTATTATCATAACATTGTTGTAAAATACGACTGTTATTACATACATTTCATTTTATATATTACTAGCATTGCCCGCGGCTCCGCCTGCGTTCAGATGTCCAAAAACCAAATTCTTAGATTTACTCATGAGTATATTCTTACTCTATTCTTACTATTTTTTTCTCAAGGATGAGACTTTTCCCGCGGTAAAAAGTATCCTATATGTTGACCAGGATAACCAGCTATCACCATACCAAATTTCATCAAAATCCCTTCAGTGGTTTTTCTGTGATGCGGTAACAGACATAAAGACAGACAGACAAAAATTCTAAAAACTATAGATTCGGCCTCTGTATCGATAATAATGTCTATTTCAATAAGATTTTCCAAAAAAATATTTAATGTGCAGATTCGGCTTATTTACAATTTTATTATATGTATAGATGACAACACATTATGCATTTCTAGGGAGGAATTCGTTCAGCAAGCTATCCTGGTCCCGGGGGGCCCAGCTCCCGGCTAGACCTTTGTTACGTGGCAGAGCGTATGCTGGCGCTGCACTTGCCGGAGAGGGACGCGCAAGCGGAAGCGCAGGCTGCACACATGCTGAATAATAAGCACGGCGAACATTACATGGTTAGCACACATTACATACGAGTATATCTTTGAATTTTTAAAGATTGGATGATAGTTTGCACTACATGGGGGCTTAAATAATTATATGTCATCCTATAATCGTTGAATAGAAATTTTAAAAATTAAATTGAAATTACTAATTAAATCGTTATGTAGAATAAACATAGAATCATAATATGTATGTAAATATCTCATATATTCATTATTATCTCATATATTTCATTCTTCAACGATTATAGAATATTTTGACTAAGACCCCATAGTTTCTCAATGAACCTGATATCAGCACTGACAACTGAAAGTCGAATGACTTAGTTGAATTCAGTGACTTTTTTTATTATTAACTAAATATTTATCTATCACCTAATTGATGATGGAGATACCATGAAAATCATGATAATACAAATATTAAATCATGATAAATAACATAGCTTATAGGTGCATTATAAATGGTTAGTTTAATACAACCTTACCAATATTTTGGAAGCAGACAAATATAGAATAGTAAATCAGTTATATAAATTAGTAATGATAAAATTCATTAGATATCATAAATTGAATTGAACTAGAAGTTAAATATTGAGTTTTCTGCCAGATTTAATAATATAGTTGCGCTTGGAAAGATAAGTTATTATATAATTACTGTTTAATTGAACTTACACAATTATAACAAAAGAATATTAGTTATATTCTGACGAATATATTTGTATATAGGTAAATATAAATACGAGTATATTTGCCTGTTTGTTTGTGACGTATGCGTATATCTGGTCTATGATATAATCTATTAAATATAACCTGTTCAGCTGATTTCAACAAAACTTTATTAAATTAATTGCATGCCCACGAGTGTTATTGTTACCTATATACTGATGTAGAGAGATATGCACGTACAAAGGTCCCTAATATCCTGGAATGAATATTGTATGTATTATTCCAGGTATTCGAAGTAAGTGGCGCTGATGGCAGTGATGGGCGAACAGCGAGAAACGTGTTCAGTCGCGCACGCTCGCTTGGCTGGCCGGGGGAGCTCGCGCCGCCCCTTGAGCGTCTGTGCGCCGCTTGCAAACACATTGAGAGCTGGCTAGCTGCACATCCCAAGAATGTTGCAATATTACTAGCCTGGTATGTTCCAATATTTTTTATCTTTTCTATTCCACAAACCATCTATATTTATTTTTTCACAAGAATTAGATGCAATTTATGGTTTAAGATTCATGAACTAGACCTAACTTTGAAACGTAAAATAATCTTTATTCGATTATTTACAGGGGAAATCGTGAACGTCTCGGAGTATTGGTGGCGGCTTACATGCACTACTCGGCTATATGCGGGGCGCCGGAGCATGCACTGGATAGATATGCGATGCGACGCTATCTCGACGATAGAGTGCCAATTTTCCACCTACCTTCGAATAAACGGTATTTAATTAGAGTACAATTGTAATTGGTATTAGTACAGTAAATTGTATAAATTATGATCAGAAAATGGGGTCAAAGTCTATTACGTAAATTGTTATTTACCGCTAGATATTGACAATACTTACTATTATTACCTTGTATGTTCTAAGCAATTTATATTTAAAGTGAGGCACAGTGTTACACACCAAATTGGAAGCGACATATCGTTGGCACACTATTACAAGGTTCTATGTTACAATTTTAGTACTTAGTTATTAATGCTACAAGGTTCTATGTGTCATTAGCCATAGTTTTGCAAAAACAAACCACTAGATGGCACTATAACTACAAAATAATCAATTTTACATAGTTCTACGTTGTTTTTTTTACGATAGCAAAATAACGAAGTTCTATGTAAAAATTAATAAACTTCATTAAAATTAACATAGAACCTTGTAATAGTAAGCCAACTATTATGATAGTGTTTATAAATTTAATTTTTCCTTCATTGAAGTAATAAAAGCTAACATTGTATTGTTCACACCGTAATTAATAGTCGTTATTTTCATTCAAGTTATAACAACTAGAAATAGCAACTAGAAATCATGGTACTCCAAGATTTATAATCCTATAAAAAGCTAAGCCACCTCCGGCTAATCAGTATTCCGCTTCGCCACACTCGGGCGTCCTAATGAGCCGGTGTGAGACTTATATGTCATAATAGGGAATATATACCTCTCCGGCACTACAAATATTTCGAAAAGTGTTTTATAGTATAGGGTACAGACTAATAAAATTGAACAAAATTATTCTATATATTATTATTGAAATAAATTTCAAGGGATTTAAATTGTAATGTCAAAAAATAATGGAATATACGGGACTTAGTTTAAAATTATTATAGATCTTTCGTTTTATTTCATATTATTATTAGATAAGTAGTAAAGAAGTTTCATTATATATAATGTTCATGTTCATCATTTAACCATTTATATTTTTTCTAGATACATCGACACGTTTGCGGGCTTACTCGCGGGTCAAATCCGAGTGAATGCAGCGCCGCTACACTTAACGCACGTTAGCGTGGCGGGTTCACTCGCTGCGCCCACCGTCCCTACGATAGCCTTTCTTAAAATATACGAGAACTATACCTGCGTATATACTTCGGGTAAATAAAAAACAGTTATAAAGATGTAAGTAAAATATTTTTACATAAACACTAATACATAATAATATTTAACTATGTTTTCCCAGGTCTGTATTTGGTGAACGGTGGTGGCTGGACTGTGGGCGTGGGGCGACTGGCGCTGCGCGGCGACGTGCTGGTGCGCGCGTACCGGCGGCCCGCGCACGTGCAGACGCACGCGCAGGCCACACAACGACACCTGGTCTTCGCCTGTCAGTTCCACACGTGCGCTGTCGCCGACCACACCCTCTCTTTCACTAAGCAACAACTTGACCACGCTGTGCACGGTAATTCTTGGCACGCGCCCTTCCTGCTTCTATTAAATTGAGCGTCTTAATAACTCACCAGTAATGCACTATAAAAACTTAGTATTTTATTACTGTCAAACCTTGTAAATATTTCATTGAGAATGACATAAAAGACCGTCCTAAAGAAAAAAGTACACACAAACAAAAAATAAACTCCTAAACTTTTTCCTTTTTTCTAGCTTTGTTTTTTTTTAATTTTTAGTATTTTAAGTTTTTATCTACCATAAAATATTTACTATCTCATATAGAAATATAACATAGATTTTGTTAATACGATTAAATTATAATCCCATCCCAATATAAATGCAAAATTTTGGATGAATGTTTTTTACTCAATCATGCCAGAACGGCTCAACGGATTAATAATAATAATAATAATAATAATAATAAAAGTTTATTAGCAATAAGTTTTGACATTAAATTTACACTAAGCGCAAAATAAAGCTTATTACAAATTATGCTACTTACATCGGTTTGTCACTGCCGACTGTACTAGGCCGAGCCTGTATTACAGACGACAGTTCCTTCCTCTATGATACAAAAGGATTGTCACTAAATTATCATTAAACATTATCACTCATATTTTTAACAAAAAGCCACACAATAATTAAATGACATTACAAGGTCTGTTATACTTTAAACATTGATATTCTACATTATTAATATTTTTTACAAGTACCGCCATAAAAGTTAAATATAGCAGTAGTTAAAGTTAGACCACTAAAAATAATGACTTAAGCCAAATTTTTAATATAGTAGTTTATATATTTTTTTATTTAAGTACCTAGTTTTAAACAATATGATTTTATGTAATAAATTTTTCTGCTTTAATTATTTAGGTATTCATGGGTAATTCATATTATTAAATTGGTTAATTAACATTTAACATATTAACATGATAAGTCATTTGTGTGGTGTGTGTTGAATGTTTAAAATGTGAAAATATGTCTGAAATATGTTTTTTTATATATGTATAATATTATGTATAATTATATATTTTTTTATGTGTGTACTGTGTTGTGTGATAGATACGGGTGTGTAAGTTAATTTATAAGCTTATGAGTCATTTATCATTTATTTAACTATAGCAAATAATTTTTCTGTGTCATCATAAGTTAGGTTTTTTAACCACTTTACTATGATATTTTTACATTGGTAAGTGTTAAGCGGGTATATATTAAGAATTTTATTCAATTTATTATAAAGAGTGGGACCTAAATAACAGTTGTAATTATGGATGAAAAATGTTCTGTAGCGGTTTATTTTACATACTTTATGCTTCAATCTATTTATTGTGAGACTATGGTCATATTCAAGTTTCCGATGTTGATCTATTATTGTATTCCTTATGAATAGCTGCCTGACAGAAAGGACATCGCATTCAGAATATAAATCTGTTGTTGGGTAACTAAATGTCATGACTTTTAATATCGCTCGTTGAGCTCTTTCTAGTTTTAACAGATATGTTTTACAAGCTCCACCCCACGATGTGATACAGTATGTTATTACTGACTCAACCAAAGCGCTGTAAACCGTTTTTAGAGTACTAGTATCAGCCACGTAGCGTAGTTTTTTGAATACAAAAATTAACTTTCTTGTTTTTTCAGTTACGTCTTTTATATGTGCATTCCAAGTAAGATTTTCATCTAACAAAACACCGAGATAACGTATAGTTTTAGTTCTATTTAGTGTATTACATTGACAAGAATTCCCATTCCGACAAGAGTGCATTTGAATTTCGAAATTTTGTTCAATAGGTAGTGTCCGCTGAGTGATCGCAAATGGCATATATTTAGTTTTAGAAATATTAAGTGTAAGCATGTTTTGATTGAGCCAATTTCTAATATGCCGAATTCCAAGTTCGGTATTTGTTTTGGCCTCAACCCAAGTTTTTCCATGAAATATTATTGAAGTGTCGTCTGCAAAGGTAAATATTCTACCATTTGTTATTTTTAATTCACAAAGATCATTTATATAGATTAAAAACAACGTGGGACCAAGTACACTCCCTTGTGGAACACCGAATATGACAGGAGCGTCACCACTAAATTTCCCGTCAATTGTCACTTTCTGTGTTCAACAAATAACTTTTAAATAAGTCCAGTATTTTTCCTCTAATGCCAATATTTTCCATTTTGTTTAGTAATATCGGGACAGATACTGTGTCAAAAGCTTTTGCCAAATCTAAAAATACGCCTATACACCTTTCTTGTTGATCTAGAAGGTTTGCAACGTAGTTAGTAAGGTCAGAGACGACTTGAGAGGAAGATAGACCTGCTCTAAAGCCGTATTGGTTTTTCGATATAATCGATTTTTTATTTAAATATGCTACAAGCCTTTTATTTAGTATTTTCTCAAAGATTTTTGATAATGCCGGTAATACAGAAATAGGTCGATAGTTATTGACACAGTCTCTGGTCCCCCCCTTATATATGGGATGGATAATGGATTGTTTAAATGCTTGAGGGAAAATGCCAGTTTGGATTGAAAGATTTATGATTTGTGTGATATGTGGGATTACAGTATTGCTTGCCATTTTAAGAAATCTTGTAGAAATGCCATCACATCCAACTGCACTATCTGTTTTTAAATTGAATAGGATAGATTTAACCTCTTGTTCTGTCGTATAATAAATTGCCATTGAGTCTGTTTGAACGTGTGTATTCTGTGTAAAATCGGTATTTGATGTAGTTGTATTTGAAATGCCCTCTGCAAGATCTTTAGCAATAGAAACAAAGTAGTTATTTACTTTTTCTAAAGATTCTTCTGGGGTGATCCCGATTTTTAACAACTGTGTTGGAGTTGTTTTAGGCTTAGATCGATCACTAATTTTATCAATTATTTTCCATTTTAGTCTAGGATTATTGGCGTACTTTGTTAACTCATTCCTGTCATGAATACGCTTCAAACGTTTCAGTAAATCATTGCAGAAATTTTTATAACGTTTATATGTAATAATCAATATTTCATTATTAGGATCCCGTTTGCATTTTAAATGCATTCGGTCTCGATTTTTTATACATCGAAGAAGCCCTGGAGTAATCCATGGTTTTATACAACGCATTTTTTTAGGTGTTATATAACTAAGTGTATTTTTGAGTATTAAATTTTGAAATAATCTAATTAGGTTTTCAGTATAATTATTAACATCTGTTGATATTATGTTGTCAAAATTCATTAATTTAAGTTCATCGAGAATAGCTTTATAATGAATTTTCTGTGAATTTGTGTTTTTCGTTATAATACTATTATGTTTCAATTTAATGCATGTTAGAACAGGGTAATGATCGGTAAGACTTGTTTCTATGACGATAGTGAGTGAAGGATGCTTGGCTTTGATCATTGAATGATCTAAACAAGTTCTATCTCTAGTTGGATAAACATGACCAGGTAGGAGCCCATGTGTTGCTAATAAATTTAGATATTGATCTGAATTTTTATCTATGTTGTTTTGAGTAATATCTATGTTCAAATCTCCAACTAATACAATGTTATTGTAATTTGACAAATCAGATAGTAGGACATCTAGAGATCTCAAAAAATTATCAATATTTCGTTCAGAGGGAGATCTATAGATGCCAAGTGCAACGGTATCAGTGCTTACTCTAATAAGTAAACATGAGGCATCCGTCAGTATTTTTTCTTCAACGATATAGCCAGAGCTTTGTTTTATGTATGCTATTACTCCATCATTTTGATTTTGATTATTTGTAGTACAGTAAGAGTCATAACTTAACAAGATAGGTGCATTAAGAATTTTTGAGTTCCATGTTTCAGTTAGAATAATAATTTCACACGATATATCCAACCTAGCTAACATGACTTGTAGCTGGGCGAAATTTCTATTTATACTTCTAATATTTTGTGTCAATATTTTCAGGTTTAGTGTGTAAAGTTGATTTGGATGGGCACAGAGATAGAGTGTAGCCTTCAATAGTATATAGTTTTTTATTTCGGAAAAATGTACGGTTCCCGTGGGATCGATTTGTTTTTGTTTCGTCACTAGGGACGAACCCGAGCGAAGCGAGAGTCAGTCGCTAATACATATATAATATCTCTTAAACATCAGACTGTAATACCAAAAACAGTGCACAAATTAAAATTGCCTATTTTCTCCAGATCCATCGTTCCCAAGCGACGGAGCAGTGGAGCTGGTGTTCGCGCGTGGAGAGGGCTCGAGCGGGGCCGCGCCCGCGCCGACGCCCGCCGCGCCGCTGCGGGCCGCGCCCGACGCGCTCGCACGCGCCGATTCGCTCGAACACCTGCGACCGCTCTCTGCACTTACCGATGATGAGCCCGGTAAGTTTTTAAGAAATGTTCCCCTACTTGACCTCATTGGTCACGGTGATATTGTGTATAAACCCCCTAAATTGAGCAGAAAACGACGCCTGTAGTTTAGAGTTTTGAGGCTCAAAACTTGATTGAAAGCGTTACCATTCTTAGATCTCATAAAGATAAAACATTGTACTATAATTAAAATGCTTATAGTTTAAATGTGAATACGTGACAGCGTTCACAGACAGAACATACATACACTTGAATACATACTATGTGTTTTTAGTTTATTTGTGTTGTTTTTATTTAAAAATATAGGAAGAAAAATGCACTCAAATTCAATACTTCCGTCTAATTAATTAACGTAATATCGATTATATCACATAAATATTAATTTTAACGCAAAAAGCAAAATTAAATAATTTTAATTAATCAATAGAAATTAATTTAAAATAATGAATTTGTTGCACAACCAATGTAACTCAATGACAGTCGCAGCATCACATAATCTAAAATCTGATCTCTGAATCATAAGAGAACTCAAAAACTATCTAAAATTCATTAATATAATAAATATTCACATCATAGAAATTGCTAAAATCGATCTGTATCACACATACAATGTGAATTGCCTTTAACCTACATTAAATTTTTAGATGTAGGTACTATGAAGTCTTATCTAATTTTTAACACTCAAAAATACTTTTTTTAAACTATATACTTATTTTTTAAATTATTTATAGCTTTATAATATAAACATTTATAAAATCTTTCTTTTATTTCGCATTGGAAAAGAGATATGTATCTACATATTACTCTTATGTTTATAAGATGACCCATACCCAATACTACGTTAATCGTTGTAATCTACTAGTTTATACATGACTCTACTCATGTCGATAAATCAATAAAAATCCAGTGTTAATCCAGAATATAAGCTATCTGAATTCAGAATTCTAAATAGTAATTTTTCGAGTGTAAAAAAGTAACAACACTCAATGACAATCTTTTCCATTTAAATATTAGTGTGATAACATTTATTTTTTTTAAATAAATTATATTGGTACAAGCCCAATGGCAATTTCCATTTGCAAAACAACAGAAACCTAAATATCAGTTTTTTTGAGTAAGCTTACATATAATTTTCATAATTAATTCTTTTTTGTATGAAACTTGACATTTTCAGTATTTAAGACACTTTGTCATGTCCTATGCGTTTATTCCACGATGTTAGAGTCGAATTGTATCACTTGTAAGATTGCATTGTTTGCTTTAATTCTAAGATACAAAGTTTGTTCGAGAGATTTTATCCTTAATAATCGATAGAGTCTATGCTCTATCGATTAAATCGATTAAATAATGATAGTGTACTTTTTTGCATTTTTATTTGGGTCGATTCCCGGTTCAGGTAAGTTTAAAAAATAATAATAATACAGTTATTATTATTTTTTTAAATAATGCAATGTTTTCTTTGAGTAAGTATTGCATTCTTCAATATTTAAGGAACTTTTCTTCCATGTCCCACCCATTTATTCCACCCTGTATAGAAGATAGGTAGTTTTAAGTGGGAATCGATATTGTGACTTTAAACCGATTTTTGGCAAACGAGTTAGGTATTGGATTAAATACAAATATTGCAATAAAGCCTTTTTTGTAACAAAATTATGTTAGAATTCGAAGTACTAAAACGTCATTTTATTAGCTTCACATCCGTTATTTGACGTTTATTTTGGTTAGGGTGTGAGTTGAACGTATGGCATTGCAGGAGCCATATGTTGGCAATAGTAATAATGCTGCTTACGAGTTAACCTTTCAGCATTGCGTAATATTTTCTCCAGCAGAATTATCTAATATTAGACTTGGATACTCCAATAAATATATTAAAGTACTCAAGTTAGTCTCCGTTATATAAACAAATGTATCGCATTATGCTTAAGTGTTGCAAATTAAGTCATTCTATACGAAAAGTACGCTCATATTATACATTGAAATAAACAAAAAACTGGAAAGAAATACAAGAACAATAAAATATTATAGATTCTCGTTTTATACTCACTTTTCCTCAGGTGAGGTTATTGTATATACTAAAAAATAACAATGGAAGGGTAATTGCGAGTCGGTCTACCGTGAAAGATAGATTATGTCAATTTAAACCCTAAGGTTCCGTTGTATTTTTCCCAAAAACCCATGATAATGATTATGATGATTTTCCTAAATATCTTTTAAATGATGTAGTTTTAAATTATAAAAAGTAGATTCGTGTGTTTTTATCAGATATAATGGAACTATTAAAACTATAAATAGGTACATTAAAAAACTTATACAAAAATAGAAGTCAAATTCAACATATTTCAATTACATAATTTAATTTATTAAAATTAATATATTAAAATTATATGTATTACAATAATTAATGACGGTAAAGAAATGAATACGTCCCACATTTGCATCGAAAAAGCGTCGACATGTCATTATAATAGTTGACAAAACTGTTAGCGGTAGCGGTAGCTTGTGACGCTGCAGGTGCAAAGCTATTTTAGTGATGTCCGCCGCGCCCGCCGCCCGCCCAGTCTCACGCCGACCCCAACCAGCGCGCACGAATATTGCCCGCTTTACTCTTCCTCTTTTATCAGTCATCGTGTTATCAAAAATAATAACAAAACTCAACATTAAGTACGATAAATAACTAAAAAATAAGTTACAGCAAAAAACATATGTACACCGCCCGTCTATATTGCTGATATTGTTTCTGGGCGGCAAAATATAATTTATCGGTAAGTAAAATTTTGAGAACATTGCACTTTTATACAGATATGAAAAATATACATATAGTGAATTTCGGTTGTGCTGGTGAAAATAGCAAGGTAACTTGAATTCTTAAACAATTGTTAATGCTACATAACGTCAAAAATAAACGAGCGTGAATCGTGTACGAGTTGAAAGACGTAACGAAATTAGTTCCATTATACTATAGTATATTTCATTTGGACAATGGCATTGGTTATGGAGTGCGCGTAATATGTCATGAGTGATCATAGCCCCATGAAACTGGCGCGGGCGCCTAATTGACCACCGTAGCGCATTATAGATGAATGTACACTCTCCAGTCTCCAGTCACCGTTCTTCACTCATTGTTTATTTCGTCACACTCTAGTTTCATTTAACACTGATAAATTAAATTTTATTAAATTAGTCATACTATTTGTATGTGCATGCGTATGAGCTCTACATGCTCACATCACTAATATAATCATGTAGATAATTACGTTAAAAGGTTATCTATCAACTGACTTCTAATATTTTTTGGGGATAAATGGTCCAACCGCCTGCATACTTATCGACAGAGTTGTAAACCTGTTTTGCATTACCATTTTATTCAATATATTTTGTAGGTATGTAGACTTAAAAAAATTATGTAGGTATATTTCATTAAAAATCACTTATTATTTTCTGTTCTTAACTAACATTTTAATTGATATAGTAACATTTGTACAATTGAAAATTGAAAAATTTAATAAGCATCACATGCATGATTCTTAGACTTGATTTTTAGACTTAGATTATCTGATTACTTAGACTACAAACTAACAGTGCACAGGAAAGTTGCAACACTTGAGCACGTATCGCTAAATGTGAGCTTTAAGGAATTAAATTGTAGATACTGTACGTGGTCAATAAATCTAAAACATTATTGTCAGTCTTCAGTGTATATAAAATTTTGTGTGATAACTACAATAAAGATGTAAAGTTATAGTTGATTAAAATGATAACACAAATAACCATAATAGAATGTGATAAAACTAGAAAAGTTTGGTTTACAAATAGTATTACTTTCGGCATGTACATAATTCATAGGTACATATATATCTACCAATGTTATATACTACAATGAGTTTTGACAAAATATTTTCTTTATTTGATATTATTTACTACAAATACAAACATACACACACCGATACAACTTTCGCATTTAAAACACTAGTGATATAAGTAGATACATCAAAAAAGAAACATTTGCTAAAAAGAAGACACCAACCGGTTATGATTTTTATGTTCGAGCAACGGACCTAAGGAACGGCTTGAGATATGGTTGAGTAATAACGCAGAGCTTAGAGTTTCGTAGAAACACAAGGTGGAACGCTTCGATGACATCATGAGGAGACGCCACAGCACGCGCTCACCTTCAAACGGATTACAAACTTACCTCGGCATTTATTTCAAATTTTAAAAGCCATCAATGGACATGTCAGCATCATAACTTTTTAGAGCACAAATCTCAGGGTACGCAACTTAAGACAATGTAAACGGAGTGAATAAAAACATGATAATCTCATAACAGAGAGGAGAAAAGTTTTATTAATGTTCTGTTATTACAAAGTAAATACAATATGGTTTTCCATGTATATCCGAGAGGTTATTATGTCGTTAATGGATCAATATTGGGAATCGTTTCATACCATAAACTTCTTGCGAGATAAAAGTTTTCTTAAAAACACAGATTATAATAATTATAACATTAGCCATATTTAACATCATTTTTATTACTGTTCTTATATAGAAAAAAAAATATCTTGAATTTATTTTAATATATTTTAGTTAAAAACTTTATTTATTATAATTAAAACATGTCTTAAACATATATTCGGATATTATAATATTTTCTACATTATAAAACGTGCAGATTAAAAACAATATATGTAGACGAGTTATACTTATAATTCATACTATTTTTTTACGTTTTTTCTTTTATCAATTAAGTTGAACAATATAGAACTTAACCCAATATCATGGTCACGCTAATTTTCATTAGTTAACGAACGCGCCTGTCATAAATATATCATCGTGACCTTTGTCTGTTGCTTCATTTATAATAGCTCTAGCTCTAGACATTTCGTGTACATGACAATGTGTTTTTTAATTTCTTATTTTGCAAAGATATTTTATTATTGTAAATCACCACGTCTTGTTAGTAGGTTGATTGCTTCACAAACTAGTCTCTAAGCACCTTAAACCAGTTCCGACTGTCGCAGATTATTCTTTGAGAAATACATAAATTAGAATAAATATAGTCAGTATATATTAAAAAGTTTAGTTATTTATTTTAAGAAATTTTTATTTATATATCAAATAAAACTCTAATGAAGTCAAAGTTGACTATTACACTAAATTAGTGGAAACATTTACATCTAAGAGATACAGGATACTTATTATTACATATCTACTAGTGAAAGGAACGATATCTACAATGCTTAGAATTTTTATTTGTCTTAGCGTGCATCATTTGAGGAGGAACGTCTGGACGGATTATTTGGGACATTTTTTATTATTAATGCTTCCATCTGATTTAAAAAAAATTGTCTTATAAATTGACCTAGCAAACAGCTTGAGCTCTTAGTCTTATAATTCGTACTTTGCAAGCTGTAATACAAAGTGTTTAGGCTTTAGCAGCGAAACTATATTTTTTGTTTTTACTAGCGACTCACCCGCGTTTCGCTCGGGTTCATCCCTAGCTTGGTTTCCCATATAAACTTTCATTCCGATTTTCACCCCTTACGGGATGATTTCCGGGATAAAAATCGCTATTCTATCACCTTCCCAGGGTCTCAAAATATCTTCTTACCAAGTTTCATCTAAATCGGTTCAGTAGATCCGGAAATTATCCTCTACAACGTCAGAAATTCACAAATTTTACGTCTTTATAATATAAGTATAGATTACATATATAAGATCTAAATAAAAATACAATATTAGAAAAGAATAGAAATCAAGCAAATTAAAATGAAATGGTACGTAAGAATTGGCAAGTCGGGCGTCGCGGTCACACATCCTCTTCCTGCGTCGGCAACGGTGTTCATTTCGTAATAGTAGCCCTCGTCTCGCGGCTGACGCCTAAATATGTTATTTCGGTTGACATCACAGAAATAACTGCATCTCCCTTAACATGTCGTCCCTAGCCCTGACGTTGATAACTTTATGCTAATTATGTTATTGACAACTTCACATTTAGATCACTTGCGACATACCATTGCATGCCACCGAGTGCCAGATGCTGATTAGAATGTTTATACGTCTTCTCAGAATCAGAAAAACTGAAACTGCTGTACACTTATAGAGCAGTATAATGTTTAGTTGCGATTAAGTAACTCATTATGCAAATAAGCAGAATGACAAGTCGACTTCGTTATTTGCATACAAAATACTCACTTGTATTTATCTGCGTTTTAAGAATTTTTCTTACTGTGGTTTATTTATATTATCGATATGTTTCAATTTGCATTAATAAATTAATGTGATATTTCATTGCATAATTGGAATACAGACAAATGTCATCAGGCAATTAATCTTTGCTATAATAACTTGCGTGTTAATTATATTTTATCTTAGATTGACGATATTTATAAATAAAACTTATGCCCGCTGGTATTATTAGAAAAAACTGAGATTAAGTTCAAATTATTTCTATTTATTATTTATGTATATTGATTACTATGAATACATAATAATAACAAAATCTGTGCTTTACTCACTAAGGTTGTTCACTTCCTTGTTGGGCGGAGTTGCCTTGAACCACTAATCTGTGTATGGAGTCTCTACAACTGTTAAACAATATCGAGGTTATCTGGTCGCAATCATGTTAAATACGCAAATAATTATATTTTTAAATGCATTCTACAAAATTCATATTATAATCATTATACTTTTTATAGAAAGGTTCATCTACGGAATATCGAGAGAATATGAGGCCAACAATAATCAAACAACATTAATTTTTAGACATGAAGTTGTATTAATAACTGCATAAATTCATTGATAAAATTTAACAGCTTTAGTATCATTCATAAATTCAATACTGATTGAGTCGTCATGTTCAGTTTAGTAAATAAGAAGGGCTCTATATGACATTCCGTGAGACAACGGTGACGACCGGGATACGGGTAACGGGAAACGTAAGTCCTTTTAAGGATGTTGTCCGGCTGTTTAGATAGTAACTGCGTTTCTACAACTGCTCTGTGTTAGCAATAAATGGCCAATAAATACTTGATTTTACTTGTAAAACATGAATTATGAATAAACGTGTATTTTGATTAAGTAAATTGATCTCATACACTTGATTTATTATTAACGTAATTAGTTTTAATACTAAATCAATATTCAAAATTGTACTTAGATTACATTTACACATAATTGATGACAGGTGACAATAACGGCAGCGCAGAGGGTTCAGGCTCGGGAGGGGAGGCGGGCGAGGGAGCCGAGGCCGCACACACGTTCGGACCTCTCGACGGGTCCATCTACGCGACAGTAGTGCGCGCGGGCGGCGGGCCATCCTCTCCGCTCAGCGCCTCAATGGACTCGGGCATCTCCTCAGCGGGCCGGCGCGCCGCCCCCAGTCCGCCCGACGAGCTGGACGCACTGCTGGGCGACATGCTCCGGACCGTCAGAGCCTTGCCCGATCCGCCGCCGGCGCCTCAGTCGCAAGTCGACCGCGCGCCCGACATACCGTACCACGCGCGCGCTGATTCCGCGCCCTTCACATACGGCGCCCCCGGCCTCCGCCCCGGCATGTTGCGCGCCTCCAACCGTCTCGCGAGTCCCGAGCTCGTGCGACGTGCTCTCGGCAGTGATCGAGGTTACAAGGCCATTGAAGACGATGATGATGAACGCACCGTCACCCCGGAACCATCACCACGGACACCACTGTCTCCCCGCACCCTACGCAAACTTACACACGACGACGTTACGACAACTACCACCACGACTCTACCACAAACAGATGCACCTGTAAGCAATGGAAGGTTAGTCACATTAACTAATACTATATCTTAATAAAAATTATAGTAATACGATATTATTATATGTATGTACATTAAAATAATCTATAAAGCAGCAGTAATTTTGCAGTGAAATAAAATGAAACTTTATTCAAATGGAATTATTACAAGCACTTTTGAATCGTCAATTCAAAGGGCTTCGGTGTAGTCAGTCCGTCAGGAATCTACCACCGGCTCGGAAAGCAGTTCTGCTGAGAAGAGCCGGCGAGAAACTCAACAGTTGCTCTTTTAAATATTGAAGTTACATTGATAAACATATTACAAATAGCCCGCATATGAGTCAATATATATTAATTCCACACATTTCCATCAACAAGAAACTCTTGAATAGTGTAATACGTTTTGCTCAATAAAATATTCTTAATATTATCTTTAAATTTTTGTAAATATATTTCCTTTAAAGATCTTTTTATAAGTAGTTCTGACATATGTCCATATTATATATAAGGTCGCTATTAATATAAATAAGCTGCTCATATTATACAGCGATACTATACAAATAATATCGAAATAACATAAATAAGTAATTTTTCGGAAATGAAAAAATCTGAAATTATTACAATTTGTAAACAGTATGTAGGTACTAATAATATGTCGTAAAGTTAAAGATAACGGAATAAAGGTCATCTGTGGATACAATGACAGATTGAAGAGTTAATGGATTTTGAGTAATTATTAAAAGAAGGAGAATTGGGTGGGAGATGTAAACATGTGTTCCTGTGTCGTAGGCGTGGAGGCCACGCGCCCGCCGCCTACAACTACATGCTGGAGCTGTTTACATTTAAACATCGATATTATATTTTTAGCAAAATCAATACCCATTAACCACCATACTATTTTACTATTCAAGGTTCTCTTATAAAAAGGTTTTAATCTTTACAAGCTTATATTTGACCTTCATTAGTAAACTGATTAAGGTTTTTAATGTAAATGTAAAATAATGTAGTGTTAACGTTTGTCCGCGGCTTCATTCGTGTTGTCTACTTATAATTTTATACGTGCCTAATTACTCCGCTTCTAAGGGTGATAACATAATGCTAGATGATCTTTATCTCTATTTGTATGACAATAGATTACAATAATATGACCATAATATTCCCACAACAGTTTAAAAAGTGTAGAACCTAATTCAGTATGCAGCTTACATAATATGTATGTACTTACTCGTACCAATATCTATATAAAAAAAGTTCAGAAATCATTCATCATCAATCACAAGTGTAAAAGGTAATTCATATCTAGTACCTACCCATATATGATATACAGTTTCTTAGTCTTGACCAAAGTAGGCATTAGATCCGTGAGAACAAACAAAGGCAGATAATATTTCGTCCAGTTTCGACACACTTGGTATCAAGCCTGACATGCGAAGCTGTAACATTGTGGCTGTTCTTTAATTTATTTAGCCGCGTTCCGCTCGACCCACTTCACTGTCAATGAAGAAGGGTAATGAAATATACCATAAGCAATCTGGTGTTACAACGAAAGGCGGCTAAATCATTTTTATTTCCATGCAATTATATTAGCAAGAACTAATAAAACGAAAAGTAATACGTGATCTTATAAACTCCTATTTAGTTAAAATAGTCGTTCATATTATCCTTCAATTAAAAAAAAAATACCTTTCAATTTAGAAATAAACAAATATTTGAAGATTTTTTTCTTAAACATCCATTATGTATAACTTTGTACCTCCAGTTTCTTCGTAAAACATGAATTGAATGTGAAGCGCGCAGTAAAGATTTGTAATTGTTATTATTGAAATGCAAAACAGAATTATATGTATAGCGGCTTTATACATAATAAAGAAATATTTACATATTTTTGTGCAAAATCAATAAATCTTTTACGACGATACAGGCTGTAATGTTGTTTGTTACTTATTATGATAACCCGATTTTCAAGAGTATTATCGCTTTTATCATGATTAAATAATTTTATCGCTGAATGAAGTTTGGCGTGTATTCAAATAAATTAGACTAAGTAAATATTTTCTGTATCAATTTTTATAACCTTACAGCTGGGTATGTCTAGAAGCATATACTAAACTCATGAACGAATTAGCCACAATTCGTTCATGACTAAACTTTACAAAGAGTATAATTTATAAGATAGCTAATTGTATTTTATTATATGTAGATACTAATCAACTATATATACTTTAATAAAGAAATCGATCCAATAAGATAAAACAAACGTTTCTTGTTAGTTTGAGAAGGAAACAATGACGTGAGTGGCCGCCCCCTTGCGGTAATAACAGTAATTTACCTCTGCTCTTGTTGACTGTGAATATGCAATATTATAAATATATGTATGTACTTACGCGACGTATCTCCAGCCTCCGCGGGTGGTCGGTTATTTAAATGATTTTATTAAAATTATTTTGTTTTCATTTTATATATATTTATTAATATAAAAAAATCGACCGTCCTGTTTGCGATAACGACATTAGGAGAGTATCCTATTAACCATACATGCATAACTGCCTCGGTGGTGTAGTGGCTAGCATGTACGGCTGCACACTCGGAGATCCTGGGTTCGAGGTCCGGGTCGGGCCAAGTTTAAGTTTATAGTTTAGTAACACCCCGGAGTTGGGGAGTTGGCGGTGTTTCCCCCCCGTGCCTCGGAGAGATCGTAAAACCGTCGGTCCTGCGCCTTAACTCTCACTGGTCGTGTCGAGCAGTCGTCCCACCGGAGTATAAGAGAGACAGGAATAGAGAGTGCACTTGTGTCTGCGCGTACACTTGTGCACTATAATATCTCCTGCGCAGTTGGCTAGTCTCAATGAGATTGGCCGCCGTGGCCGGAATCGGCTAGGAAAACATCATCATCCTATTAACCCCTCTAAGTTATCCCCTAAATCCCTAAGTGGCTTATTACTTGTTGTTTTTCTTCACACCTTTAGAGAATTACACTTCTAGAGAATTGTGCGCTCTCTACATAAGCGCACATGATACATGAAGCTCACGCTGCTATAATTTTCTTCTTGGCTTTACAACATCTTGGCTTTATCTAAAATTATTTACTATAGATAAAACATCTATCGACATATTAATATGTTCATTTATTATCTTCTATAAAACTGCATCCTTAGTTTCATCCTCAAATGATTGAAAAATAATATTAAAAAAGTCCCAATAATAATTGCTTTGGCTGTCTATTTAAAGAAAAGAAAATTTGTCACAAAAATTACGAGGCATATAATCAAATCGTATTTATTTTGACTAAAACCAATACCATCTTTCTTTTCTGTACAATTTAACACTTGAAACTCAATCCGTACCTCAGAAATTGTTCTATTTTAGAGACAACGCCAATTCTGTTTAAAGAATGTACACTTTTATTGTTATCATTGGTTGTTATTCAATTAACGCCCACGCGATTTATACCACACGAACCCACGCTCAAACCGTATTACCTGCGATATTTTTTATTAAATAACCATTTAAGTATTTGATTATATTACTATTGTACTTGCAAAATAATAGTTTACGAGTTCTATATTTGAGGTACATATTATAAAACGTGATTTTTTGACTATCCTGAATAATTAACATAAAACTAACGAAGCCAAACAAAATGTAGAGACAAGAATAACTAGACTAAATATATATTAAACATACAATTATTTTGCAATATTCAGTACGAACACGTTATTACAGTGCGCTTGTGAATTATTTATACGGCACCATGGCGCCTTGCTGAGTGGTAGCTTTGACAGTTTATCAAAATATAAGCTCAGCAACTCTATTCTAAGTATTAACTAATTAATAGAACTTATAGTACCTATAGTTTAAAATGAAATCCGGTTGTGAACTCGTTAAGTTTAATTAAATACTAGTTTAGCGGCTAAACTTTCTAATATATAGATATGTATATATAATTTAATAATTATATATAAGATTTAATTGTATATAAAAAATATATTAAAAAAATACTATCATTTAAGGAAATAATTTTAAAAAAGTATAAAAATATTGCGTAGATATTTAAATTTTATTTTCGAAGTATGCTATCAAAATATGACATTTAATGGACACATTTTAATGAATAGAAGCAGCTAAATAAAATCGCAATTTGGAATTGGTGTAACGATGGCGTTTGATTGCGTCGCAGTCGTGACCCAAACAAGTTGCTATTTAGAGATAAACGTGGCCATAAATGGCTTGTCCGATCGTACAGCCTATGACGCAGACCTCGTAAACAGCCATCTACTTTCTAATGAATGCTGCTTTGTTAACCCCTCAATTTACGGATATGTCGCACATAATAAAGTACATTTTATTTGTAAGTCTCTTCTCATACTAAATGATTTAACTATTTTTGAATCCCTCTTAACTATCTGCACAAAATGTCTTTCAGTAATAAAAATGAATTAAATACTATAGTCACAATAAAATATAAAAGTCAATAAAAATGTTATTTAGACAAAATTATTTTTCTGAATAGATGGTTGAATGGTGACGCGGAATGGATAGATCGTCCACCTAGCAGTGCAAGAAAAACTGCCCCAGATTGTGGCACATGGCGCTCGACAAGTACAATAGAATGGCAAGATACTATACGTCGAGACGCAAGAAGATCTGAGGGAAATAATGTTGAAAATTCAGGTTTAACCTGGCTGCAGAGGCAACAACAAAAATTAAGAGAGAGGAAAGAAGCAAGGGAAAGAGTCGCTCGACTACCGCTCGAGTGGGACGCGCCTTCCCGACATGTGCGACGGTCGGCAAGCCATCGGTAATATAAAAATATAATGCATAATATGATTATGTTGTTTCGCATTCAAACATGTTTCTTACAAACTAAATTGTCGTTATCTTTTTCACAAGTTTTTCTGTAGAAGATTTTAATAAATAAGTATGCTTTTAGGATGGATGGATATACAAGCGACACTACAGCGTTCGCTGACGACGATGATGATTTTAGTGTACCTCTTCATGTGAACACGCGCACTCCTCTCAGGACTGATAGTATCAGTCCTCAGGCTCCAGACAGGTACTATTATTTTAAAATTAAATATGATATTTAATATTATTTTCGTTTCATTACGATGGCAATAATATTTTCTTATCACAGAACCTCATCTAGAAAATTCATGTATGAAAAGATGACGATGCGTGAATGGAGTACGAGCAGCACACCTACAAGTACCCAAGCGCCTGGTTTACTGTCACTTGCAGAGCCCAACAATAACGATACTATTGTAAGGAACTTTATTTATAATTTAATAATGTTTTTTTCTTGTGATATTTAAAAATCATTTCCACGAAACAGACTCGTGAGCGATCGGAGAGCTGGTCTCGATCTGATTCTCGGGCTGGCACTCCAGCATTCCCCACGCATCCACGCACACCCTACCCGCCCACGCCCACGCCTTCACTCAGCGCGCGCCCACCGCGCTCACCGACCGTCTCAAGGTACATTGCTAGTTCGATTAAAATGGCTACTCAATTCAGTTTGCAACATTGTAAACGAATTAATTCTGATTACAGAAAGGAACGTGAAGGTAGCCCAGAGTCAGAGTATCGTGTGTACAACGGCACAGGCGCAGGCGCAGGCACGGGGAGCAGCGGGTCGAGACGCTCCAGCGTTAGCACTACCGAACTGCAGCACGTGGCCCCAGACCGCGTCCGCTTCGCGAAAGATACTAGCCAGTATTGGTACAAGCCGAATATATCGCGAGATGATGGTTAGTAGTACCAATATTTTTTCCAAATTGTGTTAGTAGTGATTTAATAAGAACGCATCTTTAATATTATAAAACTTACTCTGTAAGCTTAATAATATTACAATATGTTTATGTTGTAATAATATTATAAAATTATTTATTTTTGTATTTGTTTGTTCGCTTGTATTACTTTTAACACACTTTAGTACCTAAACTCTTGATATAAAACATAAAATGAATAGGGATGTTTAATATAAATAAAATAAACACACATAAGAATAATGTCACAAATTCTTTATAATAAATATAATTTAATAACATAAGGACTTCTCTAAACATTCTTCTTCTTACAGCGATATCAGCTCTGCAACAATTAGAAGAGGGTGCGTTTATAGTGCGCGATTCTAACTCATTCCCGGGCGCGTTCGGCCTGGCGGTGCGCGCGGGCGGCGCGGGCGGCGTGCGACACTTCCTCATCGAGCCCACGGCGCGCGGCGTGCGCCTGCGGGGCTGTCCCGACGAGCCCGTCTTCAGCTCGCTATCGGCATTAGTGTACCAACATACTGTGACACCTCTCGCTTTGCCCGTACCGCTAAAATTGCCTGATAGGTGAGGATCAGTGCCAAAAAGTCTATTTAACTCAGCTACTTTGGCTGAGTTAAGATTGTCAGTTTAAGTTGTCCCTGTTTCTGAATTGTTGTTTGATTAAGCTATACATACATAATGCAGATTTATATTCTGTCATCAAACACGCAGATATAGACTAAAAGTGTTTATTTTAATATAAACGAAAATATCAAATATAAATTAATGTTCTTATCTTCTAATAGGTATATAAAATTCTCGTATGACAGTGTTTGTAACAAAATATCTCCGAAACGGCTTGACCGATTCTTATGAAATTTTGTGTGTATAATCAGTAGGACGTAAACTATTTTTCATACCCCTAAGTAATAAGGGTTATCCAGCCCAAACACTTTTTTTTTGTCCAAACCTAAATTTTCACCCTTCTACCACCAACCCCTATCTTTTAATAGTGATATTAGTTTTTACATTATTTTCTATTCTCGGAAATGTATACTAGCCGTTAAAACATATCTAGGGACGCTCCCGACGACCCGACGACTTATCAAAATGTTCTGTTACCAGGGATCCGTGGTCAGGTGGAAATGCAAGTGCCGCAGCTCGCGCGTTGCTGTCGACCGGCGCGGCGTGCAACGTGCTACTGTTAGGGTCAGAAAATACTGAAGCTCTTACTGGACCTGCTGCTGTTAAAAGGGCCGTGCACAATATTCTGCAGAAGAAGGTTAGATAGATGTTATTTATGTGTGAATAATAAAAATATATTTGATAAAGTTTCTATTCATCATTCGTTGATTATTAAACGGGGGCAAGTTATAAAATTGAATGCGATTAGATTTTTTTATTGGTTTCGAATGTAAGTGAGAAATGCTCCAAAACCTGTCTTTTACCGGTTTATATATAGAACCTAAAATATAGCTCAATTTTTTCATCGATCTAGTCCATACAAATGTTCAGATGAAACTTGTTGTTATGTTACACTACCAAACTACACTGGGTGACTAGCGATCATATGAATTTGATCCTGGACTAAGCTAAATAAAGTAATGGTAAAAAAGGATTAAATGAAACGAAACAATAACATATTATACCTGTATTTGCAGTCAGCATGCCACGTAGTGCACTTCAAGGTGTTCGGCGGCGGCATCACGCTGACAGACGCGGCGCGGCGGCTGTTCTTCCGGCGCCACTACCCCGCCGCCGCCGTGTCGCACGCCGGCCTGGACCCCGACGAGCGTCGCTACACTTACGTGCACAATGGAACACAATCAGAAAAGTAATTTTATACTTTAATTATCTATATTAGCTTTGAAGTACTACATTTATAATTATATTGTCCAGGTTAATTTATGAGGTTGCATGTAGATGGACTCCGGAACTCTGGTGCTGACAATTCTACCAGCAAAGTTTCTTAATAAAAAGTACAGTTTTTGCAATAGAGCGCCATTGACCAAGGTACCTACTAAAAAGAAAGGGCCATAAAGTCAAACCAACCAAGTCACTACGCTTTTAATAATAAGCTATACATCAATATTTTTCACATGATATAAACTATTGAGTACTCAACTCAAAATGAAATTTTCAAATGTTATTTAACTCTCAGGCGCATATTCGCATTCGTGGCGCGCGCGTCGTCCGGCGCCGACAACCAATGCCATGTGTTCGCAGAGCTGGAGCCCGAGCAACCCGCCACTGCAATCGTTAACTTCGTCAACAAGGTTGGCATAAGCTTTTAACCCTTTAAAAATAGTTATATTCTTAAAAACTGAGGAAAACGTATATTGATTGTAAGGTGGGACTCATAAAAAAGATTATCAATAAATAATATAGTAAGTAATATATTTTTAATATTTTTCATTATTACAGGCACTTCTTGGGAGCTCTCAGAAGAGGGATATCATATAATTTTGTTCCCACTTGATACATCCTGAATTTCCCAGTGTAACGAGAACTAACAATACTCACGTTTGAATTGATAAATACGACAAAAAACTGTTCGTATTCTCTAGATAAAATCACAATTTCGATGTTTTATTATTTTCCACTGATACTAAAAATTATTATAATTTAAAAGAGTAGAGATGGAAAAGTGTAATTAAATTCGGTGATAACTGGACGTGGATGAGTTGTTTTCAAAGATATAGTACGCTTCATAATCACCAAGTACATTGTACTGTTTATTTTTAATATAACAATAAATAAATATATATTATATTAAAATATTTTAGTATATAAAAGGAACTAACTAGTCTCATTAATAATTTAATATAGATTAGAGTCATGCGTGCCTAATATTACACTTTACTATTATATTGTTCTATGTACTACGATAGGCAAATACTCTAGAACATTATTAAATGTAAGTGAAATATAATCAAAGTAAATTAGATTGTAAAGGAAATGAAATACACAAGACGGGCTACTTGCCATCAAGTACAACGAACTTACAAACATTAAGTACAATAATAAAATCTTTATCATTATTTGTAATCGCCAAGTTCTTTAAAAATATTTTATTTACATTAAATTATATTAAGTGTACAAGTTGGCTTTTAAAAAGCCGACCGGAATCCAAATGATTTCAACACATTAACTTTAAGATATACCACGAATAGAATATTATGCTTGAATATTTGTTTTGTAAACATGCTTAAAAATTACAGTTGTGGTACACCTGTTAAAATAATTTGTATTTGCTATAAAACGCCTTAACAGTGATCTAATATATTGCTTATTATATACAATTTTATTTTAGTTTAACTGTACCCAGTAAATTTAATGTGTAATTGTAGATAAGGGATAACTGTTATCAAATGTATTTATTGGTTATAATAAATCATTTTAAATTACTCTGTTTTTTATTCATCACTCATTAAATATTGAATTTTAAAACCGAATTAGTCGTAGAAAGATACTTATGTATACATTAGCATTGCCCGCGGCTCCGCCCGCGTTCAGATGACCAAAAACCAAATTCTTACATTTCAGTATTTTTTCTCAAAAATGAGATATTTTCCCGCGGTAAAAAGTATCCTATATGTTGACCCGGATAACCAGCTACAATCATACCAAATTTCGTCAAAATCCCTCCACTGGTTTTTCCGTGATGAACAGACAGACAGACACACAGACAAAAATTCTAAAAACTAGATTCGTCCTCTGTATCGATAATAATGTCTATTTCAATAAGATTTTCCAAAAAATATTTAATGTACAGATTCGGCTTAGTTACAATTTTATTATATGTATAGATTATGTCATAATACTCGTACAATTGTTGTGATATAAAAAGCTTTTGCCGAAAAAGACCATGATTTGTGTAAAGTATGAATTTGCGACTTTAAGTCATAGTACTATATCGCATACAAAATTTATAATTTAGGTGGCGCTGGAGAAAAGGAATTTTCAAAAAAACTGGTTCTTGATATCATTTTTAAAATATAGAAACTTAAATTGCAATTGCTTGAGGTCGCAAACTCGGAAGTAAGTACACCAGACTGCACAAATGTACCAAATTAAAACTTTCCTTGACCGTTAACAGTTGTATGTACAGAATAAGGAACATACAATAAAGGAACTCAACATTTATTTATTTTTCATTGTTTAACTTTTATCTATATATTTAAGTTATTATTAATTTATTTATAGTTTTAAGATATTAGTATAACTTTTTTTATATTTGAGGATAACGCACTATAGTACACTAGTGTTGTTTAACTATTTTTAAGGATACGGGATACCATAATCAGATGCGAATGGGAAAATATATTATGCAAATCACAGTAATTTTAGGTCCTAAAGAAGAAATGTACAGGATCTAGACAACATTAAAAACAACGGATATATTTTACTTTTTAAACGACTTCCAAAAAGGAGGAATATGTATTTTGTTTATGTATGTTCATCAATTTCTCGGAGACGGCTTGACCTATTTTGCTACTTTAAACGGTATTGTCTAGTCATGGGGTCTCTACAAAGAAAAATTAGTTCAAAAAATGTCAACAGATGATGTTACATATATATCGATTTATTATTAATATTGTGTTAAATTAACAAAAGAAAAAAAATTGAACCCAAAAAGGTATATTTTTTTTAAATATTCTAAGAGAAGGGGAAAGAAATAATGCATTCGTAAATCAAAGCGTAATTTTACTAATAATTGAAATATCAGCAATGAAATGATGGGTTTGGTTATATTCCCAGATAGGGCTTTTACTTTTTATGAATGTTTATCACGGTTAAAAATGGTTAAATTTAATGAAATATTTGGAATTGAACGCAAAATTAATTTTACAATATTTATCATACGTTAGTTAGCACATATTTATAAAATAAAACAATTTAACTATTTGCGAATCAACGACATCTATTACCTATTCAAGCAAACAAAAATAGCCCGAACAGCGCTGTGTTTGGGATGAGGCATCTGTGCTTGTATAGTATTATGTGATCTGTGGTAGTGTTTTAAGGCACGTCTCGAGGTGGAAATCTATACATATAATAAAATTGTAACTAAGCAGAATCTGTACATTAAATATTTTTTGGAAAATCTTATTGAAATAAACATTATTATCAATACAGAGGCCGAATCTATAGTTTTTAGAATTTTTGTCTGTCTGTCTGTTACCGCATCACAGAACGGAAGGGATTTTAATGAAATTTGGTATGGCGATAGCTGGTTATCTTTTTTTTTTTTTAACGTTGGGAAATGCATTTACGCACGACGTGTGGGACTTACCGGCGTAATACAGCCAGTACTACCCACTAAAACCCAACAAAACCTTCTCCCGTCTTAATGGGGCGTCGCAGGATCGCTTACGCATTCAACTACGACGCTCCGACGGCAGGTCTGCCGAAGCAGACCACCACAGCCATGGGGTTGCTCCACAGTCCACTCTGCTATCAGAGAAGTACCAGGAGCAACCCACATGGTACACCGCCCCCCGAAGAGGGCCACCTCCCACCGCCCACCGAAGTGGGCAACCTCCCTGTGCGTTTCTTAGCTTCGCACCCGGTTGGATTGCCGGGCACTACTGAGCCCCCCCACCACGACAAGGTGAACGCACGTTGGGGGGGGGGGATAGCTGGTTATCTAGGTCAACATATAGGATACTTTTTACCGCGGCAAAATATAGCATTTCTGCGAAAAATTACAAAAACTGCAATGTAAGAGTACTAATATATAAAACCAAAGACTTTGAGTTTTTGGTCATCTGAAAGCGGACGGAGCCGAGGGCAATGCTAGTATAATATAAGTTTTAGTTATCCTACACTACTATAATACACTGTATTCTAATAAGGTAGGTCCCGAGGTGGTCCCGTTTTTTTTTTGACACAGAGTTTATCGTTTGCGAGAAAATCAGAAAAAATCATGATATTTGAAGTACGAGTATATTCACAGATCTAATTAGTCTTTTTTACCTACTTCTAATTGTCATATCAACTTGAAACTTTTTGTATTTCTGATAATAAAAGTATAGTTATTTGATATCATCGAGTCGATCTTGCTGGTGAGGCCAGGAGGTGGATAGAGCAACTTTTCAATGGCTACTAATGAATATTCTGAATTGGATTTTAGAGCCTGATTTTTAGTGATACTAATAAAGTGAGTTTCTTAGTATGTAGTCTTTATATAAAAATTGGCAGCATACTAACATAAATGGCTTAATCAAATATGTTATTAAAAAACTTTCCTCTTATAAATTATCTGCTTATTACCTACGTCTACACTAAAAATGGAAAAATAAAAATCGGGTGGGACTGTGTTGGGGCATACCGCCGTTGATTGAACGTGAAACGTCTATTTCAGTGAGTTCTAAAGGTAACCTATTTTTTTTGGTTTAGTAGAAGATTCGAACGAAGTACATAAGTAAATACTACACAGAGTATATATACAGAGATATACAAGTTCTGCGCTCTAGTATGTTGTGTGAGCATTTACAATGGCAGAACTGGTGGAGGTGGTATTTACTCGGTTTTACACTAAAATTAAGGAGACGGAGACTTACGTACACGTAGCAAGACCTTGCAGCAAGTATAAAACATATATATATAAAATATATATATATATATATATATAAAAATAAAATAAATATATATATATAAAAATAAAATAAAATAAAACTATATGTCTCCGCCTGCAAACTACTATGTTCTTTTGTCAACTTGTTCTCATCTTTTTAGTTCGTTTTTTACGCAGACGGGTTTTTATTTTTCTAATTTAATATTTTATGTGTTATGTTAAGTCCGGTAGAAATGCAGATGAGCGAAGGACGACCTTTTTCGACTTTCAAAAAGGAGGAGGTTCTCAATTAGTCGGATTTTTTTTCTTTTTTTATGTATGTTCACTGATTACTCGAAGATGCCTGAACCGATTTGGAAATGTTTTTTTGTTTCGAAGGGTATACTTCTCAGGTGGTCCCATTTAAATTTTATCGAAATCGTTCGAGCGGTTTTCAAAAATCAACATTAATTATTATTTTTAAATAAATTGCTTAAATTTATTAAAAAAAACTTCCTTCTTACAAATTACCTGCTTATTACGTCTACATTAAAAATTGAAGAATAAAAAATAAAATGAGAACCGACTTCTAGGCACTAAAATGTAAAAAACAACTAAACGGGGGTTTTCATTTAGAATAGATACCTAATAAGATATTTTCGAAATCGGTGCCAGCCGACAATATTATATCTAATAGGTAAATTTGAATTGATTATAGGTATGAACTCTAGTTATAGTTAAAATATTATACATCAATTTGTGATGTATTTTATCTATCGAAATATATTAGACTTGCTTTGTATCGCTAAGATTGATATACATAAGTGGAAAATGAGGAAACAAATTGTCATAGGAAACTACTATCGTATTACTTCTAGTCTTGTATAGTTTATATGATCTGTGGTACTACTATACTATTATAAAGTAGAAGGTTTTTATCGTACTAATAATTAGGTATATCTTAATCATCTGATTATATATAACAGATGAATAGACAATTCGGAAATAACTAGCTTGTGAATATAATGTTTTGGTAACACAAATTCTACAATTCTATCTAAAAAGAACAAAGCCATAAACATGATACAGAGTTAGTTTATTGAACATTATTATGTGATTTTTACTGTAAGTATCTAACATCATATTTAATACCTACGGGTATTAGAGTATATGTAGTTATCAATAAATAAATAACAATTTAAAATGAAATATCTTACCAGCCATAGATATTTCATATTTTATTTAAGTATAAATACTATATTCATGATATATTAAATAATTTTTTATTCATCGAATTTATGTAGGTTTAATACATCGTTTCTTTTCGAGACGTGTTTGTCATTCGTAAGAGCGACCGAATCTTAAATGTCCATAGTCATCGAAGGAATTGTCGAATCTTGCTGGGCGGTTACGAAGCAGCCCATACTCTCTATAGGTACGTTCTGGATGAAAATCTTCCTCCTCTTCAGTTAAAGACAACCCCCGCAAGCGCGCACCCTCGCAGTATCGCGGTGATACCGCTAGGGCTACAGTCAGTGCTAAAGCAATTAGCGTGGAGAACCGCATATTGTATGGAATTAACTCTGTAACAAAACCAAGAAAAAAAATCGTATTAGAAAGTTTTGAATATAAATTCGGTAAAATTACATCATATGTCTATTCTATGATTTACTATAGATACATTAGGCTGCTAACTGTTTTTATGTTCATATTTTTCTATTTTTCATTTTATCTATTTTTAGAATCAGCAAAAATTAAATCATTGTTGTTAAGGCGTGCAGTTTTGGTTCAGTTAATTAACTATAGACGGATGAATAATAAAGTGTATTTTCATTATTTCATCAATAGTGTGTTATTAAAGTACTACACATATTTGAAGTAGGTATTCCAGAGATATTAAAAGAGATCTCTACTTCTTGCTTTAAATTTGACTTCTTATTAAATACATACATATACGAGTATATTATGTATAATAAAGTAAAATTACATTTTACACGAGAGTGAAATAAATAATAATAAATCCTGTACCAAATACAACATACAAGTACCGATACTTACCAGATTGTAAAGCAGCCAAATGAAAACTGAACATTGGAAATGATTACGGACCGCCTTTTATACTAAATTTGCAACATGAAAAATAACATTCCCCTTTTTAATATTCCCCGCGCAATTTTCTTTTCTGCAGTAATTGACATATTTCAATTATTATTATATCCCACTGAATTGATCTTATTATTGGCAAAAGTTATTTTTGCTTACAACATCGTTGAAAATGTAATCTCTTTATAAACTAACTAGCGACTCACCCTCGCTTCACTTGGGTTCGTCCCTAGGTATGTTTTACGGTTAGTATAGATTCATAGAATATACTTTATGACATATAAAATAGACATTTATGTACAATGTACATGTACATACTCGTATTTAGCTAGGTATTGAACAGTAATTGAGAAATGATTGATTCCCCAACCAAAATTCCACTCCCCTTTTCACCCCCTTAAGATATGGTTTCCGGGATGAATACTATCTGTTACTTTCGCATTTAGTATTAGTATCTATATTAATAAAAATGAATGTTAGTAAGCGCATAACTCAAGAATGGCTGGACCAATTCGGCTAAATTTTTTTTTCGTATGTTTCTTAAGGTCCATGGAAGGTTTTAATAAAGAGAAAAAATGAAAAAAATTACGAAAAAAAAATTACTATTTATATGGCTAACGCTGGCTAATACGTAACTATTTATACGAGTATAAATATTAAAACGTACCTAACAGGCTTCTCCTGGGCAAACTCGCTAGATCATAGATCTTAGAGGTGCATCCTGCGGTGGTCCTGACTGACTGATGGATCAACACACAGCCTAAACCGCTGGTCTTAGAAGCGTAAAATTTAGAGGACGTATTCCTCATATGATTGTAGGCATCCTCATATGACGTAGGTTGATTGTATGAAACTCTGTCATTTTTAATCTGAAATACACAGAAAGTGGTGTTTAGCTTTAAGCTAAAAAATAAGAAATATATGTATTTGTTTTTTTTTTCGAAATTCATCCCTTAAAAGGATAATAAGGTTTATATGGGCAAAGAATTTTTTATGATCGGAATCTCTTCAATACAATTAAATAAATAGGTACGTGTTTTAGTATTTTTCGAAATTCAAGTCCATATGGGGGTAAAATGGAAATGAATGTTTGTATCTTACTATAGGGAAATATAGCTGATATTAATACGATTTTTGTCCTGCAGAAAAGAGCTATTCGTGCAATTTATAGTTTAGGTCCTAGACTGCCATTAAGAGATACGGTTAAAGAAATATAAATATTGACTGTTGCTTCTCAGTACGTGTATGAAAATGTTATGTATGTCCATAAAAATATACACGAATTTCCCAAGAAGTGTGACATGCATAACATTAATACTAGGAGCAAACACAAACTTGTAATGCCTGTGACTCGTCTACACAGAGTCAGTAATTCTTTTTATGGACAATAATTGTATGCGCTTGTACAACAGGATCCCAGAAAATGATCAAAAGGCTTATATCGCTAAATTCAAAAAAAAAATTGTTAAAGAACGTTTGTGTGCTAAAGGCTATTTATTAAACAATAAATGATTTTATAGAAGATGGCACACCTTGGGAATGAAATGATCGCCTCCAGGCTACTTCAACTTGATAGAAATATTGTAATTTATAATTTAACTTTATAAAAAAAGATAATGAAATAATATTAGTCCCGCTGAGTTTCTTTCGCCAGTTCTTCTCAGGTCTGAGGCTTCTTCTTTCCGAACTGGTAGTAGACTCATGACGTTCAGTAAAAAATTGAAATAATTTAATGCTGAATAAAATATTTTAAATTTGAATTTGTATGAAACTTTATAATTAATATATAAAAAAGTACAAAAAATAAAAATAGTCACCTGTAGACAATTTAAGAGTTGAAAATCACTTTCTGTAAAATGATGTACACCACATAGCCTTAAATATAAAGATTGTGATTTTGTCAATTTTGGTGGTCTTATTGCTTTAGCCCACCATTTCTTCAATTTTCATCTTTTAGGAACAAATGATATCCCTTTTCCATTGTACAAATTCTTCTCTATTATTTGATTAGTTCAAAAATATTTAAAATTATGATTAGTAAATTATGTAAATATTTTAACAACGAATTAAATACTTCTTAGAACCAAATTACAATACAACATTAAAATAATATAATATTTAATAAGACATAAAAAATAATAACAAATAAGATAAAAATTGTTTAATGGCTGAATAAGTTTAGTTCTTTGCTGCTTGTAAATGAAAATAGCGTCATCCATTTTCCCGCCATTTTGGGTAATAGTATAGAAACTAGACGTATAGTAATCTCAAAAAATTTGTATTCTTCGCTGCTTCATTTCAATCATATAATTATAATATATTTTTAATAATGGGAACCACCACAAAGAAGTTCGAAAGTTTTGAACAACAATTTGTTGAATTAATTTGTGAATTCCAGTCAATTACGGTAAGATTTAACTCTAGGTAGATTTTAATTTAAATTAAACTTCAATTAACGCATTTTTCATGCACTTTCATTAAAAGAAATTTGCATTTTTCTCCTTATCATGTCATGTTCATGAAAAGCGTGTCGAGTTAAACAATAATAAAATAATCATCTCGGTTCAATTTAGGACATTTATTTTACTTAGAGATATGCTTAATAAAATATATGTTTCATTTCAATCAGTCTACTGGAGATACAGCTTTGGCTTCTCAAGCTCTATACTCTTACATCGTATCTCGTTTAGTGCTATGTTCAGTGGTTTACTCCGGGGAAGAAAAGCAACGGTGTAGGATGCGGGAACAAAGAAACGAAGGCTTTAGGGTACACTAATATGAAAATCACTTTCAAAGTTGACGTTATACGATAAATATATTTATCTTTTCATTTATATTCTATTATTTATTGCATCATGAAAATCGATTCACAATTAGCGAATAATTCACGATTTCATAATTTCTATATCATAATATCTGTATTTCATAATATTTTGCTAATGAAATATCCTTTATGAAGTCGATTTAAAAGTTAACAAATCTATATGGTATTATTATTATTATTATAAAGACGTCTGAAAATCAACTTCGAGAAGAGTTACGTAGCGAAGCAACGCGTGCAGAAGCGGCAGAAGCAGCCAAGGATACCGCAGCTCGGGTGACGGCTGAGGCACGCGCTAACGCCGCAGCCGCCACCGCTGGCGCTACACAGGCTGCTAAAGCGCTCGCTACAGTACAAGATGAATTGTCCACTGTTAAAATGGAACTTGAGTTATCAGTGCGTATACCTAGTACAATAAAATATTTGTATCTATGTTTAAGAGTTTTGTGTCTGTCTTTTATTTTACCATATCATTATTTTTTAATGCTAGGAACGCCAGCGAGTGCTTTTTGAGGAAAAATGTACGGAAATGTCAAAAAAATTAAATACATTAGAGAGAGAAGTCCAGCAGTTACGCCCACTTCAATCTACTGTTGTGAACTTACAGCGTCAGTATATAGAACTGCAAGAACGTACACAAAATGCAACGGAAGAAGCACGAACGTTAGTAAATATATGTTTCCATTTAAATAATATTACAATCTATCATAGTGAGATACTGTTCTTATCCTTTAATTACTTTTTTTAAATACTACTAGTGGTAGTAATTTGTGAAAATTAATTACATTTTTACAAAAAAGTTACAACGAAGTTAAAATCACTAAACATAAATAATAAAAATCGGTCGACAAAGTATCGGCTATCAGTCTCCATTTCATAGAGAACAACCATTCATTCTTGCGTGATAGAAGAACAAACCAACAAACCGATAAACCAACAAGACCCACTCATATTTATAATATATGATTGATTTCTTCTTAATAAACATTAAAGGACAAAAATAAGTACAAAAACAGCCACTTCTTTTGCTACACATACGTCATAGATGTAACAAGTTTCATCTTTTATTTCTGTCGCGATGGATGGATGGATGTTTGTTGCACTTTTACGCCAAAACGGCTTAACAGATCTGGATGAAATTTGGCACAGAGATAGATTATAATATGGAATAGCATATCCCGGAAAAAAAATGTACGGTTTCTGTGGGATGGATCTGTTTTTGTCTAGGGACGAACCCGAAACGAAGGGAGGGTGAGTCGTTAGTTAATTATAAAATATAATAATAATATATGGTCGGTCTTTATAAACAATTGTTATAAAAAGGGAGGCAACTCGTCTCGAAACGGAACTGCGACGAGTAGAGCGGTGCGCCAACGCGGGCGCGGAGCTGCGCGAGCGCGCGCGCCTGGCGGCCGCCGCGCACGCGCGCGCGCGCCGCCTCGCCGCCGCCGAGCTGCGACACAATATACACGAGCTGCATAATGCTAATGGTAACATTTGTTATGGAATAAATTATTACTCCAGTCACATAAAGTCTAAAATTAAAATGTTGGCACTCAACTTTGCATTTTTGATATAATGTAGTTTTAATCATACAAAAACAATGTGTCAAGGTTTTCGTGTCCGCAACCCCCGGCAAAGGTTCAAAAAAATTGTCAAAAGTATTTTTTCGCAATTACTCGAAAACGGTAAAAGTTAGACAAAAAAAATTTTTGTAAAAATATGTAGAGCTCCAAATTTTTCATCAAAAAGGTTTTATGACTTTTTTCGTCCGGTCAAAATTAACTAAGAAATAAATAATAAAAAAAAATGACTCTATATCACTGTTATATAAATATTAAATACATCAATGCTCTATATGCTATTGTCTTCTTTGTATTTTTAGCTGAAATAGCTCGTATGGGAATAATAATAACGGAATTACAATGCCAGCTGTCTAAACAACAGAACCAATCAAATACTAAGTCACACGATGCGGATTCTGAAACAGTAATAGAACTTAGAGCCGCACTAGAAGCCGAAAGAGCTGGGACTGACAGACTCGGACGTGCTTTAGCTTCGGCTTTAGCCGACAACGCTACTTTAGCTGCACAACTACATATAAATGATAATTTAAATGAAGAAAAAAATCAACCACAACCTGTAGATGACTCTACAACAAATATATGTCCGATTGACTCATTTCTAGCAGATTAAGTATTAAATAATTATTTCATACTAAATAAATGATTGCCTAAGATTGTTATTTTATTATTATGTAATTATTATCTTCCTTATTATTTAATTAAAATGTAGCGCTTCCATATTATTTCGATTGTTGGGTAATCTAAAGAAATGTGGGAGGACTTGTCAATGTTATTTTGCTCTTTTACACCGAAACAGGTTTCTAATTCGCGATACGCATGATATACATATATCTACTTTTAAAGGTTAAGCAAGTATTATGTAAAGTTTTATGAAGAGATGTTTGCGTTTACACTTAAAACTATTTATACCTTATACTTGTACTAGGTTTCAATAATTCTAGATCAAAGAAATCGTTTTGTGCAGAAGTACCGTTGAATAATAGAAACCGGTGGACGGCCTTTTGTACTGCATCATGCTAAACCTGTTTGTAGCAATGTACTGTGACTACGCCGAATAAATATTACTTCAAGTATCAGCCCTTATAAGTTCTCACTCTATTGTTTTATATTCAATATTTTCCTCCAATAGATTTCTTTGTGGATCATTATAATAACGTTAAAAAGGTTCTTAAGATAATCAAATTATTAATTTAAAATATCAACATTTAAAAAGATAAACATATTCGAGGCAGTAATAAAAGAGGTTCCATCAAAAACAGGAAACATCGTCCAATGTTATGTCAGTGTTTCCCAACTTAATGAACGTAGTGGGTGCAACAAGTACGCAGTGACGCGGGTTTTCGCAAGGCTTCGAGCGCCCCACCGCCTGCGCAGGCGCCTCCACTCGCATTGTACGCAGTCAGTCATTTAGCGACATTGCCACTCGCGGCCACTCTGTGAAACGGCCCGAGACCAAACAAAAACTATGTGCATCTAGTAAAAACGATCTGTGATATAGTGTTAAGTTACATGCAATAAACGAAAGTGTTTCATATCTTGGAAGTGAAATCTGTTGGATAAAACACCACAAATTAAGTAAGTTAATTTTTGTGTTTATGTTTTTGACATATTCAAAATAAGTAGAGTTCTGTTGACCATACTTAAAGGAGGAAGTTTCTCTAAGAAATCGGAAAAATATTCAAGTCTAAAGATGTGAATATGTTATATAAATAATTTAAATTGTTGAAATATTAAACATACGTACCTATTGTATTTGTAGAGAAAGTTTCTTTCATTAATATCAAGTACTTTTCTCATAAATTCCACGCCTTTCCCTTTGAAAAAATATTATTTTATAAACAATTCTTACGATCGTGTTTTTAAAATATCAAAAGTAAATAAGTTGTGGTAATTTATCGTAATCAGTCAATATGTAACTCTACTTAACATTTACGAAGTTTGTTTATACCATATTAGTCCAAAAGACTATTCCGCCAACGCAAATAGGTATAATATTTATACAGTGAGTCAGAAGCCTGGAGACAAGGACGGTGATCTCAATATGTGGAAATGTTTACATGTGAATTCAATGGGCACATTACAATAATTCACCCACAACACCTGTCGTCTCTACCATTAACATTCACGTTGAAATTGCATATTCACGATATGCATTATAAAGCTTCTCCTTGTTCCAGTTCAGACTTTTGTTTCTTTCTAAATAGTAATTATACATACTTTTCTATATAGGTAGTTTAGCTAGATAGATACGAATGTAGAATAATTATTGGTTATTTAATTAAATACACCTACAAAATTATTATAACCGTGACCGAGAGTTTCCTTTTGTAGATTTGTATGTCTGATTTAAGCAATATTTACACAATCATATTTAAAGTGGCGAATGATTCATAATACGATGTTCAACGATGATTTATATTTATCTTATTAATATTTTAAAAATCTGGTGTCTCTATTTCAGTTCAACATGAATAATTTGGCAGTATTTTGCTTCTTCGCAGCCGTAGTTGCGTCCACTACAGTACAATGGTAAGAAAAACTGGAATAATTTCCAGTTAATTCAGTAAACAAATGCACACTATATGACCTATTTCGATGATAGAGTGTGGTTTGAGTCCCGCTAGGTACCAATACCCCTATTGAAAAACTCCAATAGAATCCCACCAAAAGCAACAAGAGCCACATAGGCACCAATAAATATTTATTGGTTTCCATGTGGCTTTTGTCGCTTTTGATGGGATCCTATTGGAGTTTTTAAATAAGGATATTCGAGATATTATAGTTACTTCACGCTGTTTAAATGTATACATAATATAATACAGAACTCTGTGTTTTTTCGCTTTTAGAATATATTTTGCCCCCCCCTAATGTGTCATTAAATGATTAATGATTTGTCTACTTGCGACTCACGGTCGTTCCACTCGGGTTCGTCTCTAGGTGCGTTTTGACGGTTAGTACAGATTACTCAGAGATGAGATATTTACCCTCAGTAAAAAGTGTCCGTAAAGACCCGAATAACTAGGCTATCATTATACCAAATTTCATCAAAATCTGTCCAGTGGTTTTCTCGTGATGCGGTCACAGACAGACAGACACACAAACATTCTAAAAACTATAGATTTGGCCTCTTTATCGATAATAATGACTAATTCAATAAGATTTTCCAAAAAATATTTAATGTACAGATTCGACTCAGAATTTTATTATATGTATAGATTTTACACGTTATAAAGTAGTAAGAGCCTTATTAAGAGCCTACATCAATAATGTATTATGAAAATTTTATTGAAAAATATACTTCAATTATTATTAGCTAGTGGGCCTCTATTCGACTAATATATTTTTTTACGTTCATCCGTTCATCATATAGTGTTTTATATATATGTATGTATATTTACATATTTCTACAATAGTATGCCGCTACATATTATCTAACTCATTTACCACTAGTTTCTAGAATTATTTACTATTTTCTGTCATGATTGATGAATGTAAGTAACTATTATACTGACGATGATGTAAGATTAATGTTGATAATAAAAAATAACAAGCAACTTGCCCTATTGTTTGTATAACAGAAATTCCTACACCTTATGAGGTAATATAGTTTAACTGTCTTAAAAAATAACAAGTTATTACTATCGTATATTATAAATTGAATGCACGATGTTCATCTTTCTATTGACCTGTATAGTGTGTGTAACAACATATTACACAATTTCAAATAATTACTAATAGATTTTATCAAAGCAGAGCTGTACCTACCGGTAGTTGAGTATTTTAATTATAATTTTTTTCATATAAATTAGTTAGCTTTAAACTAGAGAATGAGACACTATATAATTAATTATATCTGTTATTATGATTTTTCTAGTGTGTCGGTATTAGGGCCCAAAGTACTGAGGCCTTACGTGAATTACAAAGTCTCGATAGCAGGCGGATCTAGGGCACATAATCTGTATGTAGCCATCGAAGGGAAACGAGCAACAGGAGAGCAGTTTTCACAGGGTAGAGTTGTACAGGTCCAACCAGCTACATCCAGATTAATGGACCTAGAAGTAAGTACAAACATACATATTTTTAGTATTAATAATTATATTGTTTTAAATTATTAGACATATCTTAATCGTTAAACATATATAATATTACATAATAAATAACTAATAGTTATTTAATTTTTTTTAATCGTTGTACAATTAATGAGACCTTAAGTGAATCAATCGACATTCTAAATAAAACAAAATATGTTTCATATTGAAATGTCAGTATTTAATATTTATTATCTAATACAGATTGGAGATCCAGGGCCTGGTCAGTATAAGTTAGTAGCTAGGTCTACTTCAGGGCCACTTTTCGCGTCATCTGCTCCCCTAGTATACCAGCCAAGGAGTTTCTGCATCTTTGTACAAACAGATAAAGGAGTTTACCAACCAGGAGATACCATTAACTTCAGAGTCGTCGCCTTAGACAAGTATGTGGATTTATATTGTTAATTTGAACATTTACCACAGTTATATAATAATTGATAAGCTGCCTCGGAGGTGTAGTGGCTAGCATGTACGGCTGCACACCCGGAGGTCCTGGGTTCGAGTCCCGTATCGGGCCAAGTTTAGTTATTGAGTCTTTCTGTATAGTAATTCTCAGTAACAGCCCGGAGTTGGGAAGTTGGCGGTGTTTCACCCCCGTGCCTCGGAGAGCACGTAAAGCCGTCGGTCCCGCGCCTTAACTATCACCGGTCCTGTCGAGTGGTCGTACCATCGGAGTATGAGAGTGACAGGAATAGAGAGTGCACGTTGTGTCTGCGCGTACACTTGAGCACTATAATATCTCCTGCGCAGTTGGCTAATCTCAATGAGATTGGCCGCCGTGGCCGGAATCGGCTAGGAGAACATCATCATCATAATAATTAATATTTTGATATAGGTTGTGCTGGAACTGCGGTTTTTATTATCCAGTGTGGGAAATCATAATAAAATACAAATGATTGATATCAACATTGGAGAGCTGAGAGTGAAAAAACCTTTGTCGTACCGTTTTGTCCGATCATTAAGGAAATAACGCAAAGCTCTAAATAAGTAAAAATTGAAAGCTGTTTAATTTGGCAAAAAAGTGAATACATATAACATTAAAACACATCGTGATCACTTTCGATTGTAACACTCTTTAGTTGAAGCGTTCGCACGCCAGATTACGTGTGATTACCACTCGGTCAATGAACCTTTGTTTGTGCCAATAGCACTGCTTTAGATGTGAGCGAGTTGTACACGGATAGACGGGAACCTCACCGAACTTCTAGTATTCCTATATAACAATATATAATTAAGTACACTTCATTTTGTGATTGTAAGATGGCTGAAGTTTGATGTCATTCTGTCTAATGGATGACTAATATATTAGTCATTAGATAAAGGTATTAAAGATTCTATCTTGAAAAACTAAGTCAATTTTTTAAGATATAATAAAAGCAGTACCCAGCCGTTGCCCAACTGTGGGATAATGAAGCTAACAATGGCAACATTACTTGATTTTATGTTTATAGTACACCTACAGCCAAATAGGTTTAGTTTGTAAATAAAGAACACAACTTTTGATTGAATTTGAATAAATAAAGTTAGTTTGATATTTTCTTACATAATGATCGCCAACAGGTACCTTCTGCCATTATCTGGCACGGTGGACGTGAGCGTGCTGGACACGAGCGGCGCGCCGGTGCGGCAGTGGGTCGCCGTGCCGTTAGACAAGGGGATACTCTCAGACGAACTGCTCCTCGCTGATGAGCCGGCACTGGGGCAATGGACAGTACAAGTATGCTTAAAACTACTTTTTGTAACGGGACAAACAATATTTCATAGTAACATCACTATAATAGTCATATAATATAATATGATGACACGTTTGGCTCAGTTCGTAGTAACCCTACTTGCTGTGCCAGCTGTCGCGGGTTCGAGTAACGCTGGGAGTATTCATTTGTGTGCATGAGCACGAACGTTTATACTTCAGTCATGGATGTTTGTTTATATTTAAAATATGTATGTATTTAAAATATATACATATATGTGTAGTATATCAACTATCTAGTATCTTTAACACAGGCCTCGTAGCTTACCATGGAACTAGATGGTGCTGTGTGTTAATGTCCCAACATATTTATTTACATATTTATTATAATTGTATCTACGAATATGTTTACTCGTGATTTCCTCGTTTCCATAGACGTCATAGATTCTATTTCAAATCATTCTAAAAACCTGTTTAAACGACATAGACGGTTAAACAAGTTTTTTAGAATTTTCTGAATAAATTTATAAGATATAAATCGACGTATAAACGAATAATATAACTATAAAAACATCAACAATGTCAAAGGAATTTTAATTTTAAACCGGATCAAAGTAAAATTAACCTCCAAAATGTACATATATTTTTGATGACCTTTGAATTTGGATTGATATAATATGTAATTATATTTTAATTATACATTCTGTCTCCTTCTCAATTAAAAATAGGCTATATAGACTGAACTCAGCTTTTTTTTTACTTTTATGTCTCAGTTATTAAATAATATTTAACGCAACCCCCGAACAAAAAAAAACTTTCCTATAATCTTTTGTTTCCTTATACCGTAATGAATTCCTTGAATTTTTTGCTTTTTAAATATTACCAAGTCCATAAAAATATATGATTTCTTTATTATAAAGGTGGAAGCGCGCGGTCAAAAATATTCCCGACACATAATGGTAGCTGATTACGTCTACCCGAAGTTCCAAATGGACATCGATGTTCCGAAAGAGGTCTTGTTTAGTGACGGACGGTTCAACATGAACATCACTGCTAAGTAAGATATATATTTTACTATGTTAATGCACGTTTTATAAGACAAGATAATTATTTTATTCACATCATTGTCTTCTTACGAATTATGTTTATTAAATCGCATTCTTCAACACTTTGGATTTGTCTTAGTTACATAGAGAAAAATTCTATAGGTAATATGTTTAGAATAAATCTACAAAATAGGTATATTTCTTTGCAGAGAAACAAAACACCTACATTATGTTATTATTATTATCTATACATATAATAAAATTGTAACTAAGCCGAATCTGTACATTAAATATTTTTTTGGAAAATCTTATTGAAATAGGCATTATTTTCGATACAAAGTCCGAATTAATAGTCTTTAGAATTTATGCCTGTCTGTATGTCTGTCTGTCTGTCTGTTACCGCATCACAGAAAAACCACTGGAGGGATTTTGATGAAATTTGCTATGATGATAGCTGGTTATACGGGTTAACATATAGGATACTTTTTACCGCGGGAAAATTCTCATTTCAGAGAAAAAAATACAAAAACTGCAATGTAAGAGTATACTAATATGTAAAACCTAAGAATTTGGTTTTGGTCATCTGAACGCGGGCGGAGCCGCTGGCAATGTTAGTTATACAATATAAATTACCTCGATATAGGACATTATGATGATACCTACGTACAGAAAAGTTATAAATTCAATCTAAAAATGGCGTTAATTGAAAATATTACATAATATGCATATTAACTTACAAAAATGTACATCGTATAGTTAACATCTACATCACACTGTTTGTTACATAATACTCGTTTTCCACAATAATATCATCTTGTTAGAACAGTCGTAAATAACGGTTGATGCGAATTATAAATTTGTTCAATCTGACAACAAAGAAATTGTTTTCATTTTTCCCAGTGAAAGCTGTCTATTTGTTTGATTAAAATTTTCTTTAATTCAATAGAATTACTGGCTTGCCAAATGTAATTACTGACTTCAAAGTATAAAAAGTTATTATCATAGAAAGCTCTTTGCAATTTTTTACTCGTTATTGAATAAGAGAATATTACTTGTGCTATATTACGTACTTGCAGGCATTGCTTAACATTTTTGTAGTTATCTTATAGATGCATTAGTCGTGCACTTCTCATAAAGTGATGGTAATAAAGTGTAACAATGAAAATAAGAGAAACAATAATACATTCATATTTCATACCATAAAATTTATGTTAATTACTACCTACTCTATATTTTATCCTAATTAGGTATATACAATGATATATACATAGGTAATATGTACATAATATATTTTAGTATAATAATATTTTGCTTAAAATTGAACGTTACTTATATTGACACAAAAATCGGTTTGTTGGTTTTTCGGTGGTTTAAATCGGAATAAAAAAGTAAAACAGATCTTGAGTCTAAAGCAAAAGTTATTTAAAGAAAGTTCTCTTGTTCACTATAAAATGAAAGTATCTCATTGGCTAGTGTATTATAAATCTTCTAATTCTCTAAATAAAATTATTATGACGACGGGTTTGGCTCAGTTTGTAGTGACCCTACTTGCTGTGCCAGCGGTCGCGGGTTCGAATCCCTCTAAGGGCATTCATTTGTGTGATGAGCACGAATGTGTGTAACTACTCTAGTCATAGGTCTTTATATTTATAATATGTATGTATTTAAAGTTATATATGTGTAGTGTATCAATTATCTGGTATCCATAACACAAGCCTCGTAGAACTAGATGGTACTGTGTGTTAATGTCCCAACATATTTATATTTAATTTTTTTTTAGACACTTTAACGGACTCCAAGTTAAAGGGGAGCTTACCATATCAGTATACGCCGTTTTCTTCTCTAACGTATTACAACCGGTGTTTTCTACACCTGATAGAAAAGTTATCGATTTTGACGGTCAAGCTACTGTGATATATGACTTAAAGACAGATCTAGACCTAGCGGAAGATGCGGCTAGACCATTGGTAGTGGAGGCAGTTTTAGAAGAAAAAAACACGCTAATACGTCAAAATGTATCTACACGTATTCTTCTTATGAGAACTCCATATAGACTTAAAGTCTCAGCACCTGAAAAGTTCAAACCTAACTTGCCTTATATTGTACAGGTAAGATTTAATGTCTATATAGGTAGGTAATAAAATATTTTATTACGCTGTTTTAAAATTCAGCCATTAATAAAACTTTCTACGAAATAAAAGTAACCACTCTTATTTGTATTATAATTAATAATTATAATAATATATTGCAGATAGAATTAGTAAACTCAGCCGGACAGACTATGGACATCGCAGGTGACGTGGTAGTGGAACGCCTGTGGGACGACGGCGCTCCGCTCAACAAAACCACTGTAGCGCTTAGCAAAGGCTTCGCTAAATACACTTTTATACCAGACGTGGCTCATATAAACTCTACACTCAATCTAGTGGTAAGGCTTTATTTTAATTTTCTATAATTTAATTGATATTTATTTTTAAAATCGGCATTTTGTACAGGAAATTATTTATACGTAATATAGATATATCTAAAAATCTGATTTCTTTATTCAGGTCAAATTTAAAGAAGTTTCAGAGCGAGTGATAAATGTTCAAAGAAGCTTAGAAAACAGTGGGCAATTTTTAAATATCGAACTGTTGACACGCAACACGTCTGTCGGAGACGAAATGAGAGCACGGATCGACGCCACTGAGCCTATGGATCTTATTCATTATGTCGTGATTGGACGTGGAGACATCCTCGCCGCGAAAACATTTGAAGTGAGTCATTGTTATTAAAAGGTACATATACTAAAATGTTAAAATCAAATGAACATTGTAAAACTTTTGGATAAATATTTTAGAGAAATTATAGGTCCTTGAGATATTCAAATAAGCTAAAAGTAACAATATTACATCGTTAATGTTTTATATTTATTAACGTATAAGCAAGTACTTACTATATGTATAAATGTATTTATATATCTCTCATTGAGAATATATTTGTATACATATATCTATACATCTATACTTATTATTATAAAGAGGTAAAGTTTGTGAGGTTGTAAGTTTGTGACATTGTAGGGGGTAATCACTGGATCTACTGAACCGATTTAGATGAAATTTGGTAAGAAGATAGTTTGAGACCCTGGAAAGGACGTAGGATACTTTTTATCCCGGAAATCATGCTTAAGGGGGTGAAAATGGGGATGAAAGTTTGTACTGGGAAGCAAGTTAGGGACGGAGTAAGTCGCTAGTACATAATATGTAAATCGCTCACCAGCTAAGCCCCGCGCGCCGCAGCGTGGACATCTCGGTGGCGGTGACGGCGGGCATGGCGCCCGGCTGCGTGCTGCTGGCCTGGTACCCGCGCGTGGCGGGCGGCGTCGTGTCCGCCGCCGTGTACGCGCCGCAGCGCGACATGTTGCAGCATAGGGTCAGTTTGTTCTTAGAATATTAAATACATACATACTAGCTTTTGTGCGCGGTTCCGCTTGCGTTATTTATCCTTCCTAGCGTGAAGTTATGTACATAGTCTTCCTTGGCTTTTGCCAATTGCCATTGAACCCAAACTCAAAACTTTTATAGCCATTGAATATTTCCACTATAAATCTTCTGGGTTCGACATTATCAGCTCGACTATATCAAAATATTATTGTATTGTTATTCGGATTTTACATACTTACAAAGTTTTAAATTAATGTAACAATTAAAAGAAGATAAAAATCAACTTCCATTACACATTTACAAATGGATGTTAATATTATATTTTGAAGCAATGCGGATTGTACGGAGGTCACAGTGACATCAGTGACCTTCAGTCTAGAATATTCCTGTAAACTTTGAACCTATACCCCAGGTGACAGTGACACCAGTGACCACCGGCGCCCTGCTGCGGCCGAACGGCCTGGTGGAGTTCCGCGTGTCGGGCGAGGCCGGCGCCGCGGCCGCGCTGCTGGGCGGCGACGAGAACGCCATCGCCAACGGCCTCGCCGGCGCTGACGGGCTCGGCCGGGGACTGGATTTACATACGGTATGGGCTTTTATTGTAACTTAATGATTGTATATGATACTAATTATTATATTGAAAAAAAAAAAAACTTTGTTGCTTAAGTTTACGTATCTTTGAAAGAGGAATTTTAATAAAAAAAAGAAATGATTAAGTTACTGGGTTTTTCTATATTCTATATCCAAATACTCAGTATAAGGCCGACGCCTGTGCCTGCGCCTTTGTCTCAATGGTCTTGTTAAGTTGTCCTATCGGAATGTGAGAGCTAAAGGAATAGAGCGAGAGCCGAGAGAGAGAGAACACTTGTGCTGTGCATACACTTGTGCACTATAATGTGTCCCACAGAGTTGGGTTTGGCTTAAAAACTTGTAAGAAAACAAATAATAATATGTAATAGCCAGATATTCTAAAGATAGTTCGATACGCAGTAAACTCGTATCTCATAGGTAAAATTGATAAAAAATACAACTTGGACAGTCTTGTAAAAAATATTTTAAACAATAACACTAGCCTATGTGAATAGAAACAGAAAAGATACCTAATCTTAATATTTCTTTGCATATATTAAAATATTTAACATTAACATAGTTATTACCATATTTAATATGTAGTTGTTTTATTGCTCTGTACGTAAACAAGCATTTAGTCACGATAAGTATTGTAGCAGCGAATAAATATTTTACATCATATTTCTATATACATACTGTATGTACAAGAAACAGGTACATATTATGTATATTTTCTTATAAAACTTACTTCTTCATTTTGTTGTTATGTACTAGGTTTATGTGCTTTTCAAATATATTTATAAATTGCTTAAAGCTAATAAATAATTATTTTTTATAATCGTTAAAGCTTTTATAATTATTTTCAATTTAATTATTATTAAGTTATATTTAGATGTTTAGCCCATAAATTTTGTAATACAAATATTTTTATAGATCGAACGAGAAGTGGAAAGTTTCAGCGGATTGAGGCATTCGTTATTTAAGAACGAAGATCATTTACCTACATTGGGTCTGGATATAGGCGGCCGGAACTCCACCGATGTATTTAGTGTACGTATTATTTATATATGTTTTTGCATTCCTTTATATGATATTTATATACTTTTAAAATAATGTATATTATTGTTTTAGAATGCTGGTGTAGTTATTTTAACAGATGGCCTCGTGATTTCAAGTGATGCTCCCGGTAAGACTATTTCCTAACAATGGGGTAAAAAATGAATTTATTAACTACTTATAGTGAATTATACAGGTACTTATTTACTGTTCAATTTGAAGATAATAAATGAATTTGAAAATAATAACGTAAAATGTCATACATATTGTGTACTAGCATTGCCCGCGGCTCCGCCCGCGTTCAGATGACCAAAAACTAAATTCTTAGGTGTTACATATTAGTATACTCTTACATTGCAGTTTTTGTATTTTTCCTCAGAAATAAGATATTTTCCCGCGGTAAAAAGTATCCTAGGATCGCGCGCTACATCGCCCGGTTTATATAGCTTGAGCAGGCGGTCGAGCGATGCGGGGCAGAGGGGATGGACTCGCCGTAGGCATCTCAATGCTCGCCAAGCATTAAAAATGTTTCGCTACTAATTACTTCTAACAACGATATCTCAAAAACTATTCATCTGATTGATTTAGTGTAAAGAGCAATTTTAATCTGCATTAAATGACTAAGCTAACTAAAATATTCATTTGGATAAGGATTAATACCGAACTAAAGAAAATAACTTTGAAAATAACGTAATGTTTTTAATTAAAAATGTTAACATAAAAGTGGTTATTGTAAGTCAACCGTAAGAGATAGAGATATGCTATCGCGGACTTTTTTGTAGCATTTTTATAGATTTTGAATTCTCTAGTACATTACTTAACTGTATCTTTGCTAGTTTACGCGGCGTTCGCGTGGAAAGTTCCCATTTGGCGAGATTTTTTGCGACCTCTTCAACATTTGTCGCCGTATTTCAGCTAATTTACATAAAAGCATAATAAATTATATACCTAAACCTTCCTCAAGAATTACTCTTTCTATTGTTGAAAACCGTATAAAAATCCGTTCAGTAGTTTTCGAGTTTATCGCGTACAGACAGACAGGAGGACAGACAGGAGGACAGAAAGACGCGGCCGGGGGACTTATTTTTATAATAAGTATAGATAGATATATAGAAGTTAGTGAAACCACTTTTTTTATGCATATTTCTTTCACGTTTAAACGGCTGGACGGATTTGTTTTAAAATTAGTAGATATACAGATATACTATGACCTGTAGAAAACATAGGTACCTAACTGTTAATTATGATGATTAGTACTAACTAATCCATTTAACTGGATATGATTGAATAAAAACCGCCTACACAAATAACTCCTGTGATTGTGTATGAATCAGAAACAATACACAAAACATTAATAGTGTTCCACCAATAGGGAATATGCATGTTATTTAAATTTGGATCAAATATTTTTATTCCGAATTTTTATTGGCCGGACATTGAATGAAACCATTAATTTAGTAATTAATTTATTTTTAGTTACTTAAAATTAATAAATAAAAGTGCAAAATAAGCGAGGAAAATTCAAATTTGTAAACCGCTATTGCGGCCAGTCTACAATATTTTAAGATATTAATATCTAATAGGTAAATATGTATTTTACGTATCGAAATGTATTAGATTTTCCTCGCATCGGCTGGCACCGACTTCGAAAATATCTGATTAGGTATCTATTCTAAATGAAAACCTCCATTTAGTTATTTTTTACATTTTAGTGCCTGGAAGTCGGTTTTTATTTTTTGTTAATAAGTTTTTGTTTTTCCATTTTTAGTGCTGACGTAATAAAAAGGTAATTTGTAAGAAGAAAGTTTTTTAATAACATATTCGATCAAGCAATTTATTTAAAAAATATATATTTATTGTTGATTTTTTTTAAAAACCGCTCTACCGATTTCGATAAAATTGGTCCCATATACCACCTGGGAAGTTATACCCTTTGAAACAAAAAAAATCCAAATCGGTTCAGGCGTCTTCGAGTAGTCGGTGAACATACATAAAAAAAATGAAAATAAGATTCCGCCGAATTGATAACCTCCTCCTTTTTGGAAGTCGGTTTGTCGATTTTTACCCCCTTAAGGGATGATTTCCCTTTTTTAATGGGATAAAAAGTATCCTATGTCCTTCTCAGGGTTGCAAACTATCTTCTTACCAAATTTCATCTCAATCGGTTCACTAGATCGGTAGATCCAGAGATTACCTCCTACAACGTCACAAACTTTACCCCTTTATAATATCAGTATAGATTTAGTTTTTTATATACTATATATTAGTTTTTAAGATATAAGTATAGGTTATGGGCCTCTGTTTACATATTTAAGATTTTTTTTATTTTTATAAATATTGCTTGAAATAAATGATTAAATAAAATAAAATATTTATTTAGAAGTGGTGGAGCCGGTGGAGACGGGCACGCGCGCGCCGTCGGCCGGCCCCTACGCCTTCAGCCGCGTGCCGCCGCCGCCGGCGCCGCGCCGCTACCTGGCGCGCCGCCTCGCGCCGCACAACACGTGGATGTTCACTAACATTACTATTGAGTGAGTTGTTCAATAAAAATATCTATACACATGTAGGTATACTGTCTTTAGGAAATTTTAATAATAATAATACTTATAGGTAGTATTTTTCTTGAGATTTATATTTCATAACAACCTTTGAAGTATAATAACTCCTTTATAAAGCTAAAAAGAAGAAATTGCTGAAGATATCGCGTAGTTGACAGCATACATTGAAAATTCACCCGAATTGAATGAATCTTGCTTTTTTAGAAGTCGGTTATAAGGATGTTTCATGAATTCAAATTTTATATTATAGGCATATTCACTAACAATAACATTTGAATCATCTATTAAAACTTATCATTTAAAATGACAGTAAGTATACACATTATACATTCAATAACCAATCAACCCTTTCATTGTATTCAGGTAACAAATACCTACAATAAAAGTAAATGTTTTTAGCAACGATGGCATGGGCACACGGGAACGCTGGTCTCCCATCACACCCGGAGACTGGTCAGTGGGGGCTTTCGCAGTGCATCCAATATTAGGCCTCGGTTTGGCTCAACCAAAAAAACTCACCACCGCCCTCCCACTGTCCATCACGGCGGAACTTCCTGAAACCCTGCAAAAGGGAGAAGCTGTCGCCATAATCATCACACTAAAGAGTTCACTCACAGTGGACACCTCCGTCGAAGTCACCTTCCATAATTCCGACCAATACTACGAATTCGAACCTTTAGAGAATAGTGTTGATTCATCGAAAAGTAAGTATAATTAAAAAAAAATTACATTCTAATGTGGTCATAAAAAAATTATATAGACCATAATGCATATCGCTAGTTTAAGAATATAGACTTAAATTCTTATATCCATTAGGTATCACTAATAGAATAATTTTTAAAAACGCGCATATTCATCGAGGATGGCAGTTTAGAATTAGATCACAATGGTTCTTTGTTTAGATCACTTTTGTCTTAAAATATAATTAATATTTGTGAATTTCATTTCAGTTGGTTGTTACGAGTTAAAAGAATAAAAAAAGCTACCAGTATAAATTTACAAAATTTGGTAAATATGGCAACCAACTTATAATTAGCTCATATAGTAAATTGGGTGGTGATAAAAGAAAACCTGTGTCCATCTCTAATATGCAACCTATGTCCTTGCCAAACATAGAAATCTATTCAGTAGCTGAAGTATAAAAAGGCAACAAATAGATAGACAGAACTCCTTTCACATTCGTAATTTTAGTACTTGCGTACGAACACATACACGTAAACTACAAGAACAACTTCGTGTATGTGTATTCAGCCCTTTTTAACGTCCCACTGCTGGGCCGGGCCTCCTTTCAATACGAGGGGGACAGGCCATAGTCCACCACGCTGGCCAAGTACGGGTTGGCGGACTTCACATGTCTTTTGAAAACTTGCTAGGTTCTCTCAGACGCAGGTTTCCTCACGATGTTTTCCTTCACCGTTAGGCAAGTGGTAATCGTGTCAGAAATGACTCGCACATGAAAATATTAGAGGTGCGAGATCTGGGATTTGAACCCGCTTCATCCTTCCTAAGCGAGCGCGTTACCACTGGGCTACCAGTGCCTACAACAAACGACTCCATATGAACACAGAAATCGAGCTGTTCCGTCGTCTCCGCGTGACGGTGCCCGCGCGCGGCGCCGCCAGCACCGCCTTCCTGGTGACGGCGGCGCGCGCGGGCGACGCGCCCGTCATCGTGGAGGCCAACGGGAACGGCGTGTCTGCCTCACTGTTCAGAACTATTGACGTTAAGGTGAGCGAGGATAATACCTACTAATTATAATATATTAGTTAGCTTTCTACTCATGCTAAATATAACTATAATAATTCGGTTACGGCCACGGTGGCCTATCTCACTGAGACTAGCCTGACTTGCGCAGGAGATATTATAAATGTCCGCGCAAACACTGTATTCCTTTTACTCATGAAGTTTGGTAAGATGATAATAGGAAATACCTATGCGTGTGATTTAATCAAGATGAAATATAGTTTTTTACAATCTTGATTGCTTCTGAATGAAGCCTATATGAATATTTTAATGTAATTTTTTTTTGATTAAGAAAATAATTTGTGACGAAAAGTTAAAAATAGGTGGGAAATTGTTAAGTTTCAAATATTATTTCCGACTTTTTTTTTGCTAAATCGCTTTACCCTCTCTATAAGAACAATAGTATGTATTTAAAAAAAAATAAGATGATAATAGTCTCAATAGAGACAGAGCGAAGGAAATGTTTTGTTTTACCTCCATTCACGAACATCTATACTATAATAAAACTGTAGAGGTCGAATGTCTGTACATAAAATAAAAATGCTAAAAACTGAGTCAGGGTGATGTAAGAAGACAAATAGAACATATCTAGATTTTTTTCAATTTTTTTGTTTCTCTGTCTGTTTGTCCGTTTATCTGTTTGTACGGGCTAATCTCCGAATCTATCAGACCGATTTAAATGAAATTTTGCATGGTGGTACCATATATCCCCGGGCAACATCTTAGATACTTTTTATCCCGGAAAATTAAATAGTTCCCGTGGGATAGTTAAAAAACTAAAATAACTTCTACAGCTTAGTACACAACAACTTATGAACCTAATTTAGTAAAATTTGGCATGCTGATTGATATTGCCGGTCTAACAACAAGTTACTTTTAATCCCGGGAAAATAAACGGTTCCCGTGGGATATACCTATCTGTCTATGCATTTCTAGAGGCGAACCCGAGCGAAGCGAGGGTGAGCCGCTAGTTTTATATAAGTATGTACAGAGTAAATATTTTCAATTACGACAATATTATTCATAGAAAACTTTAAATATATATAAATAACACTTATGAGCACGTGGCTTACCTAACGCATTTCCTTTGTCATTTCTATTAATTTTTTTGATTTCTATAAGTCATATTAAGGACTGCAGAGTATTTACGTTTCGTTCTTACCATTTTTAGGGTTCCGTAGTTAACAAGCTTTATCTACCTTATAGTTTCGCCATTTCCGTCCGTCCGTCTGTCCGCAGCTTAGCTTAGAGACTTAGTATCTACTAGAAAGCTGTAATTTGTCATGGATTTACATATTAGTCACGCCGACAAAGTGGTGAAATAATATCTTGAAAAAAAATTTTTACGGCTAAAGTGGTGATGGTTTTTTTTCTCGTCTACCCCATGGCGTGGGGTGCCGTTGGATAGGTCTTTCAAAAATATTGCGGGTTTGTGAAAACAATTTTTCGATTAAGGGATTTTTCGGTAGTAGTATATTTAATATAACGATGTTAAAAGGAAAACTATCACAGCTAAGTAGGTTTTTCAAGTAATAGTCGGACACGCATTTGGCTGGTTTTTATATTTTTTTATTCTCAATGGACCAGATAAACATTTTTTACTACTATGTGTTGTTATGCTTTAACATACTCTTAAGTGTAGTTTAATTATAATATTATCTAATGGATTATTCAATTAAGTAAATTAAATTATATTTTATATTCAGCCTGGTATTTCCAATAAAAATGATATAATATTATAATGTATAAAACAAGATTAACCTTAAAATAAAATTAAGAAACGTCTAAATTAATATATTAGTCCATTATACTTATTCGGTAGATTTTTTTTATAAACATATTTGTATGAATCCTCAATTTTTGTTGGTGAATATGGATTATTATAATAACTAAAGCTATACCTATAACACTAACGTACGTAGTATTTAAACTATTATAAATAAGGCGAACTTAACAAAAAGAGAAGATTCTTAATTTAATGTTTTATGATACTTTCATATGATATATACTCGTACTAAAAATTAAGTCCTGTAACGTGGATTATTTTTGTATGAAAATTCATATAAAGTTCATCACATGCAGAATATATCGAGATCATCAATATTTTAGGACGGCTATGAAGAAGACATATGGTCGTGGGTGTTGCTGGACGGGCGCCGCGGCGTGGCGCGCGGCAACGTGACGCTGGCGCCGGCGGCCGGCACGCGCCTGGGCACCGTGTCGCTGGAGGCGACGGGGGATATCATGGCGAATGCCTTGAGAGCTCTGAAAGCACCTCCTGTTGTTGCGGCCGATCCCACTTACGCTATGCGACCGATGGCTCGTGCGTGCGTTGTTTTGGACTATCTTCAGGTATTTTCTAAAGTTTACAGCATATTTGTTTATATTATGGACTAATCAGATATCCAAAAGTTAAAAAGTCATTTTTGTTCAAATTATATTTTAATTTATTGTAGTTAGGTATATGTATTATGAAATTATAAAATAAATGACCTATTGTTGATATAATTTGAAATCCAATTATTTAATTTGTCTCAGGCAACGGAACAAGATGACGAGACCACTATAATAAAGGACGCGCGTTTACAAACGTCCACCGGCTACCAGCGGCTCATGGCCTTCCGCCGCTCTGACGGTTCCTTTTCTCAAGAAATAGGGGATGACGCTATTCCTGATGTATGGTAGGTCATATTGATTTATCGGTTTAAACTATGGCTTTACATTCAATTAGTATGTCACGTAATATATAATATCTACATTTCGTGTAAGAATTCTTCACGTTATTTTCCAAACCAACGAACGAAAAAAAATTTACTAAAAGGGAAAAACTTAATTTTTAAACTTCATTTTAACCAGAAATTGATCACTTACTTAAATATCCTGAATTAAAAAATTTATGTACATTTATCAAAAAACTGTCACCCAGGATGACGGCGCTGGCCGCGCGCTGGCTGTCCCGCTCGGCGCGCTACGTGGAGGTGTCGCCTGAGGCGGCGCTGGCGGCGGCGCGCTGGCTAGCGGCGGCGCAGCGCGCGGACGGCGCCTGGCCGCCGGCCGCCGCGCGCAACGCGCCGCGCGCGCAGGCCGCCGTGCCGCTCACGGCGCATGCGCTACTCGCTTTGCTAGATACTAAGGTAGGTTAACACTGTTTTTACATATATCTATACTCGTATATATTTTCTTTTTACTAGAAAAAGAGAACAGAAATGTCTGCCAGCATTTATCTCGGTTTCTATTAATATAGCAACTTCATTGCACTATATGTCATCTGGTAATCGTGATCTTGATTGAGAATATCGGAGGTGTAACCCACGGCATTTGAGCTCCTTTCAATTGATTTCACAAGCGAACACTACCACGATCGAGTCCCACTAAACTACGACTACCTTCAATAAGATCTAATGATAAGTAAAAATATTTACACAGTACATACATATTATAGGCTAACGACATGTTGTACAAAAACGCAATAAACAAAGCTCAAGACTTCCTCGCGAAATCCCTGTCCGCGGAACTGGACGCCTTCTCCCTGGCGGTGGCGGGCAGCGCGCTGGCGACGGCGCGGCACCCGCAGGCCGCGCAGGCACTGCTCTTCTTGGAGAAATACGCTAATACTACTGGTAATGTTCCTATTTGTCCTTCATAAGATTTTGATTGGCCCATATATTTTCTGCAATTTGTAGACCCCATTCTATTTTTTTTCGTCATATACATATACTGCCTTTTGAAGTTAACAGTGTACTGTAAGTATTCCTAATATACAATTCATTAATTTTCTATGATATCTTTACGGCGTAAATTCTTTCTTTACAAAGCTTTTTATTAACATTTTGCGACCTTATGCTAACTGAACAATTTTTCGATCCGATTTCCGTCCAGTGAATTCAGAACAAATAGTTTGTGATGACCATAAACACACTAGTGACACTCAAATACTTAATTCTGTACCACTCCTTAATAGCTACGACGTTGTTCTGGTCACGAACGATTGCCGGATCGGAATGGCGCAACCCTTGGTTGAAGAGCAACAGTCTAGAAGCTTCGACGGCGGCGTGGGCCCTCCGCGCCATGCTCGCCTCCAACCTGGTGGACGAGGCGGTGCCAGTCGCGCGCTACCTCATACAGGCCTTAGGACCTAAGGATCAGGACCCTGAAGTGGTGAGTACCATTGAAACACCTGGTTGAATTTACTTAAGCTTATAGCTTGTATATTTTAAGTAACTAATTTATAATATTTGTGTAGGTAAATTGTTGGGAGAAGGATATTTAGTTCAAATTCTTATCATCGACTAAATATCATAAATTGATCCATACTATTTGTATAAATATTTCAAACAAGACGAAAGACTTTTCATTACTTTGTGATTTGCACTGCTATATTACTTATAATTATATTTTCTTCTACGTCTACGTCTACGTTCTACGCACCAAAAATCTAAAACTAGTAATAAGAAAAACATTCTTCTGTAACTTATAACAACGTTTAAGGAATATGATATAATAGGAGAATGAATATAATGTTATTGATAGCTGGACGCGCTGTCACAATTCGCGCTGGCTATAAAGTCTGCGAGCAAGCTGCGCGTGGCGGTGCGCGTCGACGCCGGCGAGCCGCGCAACTTTAACATAGACAGCGACAACGCACTCATCATACAGACGCAATTGGTAATATTCGGTTTTTTCATGAACGAATTTGGCTAATTCGTCCATGGTTTTTTATGCATTTACTAGTGATTTATTTTAGTTAACAAATATGTTTTTTTGCTCTACTTTATAAAAACTTGTTATAATTGTAATATTCTCATATTATACTTTTAACAGTTTAACAAATGACCTTTAATATTTTACACCTACAAATATAATATAAACTAATAAGGAAATAAAAACCCTTTACGAAACTAAGATTAGTCTAGTACTTTTTTTTATTGGTCGTTTCCCTCATCGCGGCAATTTTTACGTAATACAGTAGCACGGGATGGGATCGGACCTACTTGAGATTTAGGTAATAAAAAAAAATATTTTCAGACTTCAAGGTTTTAAAACTAAAAATGCAACTTTCTAATAGTGTATATGTATTTATGTATGTCAGGTGCGCAACGTGCGCAACGCGAGCGCGGCGACGGAGGGGCGCGGCGTGGCGCTGGTGGGGCTGGCGGCGCGCGGCGCCTGCAACGTGACGGCGGCGTGGCCGCGCTACACGCTCGACCCGCGCGTCGACGCCGTCTCCACCGGCGACCGCCTGCAGCTCTCCATATGCGTCGGGTGACTACTGATCCTACTCATACCATTTTTTAGAACTATTACGGCACGCATAATTTTAAAATGCCTTATAGGACTATTAGTGGCGAAGGGTCCATCCATGACGTCTTACCTTAAAATATATTTTGCTATAATTTTACATACATTTAACTTTTTAAATGTATTAATGTTCTTTTGGAAACATATATGTATATATAATAGTAGCTTTATTTCTTTTTGTATTAATACGTATAAAATATATTTTTTTCAGATTTGTTCCAGTAGCAAATGAAAAAGAAAGCGGATTGACTCTGTTAACTGTTCAACTTCCCTCCGGATACTTAGCGGATATAAACACCATTACTGAATTAACGGTAGTACATTTTTTCAATATATTATCACAGCGTAAAAATCCATACAGTATGAGAAAGCTATCGTCCATAGATTTTAATGGAAATGCTGTTAATTACAAGGGTCCTCAAAAATAAGTAAATTTTCATAGTAAAATTAAAGCACTGTATCTCCCATCTTATGGTAAGTTACAGTTATACCCGTCAACTATTAAGCCGCTTCCCGTCTCGCATTTAAAAGTAGATATGCGTCTCCCTCGCACGCCCCGCACGATGGGCCTATCTTCATATGTCGACTGTATAGATTAGTAGACTGTGTGTTTTGTATAATTTCTACTAATGTTTAAACATTAATAGATACATTTACGTATTACATTTAACAATTTTAAATTACCTTTTATAACTATATTATAATATTTTATACAACTTTATAATATTAAAAATATGTATTACAAAGTTTGTATTTTATACACGGATATCAATTCAATAAATGATGAAGTGTAATATATTATGTATGATCTGGTACTGTGTGTGTCGCAGGCGGCGCGGCACGTGGTGGGCGCGCGCGTGCTGCGCGGCGGCGCGCGCGTTGCGGCGTGGCTGCGCGCCGGCGCCGCTGAGCGCTGCGCCACGCTGGCGGCGCCGCGCGCGCTGCCAGTCGCGCGCCAGCGCCCCGCCTGGGCCGAGCTGAGGGACTTGTACGACTCCAGTGAGTACCACTATACTACGTTCTAAGTAGTGTCCGCGATATTGAATCACATTTAAATAAAGCTATAACTTATGACGAATTCAACCTAAACGGACTACTATTATAAATGCGAGTTTGTGTGTGTGTTTGTGTTACTTAGTTGTGTGGATTTATATTGTGACCCCTTCACGCTGAAAGAATTTAGATAAAGTTTAGTAAGTACGCAGGTGAACTTTGAGTTGGAGTAACACAGGCTACTATTTAACACCTAGGGACGAACCCGTGCAAAGCAACATGTGTTTAAAACAGTAAAAGAAAAAATACAATAGCAATATGTTGTAATTGCATTTTAATACAAAAATATTTTAATATTATCAATATCACATGTAACGTTCGAAATGTAAACCCGTCGTCCGCAGGTCACCGCGCGCGCGTGTTCTACCAGGCGGTGGGCAGCAGCGCGTGCGACGTGTGCCGCGCGTGGGCGTCGTGCGCGCGCGCGTGTGGCGCCGCGGCCGGCCAGCTGGCGCCCGCCGCGCCCGCGCCCGCGCCTGCCGCCGCGCCCGCCGCCCTCGCGCCCACGCTCGCCGCGGCGCTGCTGTGCGCCGCCGTATTGATAAGATAAACACAGATACTTATCGATCAGGTCTGCCAGATAAGTCGTCGATTTACCCGACCGATAAACCTCAAAATACCCGGTTTATCCCGCCGGCCCCAGCCCTGAACAGAATATCCGAAAATAGTTTTCTTTTTAAGTAATTTATTCATGTTTTATGTAGAATAAAAGAAAGTACTAATGTTAGAAAAAGAAGTCATTGTACTCAATTCTCAATTAAACAGCTTTAAATTATTAAATCGAACGAAAAAAATATATTAAAATATCAAATTAATCAGCTAAACTATAATACCTGCTTTGACAGCCTCTGCTTTATCGTTAAAATTACCCGCTTTTCGGGTAATTTACCCGCCAATTGGCAGCGCTATTATCGACTGATGTAAGTTAGCGGATTCAAAGTTAGCATAGTCGGTACACTCCAAGTGATCAAAGTTAACAGATTCAAAGTTAGCGCAAGCGGCATTGTCATCTGTTTTTATCTTTGTAGTGCTGTGTGGTAGACGGTAGTTGTAAAATTATCTCAAGTACTAGTACTTACGTGTTAATACTTAATATGTAAGAATGTAAATAAAAATTGAATAGTGTGGTAGCGTAATTATCTCAAGGTTAGGTATACCTAAACCCAGACATATAACCTTTTAAAAAAAAACTATCTGTAAACATATCGTCACTATTTTGATTCACATTTATTGACTGAAGATGACGCTAATCTCTTTTAATCATTGATATTTAATTGAAAAGCGTACAACAAATATGATTAATATTATAGTTCAAATAACATACGACCGCTTTTTAATACATATACCTATGTGTGAGAACAAATTAATGTCGCTCTTCATTGTACCGGCTCTCGGTGCCATGTCGATTTTGACAAAGAGTCTCGCCTAGTCTCGCTTTTCACGGAAGCAACCGGAAATAAAAAAACCGGCCAAGTGCGAGTCACATAAAAACAGCAAAAAAATTCACGTTTGTTGTATGGGAGCCCCCCTTAAATATTTGTTTTATTTTAATTTAATTATTTATTTTTAAAGTGAATACATATATAACTAAATATTCTGTGAATATTTCAAGGGTCTACCTGTTTCCGTTATCAATATCGAGCAAAAACGTGCAAAAATATCACGTTTGTTGTATGGGGCTCCCCCTTTAAATATTTATTTTATTCTGTTTTTTAGTATGTGTTGTTATAGCGGCAATAGAAATACATCACCTATGAAAATTTCAATTGTCTATCACGGTTCATAAGATACAGCCTGGTGACAGACGGACAAACAGACAGACAGACAGACGAATGGACAGCGGAATCTTATCAATAGGGTCCCGTTTTACCCTTTGGATACGGAACCCTAATAAATGAGAGTGTACACCCTGTAAGCTCGCACTCACGAATTCTAATGCAAAAGCTCTAGCCGAGAGAGATAGAGTCATTTCTAACACAGACCAGGAACAACGTCTAACTAGAGAACAAGTATAGGAGCGCACAACCGCCTTCAGTTAGTACGTAGCTTAGACTTTTCTTATGTATTTTGATATCAACAGCGATATATAAGTAATATTGATATGAAATTTATTGTTTACTTTTATAACCATAGTTTTAAATATAAATAAACGTTGTATTTCACATATGTCGTTAGGGGGTTTCTAAATTTGAACTATACGTGCCTGTACGTGGTATGTATAATGGTAGGCAATAATTATTTATAAATAATTATCTAATAATAATTAAACCCACAACAGAGTTAAATACCTATATTATAATATGAATTGTATTATAAATCCTAAACAAAGTTTATAAGTTCCCTCCCAAAACAAAAGATGTAAGCAAATAGTATGTAAATAGATTATAAAAAATATTTAGATACCTCCATAGTTGTAGTTAAAGCGAAATATGCATATTTAACATAAATTTTATCGTTTATTTTTTATTTAATATAATATTACAGAATATTTAAAAAAAATGTTTTATTTATTTATTTTTTTCTAAGACATGTCAATTAAACAAAGGTGTTATAAATGAAATAATTGTAATGATTCATAATAATATTACTTATCAATAGTATGATATAAATTATGTTCTCACGTTATTTAGATTGTATTCATAGTTGATTTATGTAAAAGAGTAAGATGTAATAGATACTGGATTGTAAAAGAAAGAAGAAATTTAACTGATGAAAATAAGAGTAATCAAACAAAATACCACAAAGGTTTCTTGGTATATTATACATATATGTATGTAGATTAATTGTAAATAATTAAAGTATTTATCGGGGGGCACAACAGTGCCCCCGCCAAGTCGAGCAAAAAAGGGCACGGCAATTTTTAATTCTTCAGTGAAAAATTATATAAAATGACAAAGAGAAAGAAGTTGCCAGCTGTTACTGAAGTTTTTGTTCACTCTTACCCTCTTCCCTTTTATAATCCAGCTATTATTAAATAATATGTTAATAGATATTATGTAACTAATTTTATCGTGGTTGTGATTAAGGCACAATTACTTAAAAAACATAATGCATTTACGAACATTTGAAAAGAAATAAAAAAATATGTATTTAATTTATGTTGATAATCAAAATTATTACAAAAATATACGTACTTACAATACTACTTTTATGTTTTATTTGTAATTTAAATATAAATACGAATAATATAATTTAATATTTTCATTGACTCTTAGCTTATTTTACTGACACAAATCTGTAGTCTTCATAAGTGAAAAGCAAAGATTTTATTCTGGAAAAAGAACGTTATAAATATACATATGTATAGGTATAATCTTCCGCCTTTGCCTTGCTCCATATTACAGCCTATTATTTTACGAAAGCAATGACTATTATATACATACAGTCTAATATTTGCGATGAACTCAAATTTCCATTTTCTTGATCATCCAATGAAAGAAACCTAGAATCGAGAATGACATGGAGAGGGGTACTGCGGAAGCCTTTATCCAACCCCACAAACTAGAAACAAGAAAGTTTCATAAATAATATTATTATTACAGATTAATTATAATTAAAAACTACCAGACACTGAAAAGTAAAAAAGTGTGTGTGTGTGTGTTATTGTAAAGTTTATTTAAAAAAAATTATGATATTTTTACCAAGTTTAAAAGTTTGTTTTACATTTTATTTAACATATATAAACGGGTGCTTTCATTTACTTGTAGATACCTAATCAGATATTTTCAAGTGATCGCTTACTGTATGGATTTTTATACTGTAATGGTAGAATGTGATAGGATCCATCGTCTATGTTGGTAATAGGTATATTTCTACAGATATTTTACTCATCATATTATATTAATAAGAAATTTCAAAGTACTGACTCGTAAGGATCGTCGGATATGTAGAAGGGCTGCGTAGGCAAGAGGCCACAATCCTCAATGTACACTCGCACCTCAGGCTTGTCCTCCATGTCCGTCGGCGTTTGCTCTATCATGTGTACTACTTTTTGTCCATCTACCACCTAATAAAAGTGTTTTTTAAATTCATATTACGTATAAAATGCCATAATTTAAATAATATTTTTTTACCTTACAGAATAAAATATAGTAAAAGAAAAATAATTCTCTTATTATTTATTAATGGGATTATTATATTATTTAATAAAAGGGAGGTAAAACTCGCCATATGAAAACGTTGACAATCATAAAAATCGGACCAGTGCGAGTCTGACTCGCACACCGACGGTTCCGCACAAACATTTTACTATTATTTAAATTATTTACATACCCAGTTGTGGGTATGTACAAAAGTGAAATTGTTCGTCCATCACGGGACTCGGAACTTGAAGATAACTCCCGCTTTTTAACCTACTTTAAATATATCGGGGGTTCAAAAATGTTATGTAAGGACAAACAAAATCTCTTAAATGTATGGGGCTACGTCAAAAACCATGCTAAGTCGAAATCCCGCGACGATCGCTGAGATGAGAATCCAACCTAATGGATGACAAATTCCATAAATAGATTATATTCATTTAAACTACAAAAAAGTCAAAAAAACTTTCATCCCCTATTTTACCCCCATAAAGGATGAATTTAAAAAAATCTAAAACACGTGTTTATTTAATCTTATTGAAGAGCATTAATACTAAGTTTCAAGTAATTTTTTTGGATTGTATTATAACGTATTTTCTTGTGGGAATTAATAATCTCCCGTGGTAAAAAGTAGCCTATGTCACTGTACAGCCCTCCAACTATCTTTACGCCAAAAACACACCAATCCGTCACTCCGTTTCGACGTGAAAGAAGGACAAACAAACAAACACACTTTCACGTTTATAATATTAGTATGGATAAATAGCTAAGTACGTATAACAAAGTAAGCAGTTAGATAATTGTAGAGCTACATTCACCAAAATAATTTGGTAACATTATTGAAATTTATAAGCTATGAAAGCACCGAACTTTGGTCTAACGAAAAGTTAAACTGGATTGAAGGACAAACTTATGGACGTACAACGAAGTCATCCTTTAAGTGTTCCTTTTTTCCTCTTGAGGTACGGAACTCTAAAAATGAACTAAAGTCGTGGTGATGTATTTTAGCTATTTTTAACATTTAGATATATTAGTTCTAGAAATTTCCTCCTCTTTCTGAATCTTTTTTCGAATTTGAAAAATGTCAAATAGTTTTTGAGATATTTGCTAAAACACCAAACCCCATTTCTTTCAGTTTACTGTTAATAACTTATGGAATTTTTGGAAGCAGCTTTTGAATTTTTCCAAAAATCATCTACACGCTATTCTGAATTGAATGACACCTCCTTCATATTTTTCGGAGGCGGAGAAAAAAGTTTGACCCAAGAAGCACTTGTTGACTAGACTATTAATGAATACGGTAAAAACAAGAAAAGTACTCGTAAAGTTTAGTTAATAAAAAATCATTTTTATTGGCGCGAAGTAATCTGTGTCTATGCCTGGCACGCTTTGAAGCCGTTAACAAGAAAATTAAACTGAAAATTCACTTTTTTTTTAATAATATGGATTTTGGTATAACATCGTTTCTAAAATAATTAATTGTAATTAAAAAAGATTACCTTTCCTATCACAGAATGTAAGTTATCCAACCATGGTGTTGGTTTTGTGGTTATGATAAACTGACATCCATTCGTATCTTTCCCTAAAATAAAACATATTATTATACATATTATAAGAGGTTTATGACTTTACATAGTATGTTTTTATTAATCTTTGGATATATGAGCGTAAATGTAATCATATTTAATATATTTAAACGAGCAATTCTTGTATATTTATTTATAATTAACTTTTCAGAAAAATGTAATCTTTGTAATAAATAACCTGTAGGGAAATAAAAGCAGCTCTCATATTTCATTATTCAGACAATAATTAAATATAAAACCAAAACAAATGTTGGCTAATTTTATTTTACTAGATACTACCGAGACACCCTCGCTTCGCTCGAGTTAGTAAGTATGGGCTAGATAGACTATATATTTGTACAATATATTATATGTACATAGGTATGATGAGTTTTATACCCCTTATCACTAGAGAAATGATTGATTCCCCATACAAACTTTCATCCACCTTTTCAACCCCATAAGGGATGATTCGAGGGATACAAAGTATCATGTGCCCTTCCCAAGGTCTCAAAACTATTTCCATACCAAATTTCATTTAAATCAATTCAGCGGATTTTTAGTTTATGCATTACAAACAAACATACAAAAGATCTTTTTTTCTCTTTATACTATTAGTATAGATATATCTACTCGTAGTGCATACATTTCTACATACCGTTATTAGCCATTGATACGAAGCCAGCCGCGGTGTGCTCCGTATCTAAATTTTCATCCTCAAAAGTTTTACCGTATATACTAATCGAACCTCTACCATCATCGGACACAACATCTCCTCCTGAAATAAATTTTCATTATATCTTTATTCACAACATTTCTCACTGTCGTTGTGCATTAACGCATATTTAATTTTAAAAACAACTCACCTTGTACCATAAATCTTTTAATTACACGGTTAAAACCAGTGCCTTTGTATGATTTACCGTTTATACCTTTTGTAGCCAATACTTTAAAGTTTTTCACACCTTTTGGTGCCAAGTCACCGAAAAGTCCTATAACTATTCGACCCAATGGTTTATTTTCACTTTTAATGTCCAAAAAAACTTGATCTGTGACTCTAAATTGTCGCGCCTGGAAGTCCAATGGATAAAATGTATAAGTATAGCGAATAAAAGGTTAACAAATTTTATTTCTTTTAACATTTAGACATAGGGGATGTAGAGATTTCTCACACAGTTTTTCATCCAAACTATCCACCGTAAAATGAAAATTGCGATAATTAGACATATGCAGGAATTTTTTATTAATAAATTTAATTACTTACATTAATTACAAGAATTATTTGTAATAAAATACTGAACAGTAAAAGAAAATTCATATTTATAGTTTATAGGTACTAAAGTTACTTCGGAGAGCAAATAATCCAAGCTTCGTTTGAAACATACACAAATCGAATGAAAGCTGAACCTTGTGGTAGAGACTGTTCGTTAATTGGATAAAAATTATGGTAAAGAAGACATAGAAATGCTTTTCATCCGTATACTTTGGTGTAGGTATAAAGGTTTTACTAAGTTGTTCTTTAGGCGGACAAGTGTAGTAAGTAGGTAACAAAGATTATTGATTAACTTTTTATTTGGAATCAAATTTCTATTTTAGTCTAAGTGTAAGGACCCAGAGTAGATATTAGTGAAGCCAAATATTCCGTTCTCGTGTCCGTATTGCACTTCGCCATAAATACGTATTGACATCGGCATTAATATACGTATAATAGAAATAGTGAAACTCATTACAGCTACATATTATAATTATTATTTTATTGCTCCTTATTTTGATTTATAAATAACTAGCAGCTCATCCTCGCTTTGCTCGGGTTCGTCGCTAGAAAAATAAAAACATCTATGCCACGGGAACCATACATTTTTCAGGGATAAAAAGTAGCCTGTGTGGTTTCCAAACTATAATCTATCTCTGTTGTGACATCCAGATTCGTTCAGCCGTTCTGGCGTGATGGAGTAACAAACATCCATCCATCCAAACTTTCGTATTTATATAGTAGTAAGACTAACTTACCCTCGCTTCGTTCGGGTGCGTTTATGACCTTACATGGTTTAGGAACACATACTCGTAACAGACAAACGTCCAAAGAAAACTTTTTTTTAGGCTAGGTACTTGCACAGACGTATTCCTATTGCATAAGCCACCAGAAGCTTCATCAAAATCCGATTAATGGTTTAGGAACATATAGAGGGCAAACATACGAACTTTATTTTATACCTATACATACCTATAATAAAACTGTAGAGGTCGAATGGCTGTACGTAGAAATAAAATGCTAAAAACCGTGTCAGGGGGATGTAAGAAGAGGAATAGAAAAAACGAGACTTTTTCATTTTTTTTTGTTTCTCTGTCTGTTTGTACGGGCTAATCTCCGAAAATGTTGGACCGATTTAATTGAAGAATGAAAATATGAAAGATAGATCGCCAAATAACCTTACATGTTGAAGAGAACAAGCCGTACATGTTTTCGGCCAACATAAAGAAACGGAGTTCAAACATATTTTTAAGATGGAATTGAGTGTTTGTAATAAAAAGTGCTTTTAATAAAAAGCAAAGTATTTGCGAAAAACTGATTTATGTGATCTTTTTGACCTTTAATACCTTAGGACGCGAATACAAGATTATATCAGACTTTTGTCACAGTGCCAAAACAAAGGCTGATACTTTTCAGCTTATTATCTTTTTATTCCGAGGTGAAGCCCCTATATTTTGCCATACATTTTAATGATCTCATAATTTCTGACAATGAAGATACTTTTATAAAAATAAGGAACAACCCTTGGCGGTAGCGTAACTTTCTATTAAGTGAAACAATTTTCAGAATCAGATCAGTAGTTTTAGAGATTATTCCTTACAACCAAACTTCCAAACTTTACCTCTTTAAAATATTAGTGTAGACTAGGGTTTTACTTTAGGTATCTACTTTAACAGAGCATCTTTAGAAGAAAGGATTTTTTTCGACTTAATTCAAAAATATGTTCATACAGCATACCGGTATATTATTTTTGCGCTATATTTATATATTATAATTTTCCTAGATAATCCTTATTTTGGGATATTCTCTTTCTAGAAGGAACATGTTTAAAAATTTAAAGTACTTTCTCAGATTCTATCTCATTCCAAACTAATACAAACATAACATTGTATAACTCGCGTCATCTAAAAAGAACGCTGGCTGTCAAGCTGCGCAGAGGCGATTTATCGGTCAAATTGGTGGTAAGAAGCGGGGCGCGGGGCGGCTCGGGGCAGCGGGGCACGCGCCGCATGCTTGCCGGCGCGCTATTGGTTCGTCAGTTCGAAATACCATCGCGCACACAAAAGTTTTTAATTACGAAATGGTTTTATATATAGAAAAGAGAAAAATTATTTTTGAAGTATATTGTTTTACAAAGAGAGAGTCTGATAATAATAAAGTTAATAATTAAAAAAAAATGTATTAAACGTATCAATTTAATTTTTTGTAAGTAGATTAAACATTCTACACTGAATCAAACATATTTAAATAATGAATAGAATTCTATTTAATGATATTCTATCTAATATATTTTTCAATGTCCCTACCAATAACTAATTTATATGAAGCCGCGAGCGAAATGCTATGAAAAATAAAATAATAGGCTTAGTACTTTTGTGCGCGAGTATACCCATGCGCAAACATACCCTCTCCACTTTCTTCCAGCGTTCTTTTTAGTTGACGCGAGTTATAATAATATTATGTAGTGATGCTTCCAGATTTTTTTCTTTTAATAAATTGTAATATTTTTAACAATGACTTGTTACTCGTGGTTATTATCTACCCTATGTATTTTTCGTGCAAATGTGATTCTGTGATAGAACAACTTTTAGGCAAAGACTCTATATATCGCCAAAGATTACGCGTCAATAATATTAATAAAGAACTGCTATAACTACAAAAGATATTTTTGATAAGAAAATGTGAAAATTAAAAATAGAAATAATATTACTGTTATGATAAATTATTAATAGATTATAATGGGGAAGAATTCTTGAATGGAGGGCGCCACACGTATGACCTATTTACATTCAGTCTGAGGTTAAGAAATTTATTGATATCTCTTATAATACGGTTTTTTACTTTTATTGCGTTCAAAACTTATTTGGAAGTTAAACCAGCTAAGGAAGAGTTGAGAAGGAGAGGTGCATCCTACGGTGGTCCTGACTGATGGATCAATACACAACCTAAACCGCTGGTCGTAGAAACATGAAATTTGGAGGACGTATTCCTTATATGATGTGCATCCAACAAGAAAGGATTTTTCGAAATTCATCCCTTAAGTGGGTAAAATAGGGGATTAAAGATTGTATGAAACTCTGTCATTCTTAGTGTGAAATATACAGAAAGAGTTATTTTGCTTTAAGATAAAATATAAGAAATATATTTATTTTTTGCCAAAATTCATCCCTTAAAGGTGTAAAAGGAGGTAATATAGTATCACGTGAAACTTGGCATTAATGCTTTTCAATACAATTAAACAAATAGGTGTTTTATCTTTTTTTTGAAATTCCATCCCATAAGGGGATAAAATGGGGGATGAAAGTTTGTATGAAACTCTGTAATTAATGTGTAAAAAAGTATAAACATTAAAATATCATCTATAGACGATTTAAGAGTTTTAAAATCACTGTGTCCACATAACCTTGAATATAAAGAGTGTGGTTTCGCCAACTTTGGTCGTCTTATTGCTTTAGCTCTCAATTTCTTCTGTTTTTTCTTTTGGGAATAAATGATATCCATTTTTCATGCATCCTGGCACTGCACAATTTGTCATTTTAATTAAATTTAAAATAAAAAGAAAAAAATCGATCCACGCTACAGAGCTTTACAATATAACGAGGGCCAAAGTGACCGCAACATCCGGCGGGAGAAAATGGCAAAGTCCTTCCCTATATATACCTACACAAAGTTTAAACTAAACATTCTAAAATCATTTTTATATGTAGCAATATATTTTATGACATTCTATTTGTTTAATGGCAACTTGTCACTTTCCATGTGTCAAGTGTCAACTGTCAATGTTCTGTTCAATTATCAATGTGTCAAAGTTGAAACTTGAGCATTTTTAGAGAAATTGATGGTAAACAAAGTAACATAAAGTGAATAAAATGAATAATCAATAATTGTAGTAAATTAGTAGAATGTTTATTGAAGTTTAACAGGAAACGTGTGTAAAGCAATTATAACAAGAATAACATAAAACATGACAGTAAATAATACAATAGCTCATCAACGTCTGATCCTTAGTGGAGACCGGGAAAGGTACGTTACCTTCAGATTTCACATTCTATATGTTGTATATTTTGATCCACAAATAGGATATTTAATAATATATAAATTAAGTGAAATACAGTAGCATCTACTTATTGTTAGTTTGTGACAAGATCACGCAATAAATATGCCGAACTTAATTTAATATTTTATATATTTTATGTATTTGAGAATATAATTTAAAATAATAATAAGATTTCTATTACTTACAGTTATTTATGTTTTGTATTTACAATAAAACCTTATATTGAAAGACCTCTCATGCTATTCTGCCTTGCACTTCTTTTTTTATCATTTGTAAGATTCACAATACAATGATATAAGTCTATTAAATAAAGAAAATTTGGATTTTTTGACTTATTAGATAAGTACTTTTTTATTTATTAGAAGTTAGCCAACCCAACAACTAACATTGTCCTGACCAATTTCAATAAATTTATGATCTTTGACAATCCTAATTGCTTGAAAAGGGCTCATTAGTTTCTGCTTAAATTCCCAATTTTCAGAAAACTTTCTAGATTGTTTTTCACTAAAAATGTTATTTGAACTACTATGAACATTTAAACCAAATTAGCAAATTTATTATCAAAGATACAATCCTTAACTAAAGACATACTCGGATAATAAGTTTGCTTTATATTTAAATTTTCAGGTTTAAAGAACTTTTAAGGAGACGTCTTATTGAATGTGGATGGAGAGATCAGGTCAGAATGTTATGCAGGGAGGTTGTCAAAGAAAATGAAGGCAGTAATCTTCCATTTGATGTACTATTGACAAGAGTCACTCCTAGAGCTAGAGCACTTGTACCAGATTCTGTCAAAAAAGAATTACTACAAAAACTTAAAACACATCTCTTGACACAAAAAGATCAGTAGACAGCTTTACTTTTTATTTTTATATCACTTGAAATTAAATAAGGATAATATGCAATTTCTGTTTTTCTGAATCAAATCACCTTTCATCATCAATATGCAAAGGATATAATAAAAATAATTTATAACCAACAGTATATTTTATTTATAAACATTTACAGTTACATTAAACAAAAATACATATTGCTTACATACACTTCCATAATACTGCCTTTAGATCCTATTTATCTGACTGTCATGACTGCATCTTTCATATTTTATGTATTAGAGAATTGTCATGTTTGAGAACTTATAATAATGAGATTTAATATAATGCTAACTGCTCATCTAATTAACCGAAACTAAATCAGATCCATAAATGTTAAACTAAATTATACTGGAATGTTACATGTTTTTTTAATAAATTGGTGCACAGTTAATTGGTATTTTATGACTTCAAATACACTTAAAAGTTTACTTATTTGTTATTTAAAATGGCAACTAAAATTTAGAATATTTTCCCTCAGTGATAAAACCTTGTGCTCATGGTAAATAATTTGATCAATATTATCTCTGTCTAAAATTCACTTTATTCTTACCACACTCTATTGAAAGAATAATTTATTTCCTTAAGCTCTCTTAACAGGAAAGATATCTGAAATTATTAAAAATATAAAACTATTTCAGTATCGAAGATCTTGATTTTTATTACATCGTTGACAGTAATAATTTAAGTTAACAGTGTTGAGCACTAAAATAAAAGATTAATTACACTAATGTTTCCCCCACTGTAATTTACACAAAATATTTTTAATATTGTGATATATTATGTTGTATAACATATCAGTAAACAGTGATCATTGCAGTATTATATTACTATTATATTTATACATTTTAATTAAATTTAGTTCTGGTTCACAGGAGAATAGTAATGAAGCAAACAATTTTATTCTAATATAAACATACACCAATTTTATGATCAGAATAATTAAATGCATTAGTGTATAATTTTTTTTTAATGAAATTATGAGCAATTAATTTTTTCTACAATAATATCCTTAAAGCTCTGACACATGATAAAGCCCACTATCGCTTGCGGTTCTGTCACTTTGGGTATAATATGTATGGATTTTTGAAGAGACAAGAACCTGATAAATTTACAAAAGATATACATATATAGAACATTTCCATTACCTCCCATTTAAAAACAGGCTAATATACAAAGATGACCACAGTTCGATTAGTAGTGTAGACTTTATATGCATTTTACCAGTATGTACAAAGATTTACAAATGGAATGTTTCATGGACTCAAATATACCATCATGGGTACAGTTTTTGATCACAATTTTTATAAAGTATTTATAACAATATCAGTACTCTCTTATATAATTACATCTAATAGTAATATTTTTCTTAAGTTACACTACAACATCATCTACATATAAATCACCTATTAAATATTCATTTACAAAATACTGCCGATTACTGATGAGCAATTGAATATTTGAGTTTAAACATTCATATGTATAACATCAACTAGTTGAGACAAGTTTCTTTTTATTTTGTTTATCTAAATACGTATGTAAATACAAAACAAGTATAGCACTACCTCATAATACTTCATTTCCGTAAATTTCATTTTAATCATTAATTAATTTAAAACATGAATCAAACTTTTTTTTGAGCATTTTAGTAAAAAATAAAGTAATTAATCATAAAAAAGATTTTAATACGTGCAACAAAATATTATTTATCTATTAAAATATATAATATATGAAGTTACTATAAGTAAAATACCATAAAGGACATGAATTTCATTATCCTATTACATCATCACAATTAAATTTATGGATGCATGCATGCACACTACAATAATTAATATAAATTTTGATACTTTGTAAATAGCTACACTTTTGAGCAGAATGAATGAACAAGAACAGTTCACAACTGGTAACATACTCGTAAGCTTCACAGTCCCAAGCAGTAATATCTACATCAATATAATTTATATAGATCAACATCAGCTCAATACTCTACTTATTGTAATGAATATTATATTACGACATAAATAAAAATAAATATAAATATTTTTGAGATTCATCAAGAAATCTATATCGGGCTCGATTTATATTTTTTTCAAGCAAAATAGTATCACGTTAGCTGCGATAGAATAGAGCTATCTAAATAATTTGTAGGGACAGTTAGCAGCTTAATTCGTTAAGGAATAACAGGCTATTAGCCATAGCATAACTATGGTTTTTCAACATCACATAATAAAATTTCGAAATAACACAACAGCTCCAGCAACTATTGGCTATTCACAACCCGCGCTCAATTCACGCTAATTTTGATTCCTTTGGCTCATCGAATCGATATGGCATAGTTACAAACACTATTCACAATAGTTCTTTAAAAGTAAAAATATCCACTGTAACATACATACGTACTTAATATTTATAAAATACAATTCAAAACTTTTCATTATAAAACAAAAAGCGATACGTAACTCGTAACGATTACACGATAACGGAAAATCTATTACAATAATAAATCTTAACACCCATCATAAAAATAATAACTTTTAAACATCGTCTTTTCTATTATAACTCTTAGGACTGACAAATTCAACATATATTGTGCTACATGTTATGTATATAATATAAATGTAATAAAAAGATCGCTAAAAAGCATTATAATTCTACGTAAAGAATTATCAGTTTACCGAAATATACATATATTTGCTTACATACTAAAATATACGTTTAACCCTTAACTCCCTTCACCCTCACCAGATCTCATGAGCTGCCTTCTTTAAAGCCTTCTATTTTATTTCGTCACACCTAAACTCTTACAAAAACGAAAATTCATTTACATTTATTACAAATACATTTAAATCAAACAATAAATTATGGCTGCATTTGATTTGTCCATAAATGAAAAGGTTAAGGTCTAACTAGATATTAAGGATAATTGTACTAAATGAATTTTATGACATTCTCTTAACAGTGCACCCTCTCATATCTACCAGCATTTATACCGCCATATCATTTGTACATGCGTGTGTGTAGACGAGTGTGGTATTATTTTTCATTTATTTTAATGATTAAAATCAAAAAATATGCAAAATGTATATCTACTTTGTTAACTCAAAATTTTCAAGAGATTAAAATCGAGTATACATTATAATCCGCTTATTATGAGTAGCCACTGACGCAGCAGCAGATGACTTCGTTTACATTATATTGAATATTTTATTATTACCAATTTTTACAGTTTTCTCATAAAATGTCCTGTACTTTCGCTCAATGCCTGGTTATGGCCTAAGTTTTTCTGCTATCTGTATTGTGTGTGTTTTATTAGGAAAACATTGTTAGTTATGAATTGTTAGACTATAATAAAAAAAAAATTTTTAATCTCTCTAAATGGGTATGACGTCCGCTTAAAATGACTTGATATTTCTTTTCGATATCTTAATCTTAAGGCGCCATAGGTTCGACCAAACTTCTCATGCGAGGAGGTAGTACGCCTGTCCATTAAGCGAATACGCTTCAATATACAATTGATAAATTTATAAATAGCATTTGACAGTTTCCTTCTTGATTACATTTATTACGTATCGTAAGCGAAAGTATAGGAAAATCTTGCATTTCTTATACACATGTGAGGTTAATTAAAGTAAAAAAATATGGAAATCTTTGATATTTTTTTCTGTTAAACAAATAAATGAAATCGTAATTTAAGCGGTTTCCACTATACATAGGAAAAACAAAGACCAATACTAGAGCGAATCAGCGGTAGTCAAAGTGTGTGTGCGTGTAGTGGTAGGGCGTGTGGTGCGCGTGCGTGTAGTGGCAGGGCGGCACGCGCGGGCGCGGGCGCTAGGGCGGCGCGCGGCGCGGGCGCGGCGGCGCGCGCGACACCAGCACCAGCGCCGACGCCAGCGCCAGCCGCACCGGCGCGCGCGCGCCGCCCGGCAGCCTGCGGGCGCACGGGACACTGTTACGTTATCTTACTTATATATAACTAGACAAACAGAAACAAATCTATCCCACGGGAACCGTACATTTTTCCGGAACAAAAATTAGCCTATTTGGTGTTTTGATATATGAACTATATTATTGTAAAGTTTCATTAAAATGCAATCAGTAGGTTTTGTGTACTAAGCTGTATAAGTTACTATAGTTTTTAAATATCCCACGGAAACTCTTTAATTTTTCGGGATGAAAAGTATCTAAAATGTTGACCGAGGGGATATAAGGTACCACCATGCAAAATTTCATTTAAATCGGTCCGACAGTTTCGGAGGTTAGCTCGTACAAACAGACAGAAACAAAATTGCTAGCATGTATAGCTGCAGATAAAGATGTTAAGTCCCGGTTTGGGCTTAAATAGTTACTGGATTTTTCTGTCAATAAATTCTCAGAAACAGCTCGGAGAGCATGTGTTGGGTCAGTATCAATCGTATCAAATTATCGTCTCACTACAGTTTGGAAATGTAAAGACGTTTGTTCCTCACGTTCTCAGAGAGTGCAAAGATAGGCCACTGCGACCTAAATCGGTCAGGTTGAAATAATTGTTATAGTTAAATTAAAATTATTATTATAATAATACTAGCATTGCCCGCGGCTCCACCCGCGTTGAGATGACCAAAAAAAATTTTTAGGTTTTACATATTAGTATACTCTTACATTGCAGTTTTTGTATTTTTTCTAAGAAATGAGATATTTTCCCGCGGAAAAAAGTATCCTATATGTTGACCCGGATAAACAGCTGGAAATACCAAATTTTATAAAAATCCCTCCAGTGGTTTTTCTGTGATGCGGTAACAGACAGACAGACAGAATGTCTATTTTAATAAGATTTTCCAAAAAATATTTAATGTACAGATTTGGCTTACTTACAATTTTATTATATGCATAGATAACGAATGTTATATATATATATATATGCAGCCCGCATGCATACATAACAGACGATAAATATATACGCCCGTTACCGAGATGGTTAACGCATTACGAGGAGACTACACTCAGCAGCGGACGGGAATGAGCTGCGCTGCTTGTGGAATACGGCAAAAGAAAGGGCCCAGAAGGATATGGCGGGATGAAACTCCTTCCAGAGAGACTGGTTTATTATGGCGGATGACAGGGAGAAATGGAAGAAAAGTAGGGAAGCCTTTCCCTGCAGTGGGCAGTGGACACCATAGGCTCGTAATTGGCTATTCGACAGTTGTATCGATAAAATTTGAAATATGTTGAATATTTTTGCATTAAGATAAAAGATTATTGCGAGTGATATAAAATGAATATTTGCAAATGTTTAAACACTTTCCCGAGAAGTGTCAAGTAGGCGTTACGTCGTGCTAACCTGACGAGCAGCGAGGTGACGGCGGCGCGGCCGTCGGCGGTGGGCTCGATGGCGACGGGGCGCAGCTCGGCGCGGCGCCGGCGCCCGCCCGCGCCGCCGCCCACCACCACGCGCACCGCCGCGAACGGACGCTTCGCCATGTGCAGCATCTGTACACACACGAGTTTCACTTAATGCAATCTCTTCCAACCTTTTTTATGACGATGATAAGTATAGCAAAGTATATGGCGAGCTAAGATAATTGCGATTCCCTTAAAGAAACTTCGCAACCCAAATATCCCGACTCCCACATTGAAAATCCGTGTTCAACTCGAGATATTCTATAGGATTTATCATCAAGTTTGAATTTAATATTCACCACTGCGGGTTTTAGTAAAAAAAAGAACTTAAAATAAAACTAAAGCTTTGAAATCAGCAAGTTTTTTTTTGGAATACATTAGTTCAAATGATTAATTTTTCCAAATGTGCATGATTTTATAAAAAAATAATAAGACGATTAAAACACAAATGCAAACAGTGTTTAATTAACGCAAACTCAGCACAGTATGGGATGATTTTGATGTTTCGAGTGAAAGATGCATATTGATTTGACGCTGTGTCGTGTCTCAAACTAATTTTATTATTCTTGCAATTTCTCGATTTTAAAATAAATAATTTATACACATAGATAATATAAATTTATTATATACCATAAAATACATTTATACAAAAATTATATCAAACTCACCTCGACCACATGTCGCCTGCGCGCCCTGCGCACGTCGGCCGCCTGCTTCGCCTTCCACGCCACGACACATGCCGCCAAGAACAGGAAGAAACATGAAAAGAATACCGAGAAGAACACGAACAGATCTATATGGAGCTGGTCCTGGCGGAAGAAGGTGATCCCGAAACTCGCCGACCCATCTTCCGTGTGACGCGCACGCACTATTATGAAGAACTTAGTGTGCGTTAAATCGTGTACATTCTGAGGCAGTGTCAGAACTAGGCGGTTGCGAAGGTTTTTCACACGTAACAAAACGTTCCTCCTATCAACAGTAACATATGTAGCTAGGTCCTTTGCTACATAGTCGGCGAGCGCGTATTCTATTTTGTCATAGTACCACGTTATCTTCCCGGGTTTCTCTGGTGAATGATCGTCGAAGGATGGCAGTTTCCGGAAAGATTCGTGTTTATAGTATGTTGGGTCCAATTGTACAGCGTGGGCTCCTGTACTTGAATTCACAGAAACAACAAATGAGCTGTCATTGGGACTCATGTACAGGTCCACTGCGCCTTGAGTAACATCCACTATAACTCGGATGTCCACATTCATGTATCGCGGGTTGACGGCAACAAAGACTGTCTGCCCTGCATATAATGGACGAGGTTTGATCTTGCACTCATCTGTATGAAAAAATGAATAATAAAAGTATATAACTGTAATAATATAACAGTAAATATGCCTACACTTAAGATGTAATGAAATCAAAATGAAAAATACAAAAACTAAATACATAAAATCAACCAACTTAGTTTAGTCTAATTGGGATCAATTTAAATGAACTACTTTAGGAGTTCCACATCATTTCTTTCTTTTTAGTTAAATAATTATTCTTAGTTTTAACAATAGCCTATCCTAGTATTAAATCATTTTCATTTACTCATCACAGGGATCTTTGTTGTCTATATTATTTTTTTATTGTCTTAAGAAAAGTCAAGTTTATCTAATAAAAGCCAAATAATAAACACATTGTTAAAGTGAGTATATTTTGTAAAGTAGTTGTCTTATTGCTATCAGCACATTCGTGCCCATTCCAGCAGCTCGACCGAGAAAGTACCAGTACTTTTCCTGCTGTGTTGTGCGTCTAAAGATTAACCAGATATTTCTAGCCGATCATTGCACGCGTGTAAGACTTGGTATTGCAAGCCTTCATATATGACATTTACTGTTTACAAGGCAGACACTGTTTAATTGCCATTGTTGTAATTCTTTAAAGAAAAATCAACACTAAAGCCCAAGACTGAACGGATGATTTTTTTTACAAATTATCATTGAAGTAAAAAAAATCTTATTTATAAAAAAAAGACAAAGGCAATTCAAAATTATAAAAAAAAACAAGTAAAAAACAGTCAATACTAACCAATAGACTTGCCATCGAAGCACAGCTTGTTCTCAATATTGATGGTCTTATAGCACTGGTGTCCGTTGCGCGGGTCGCCCATGTACAGGTCGCGGCACTTGACGCACTGGTAGCGCCAGCACTCCTGCGCCGAGTTCTTGCTGGAGGAGGCGGTCTGGCACGACGCGTCGCTCTCCGTGTTGTTGCCGCAGTTGCACTTCTCGCCCGTCACCGGGTCGCACGTGTCGCCGTGCCCGTGGCACTCGCATCTGGATAGTCAAGTGAAACTTCTTTATGCACACTTAAATGGGGGGTAAGATGGTGAATGCGTGACTAAAAGTGTAAAACGAACGAGGCCAACGTTTGTTGCCATGGTAACCGCTGTTATTGTCTGACAAATGATATATAATAATTCTTTCCTTAAACGATATTCTATAAATATATGATTGTATTATGCCTAATATGCGTTCTTTCTAGTATCTCACGTATCCTAATTATTTAAAACATAAATTGAATTTCATAAAGAGTACCGATAATCTACAGAAGTTTTACTTCTTGCGCGTGTACAGATTCATACACGCACTCTTTGATTTTTAATACGCGCGAAGACCATTTAATAAGACATATATATCTACGAATACATAAGAAAAAGATTATTTAAATCGAAATGCTAGAATTTTTTACAATAAAGCCGGCGCGATTTTGTAAAATTATAATGCTCTGCATAATTCTATTATAAATAAAAAAAACCCTCCTAATCCTTTTGCGGATTTCAAAATCATTAGGGTGTACAAATATGAAATATGCTCCATTCATATATTTACGAGTAACTTTAACGACTAATTTTATTTTAACCAAAGATTTAGAATATATCGATATTAGGTATGTTGTCATTTCCAGCCTTCAAATATGTAAATAATCAAAATAAAGCTAACTATACAAATAAAATATGAAAAAAAAAACAAAAACATACGGTCGGCAGGGGTCTCTGAAGTCTTCCGAGCCCCTGAAGTACCCCTCGATGCATCGCTCGCATCGAGGCCCGTCGGTGTTGTTGGCGCACCGCACACACCTAGCCTTCGCCGCACCCTCTCTATAGTACTCTTCTAGATCCGCACTACTAATATCACGTACAAGAGATACGTCCACGTCGTTCGTACAGACGGATGTATGCCCATGGCAATATACGGAACAGGGTATGCACTGCCCGTTGTCAGTTGGGTCGCCTACGAAGTTTGGCTTACACTTTTCACATTGACTGCCCTGTGGACAAAATAATGACAATATATAATGATTCCTTCATACTAAGTGCCAGTTCGAGACAATTTGGAATCGAAATATTAAAATCCAAACAGTACGTGATCGCCCATCGATTTTAACGCAAAATGCTGTTTAAGTGCGAGGGTTTTACAAAAAATATAAATTTTCATGGCGTAAATTTACAACCTCAACCAACCTACCCTAAAGCTGTTTTCCGAATATCATATAAAAGTAAGTATGATATCGCGGTATCGCGTCATTCGTCTCACCTAGCACGCCCCGCTCGATTGCTCTAGAGGCCCTAGTTAGACGACTGTATGGATTAATTGACTGTGTTAGTATGTAGTAATAAATTGAAACTATATATAATAAACTCAAAAATAACAATCAAATAATCTAACTTAAAAAGCCAGTGGTAGCTCAGTGTCAAATCCCGGGTCTCGCACCAATGACATTTTCATTTGCGAATCATTTCCAACATGATTACCACTTGCTTCAAGGTGAAGGAAAACATCGTGAGGAAACCTGCATGTTTGAGAGAACTTAGTAAATTTTCTAAAGCCATGTGTAGTCCGCCAACCTGCACTTGGCCAGCGTGGTGGACTATGGCCTGATCCCCCTCGTATTGAAGGGTGGGACGTTAAAAACAGCTAAATACACATAATAAAATGTAAACAATAAAAAAGAAAGTACCCACCATAGTGTTGTTATGGCACTCGATGCACACATCCAACTTGTCCGGGCCCTCGCAGTGCGAGTGGCCGTTGCACTGGCACTGTATGGTGCAGTTGGCGCCGACGTAGCCGAAGTCGCAGCGGCAGCGGTCGGGCTGCACGCAGGCGCCGCGCACGCAGCCCTGCGAGCACACGGCCGCGCACGCGCCGCCCACGCGCTTGTGCCCTGCGCCGCACTGGCACTCGTAGCCCGAGGGCAGGTCGCGGCACACCTACCGCATGACACATCGTATTACATTTATAGATTAAATGTTTTAAAATAATATTTCATTTTAGTTTATATAAATTAATATATTACTGTATCATAATTGAAATGAAAACATCTATACTAGAATAATATTACAAAAAGGTAAAGTTTGGAGTTTGTGACGTTGTAGTGGGTAATTTCTGAATCTCCTAAACCGATTGAGATAAAATTTTGTAAGAAGATAGTTTGAGACCCTGGGTCCTTCCTAGGATACTTTTTATCTCAGAAATCACCCCTTAAGCGGCTGAAAATCTGGATGAAAGTTTGTAATGGGAAGCAAGCTAGGGACGAACCCGAGCGAAGCGAGGGTGAGTCGCTAGTTTTAAATAAAACAAAAAAAATGCAAAAAAGAATATTGATATCTATTCCGAATTTTTTAAATAGATTTTTCAAGGGAAATTTTATATTAATTGTATGCTGAATTATTATGAATTACTTGTACTGTAATTGGAGCCATTGGTTTGTACAGAATACAAACATATTCAATCATTTTAATCTTCAATAAACAATAGATAGTAAAGATGTTATCACAAGTCCATCTGACGATTATACTCGAGACTCGAAGCTAAAACGATTGTTCAAATATTTAAATATTTTCATAACATGTAAATTTATGATCTTACCTCAGATTCAGCTTTACATTGATGATGATTATTTTCACATTCATTTTCAGGTGGACAGCGAGTGTAATGCCACGAGAAGGTGTCGTTGGTGCCGTTATTTTGATGTACGTTTGAATAAACAGCGGCACAAGTTGTGCGAGTTGAATATTCCAAGGGGGAATCGATAGAGCCTTCTGTACACACACCCTCTCCATTTTCACCCTCGAGAGCACACCACCCACAGTGTGAATGATGTAGACATTCAGTACATTGCTCGAAAGTGTCACAAGGGGCTGGACACTTGTTTTTGTCTGCTTTACTTAACACTAATCCACAGACTCCACCCGCACAATACACAGGCTGATAAGCAGGAGAAATGCACGTCCCGAGATAACTCGCCCAGTGACACTCGGAAAAACCTCCTTCTGCACCGTCTGACCCCAAGCAAGAATTACAATCATCATATAAATGACATCGGCTAGGGCACTCTTTTGTCAAACCAAAGTGTATGTATGCAGGCTTAATTGACGTAGCCCATGGATGTGGCAGTTCTTCTTTTGACACACATATCCAATTATAAAGTTCTAATGGATCATCTGCTATTCTCGTTATTTGTACTAAAAACAAAAATGTATTGGATATAATGTAGATTAAACATATTAAGGAAATATAAAGTAACATAGAGAAGTCATAAATTTTACCTCCTCTATCAGCGAGTCTCGTCCACGAGCATTGATTGGAAACACACTTATCACAATCAGGAGACACACATCTCAACTCAGGGCATTGAGCTGAATCACTGATATATGTGGTGCCAGCACTACATTTGATGCTTTTGCAAGATTCATCCGTTGGTACACATTCACCTAAAACATAAATTTTCATTTGAATGATTTTTTTTAAATTAGTATATTTAAACGAAATATTCCATGAACTTTTACCTATACGAGCTGCACAGGTCTCACACCATCGACAAGCAGGTTTCTCTTCAGGGTACAGAGGCCATGCAGCCAAACATGACGTGCAGGTTGTAAAGTTTTCGCACGGGCGCCTTGCTACTAAATCAGCATCACAGGAAGCGCCTGCATTAGTCGATATTCTATCGCTACCTTCACATCCAGGTTTATCTACAGAATAGCACTTCGTATAATCTCCTGTGCTGCAGAAACTACATCCCATATGACTTCGGCATTCGATTTTACTAGAACTCCATAGAGAACATAAATCATCTGGCAAAGTTACGCGCGTGACTTGACAATTAGCGCTGCCGGTCCAACCTCCTACTATGAAAATATTCCAATCACTTTCCGACTCCATGTCTATAGCCATCGCGTGAGCTATGGTGCGTGGCGGTGGGTGATCTAATACACTTGAACCTGAAAAAAGAAATACTCGTGTTTACATGGGACATTTCATCGGAAAGCAAAGAATTTAACAAAATTATATACAAACCTTTAGAGAGCTTGACCCATTGATTACAACTGTACATGTATGCGATAAGAGAATTAGATCTTCTGTCAGGTACTGTCCTCCCACCGAATACGATCATGTAGTCGTTTGTTGTAACTGCCGAATGTAAATATGTTGCTCGTGGCAAATTGTCGTGGATATTATTGAGGCTAGGGAAAGTGGGTAATTCGCTCCAACTTTTAGAGGGATAATGGAACGAGAAGAGTTTGTTTGATATGGTAGTTCCGTTATACATATACAATATACCGCCAAATACGTAAAGACTTTGAGAAGGTGCATGATATACGGTGCTATGACCAATAATTCCAACCGGCTTAGCGCCACCACAAGTCAACTTAACCCATTTATCATTGTCTAGATCAAATTCCCACACATCTGTCATAAAACCTTCTTCCAAAGAAAACCCTCCAATTAGTACTAAACTTTCGTAGTCTTGATATTTTTGCAATGTCAATGTGTGCCCAGCTAAAGGTGGAGGATGTTCTTCCTTTTCCTTAATTTGGCTCCATCGTTGTTCTTTGAGGCCAAACTGCCAGAAATCGCGTAGTGTTTTGTTATGACCACTTTTTTCTTGTAAACTTAAACCTCCATAAATGTATATATTTTGTTTAAAATGATATATCTCGGCAGCGTGGAAATATCGACCTTCAGGCATTTTTGGATCAGGTGTAGCATCTACCGTAACTGGTGTCCAAGTGTTATTTTTTGTGTCATAATATCGTATATCGTTAAGTGGCCCATGAGAAAGCGAATACCCCCCAAACATCCACAAGCCTCGCCTATCTGCTACTAAGCTATGACCAAATCTAGGCAATGTCTTCTTTAGGTGATCCAAACCATCAGCTAGATAATCAGAGTTAAATAATTCTGTGAAAACAAGTTGCGATTTGTCTAATTTTAGCGAGCAGTCATCACCGCCTATTCCTTCATTGCAAAGGCATCGCCCGTAGCTCATGTCGCACACACCACCCTTCAGATGGCTGCTGCAGTTATTACGACAGATCTCTACATTACATTCGAATCCACCATATCCATCTCTACATACACAGTGTCTATTTTTGCATTCTCTAGGCCAGGAGCAATGTCCGTCACATGCCAATATATTGTAAACACCTTCAAACCCTTGTTCCGGTTGACTTTGTTTATAATGCACGGTTAGATTTCCACTACGTGCTTCAACGACACCCGAAGAAGCCCCGTTACAAAAGACGCCCAACAGCTGACTTTGCTGATTATTGTTTAAACGGGGATCGCCTCCTAAACCATCATATACGTAAACAGCGTTTTGGTCGCATGGCACATTGAAAGTAGAAGAATTCACACTGAACTGAATAATCGCATCCTTAACATCTTCTGATGAGATAATCCATAAGCATTCTTTAGCGGGCCCTAAATTTTTAATATCGGGATCAGTTTTGTAAGAGCCGATGCCTTCTGTCTCAGATGCATTAAGCATACCTCTAGGTTCACATTGATAGTAACATTTGCCTCCGTGTCGAGGGTCTCCATAAAACTTTGGCTTACAGCGCTCACAGTTTTGTCCTTCCGTATTATCTTTGCAAATGCATTCACCGGTTGCTACGTCACAAACACCGCGAGTCTCGTCACCGTGGTCGTTGCAATCACAACGTCGACAACCTTGTCCTGTAGTCGCATTGCCATGACTACCAGGCTTACAAGATTCGCAGAATTCACCTTCCGTCCAATCCTGGCATTCGTCACATCTTCCTACACCTGTTCTGCACGTAGAATGATTGTGACAGCCGCAATTAATCGAGCAATCAGCACCTGTCCAACCTAAGTCGCAATTACATTTATACTGTGGAGCACCTAAGCAGTAGCCATGGATACAATTATTGTAACACGTTCGCATACAACTTTTCTTCCCGTCACCGATATAGCCCTGTTTACATTTACAAGTATAGGAGCCATGAGTGTTGTTACAAACGGCATGCTCGTGACAGTCGTGAAGCCCCAACCCGCACTCGTCGACGTCGGGACACTGCGCGTACGCCCAGCCCGCGTCTGTCGAACTCACATTTAGAAGCGAAGCGCAGTCGATATGAGAACGAGTGAAATCTCCCTCTGTACACATTCCATTTATGGGATTTTCAAACGAATGACACCAGCCGCATCCCATACTCCTCAAGCACGTCGAACACTGCGTATGAGCTTGACAGGATTTGCACTGGCCGGCTTTCCTGGTGGCGTCGTCCGTGGGCGTGGAGGCGCGGTCGAGCCACTCGCGGCACAGGCCGAACTGGTACTCGCTGGTGTAGACGCTGAAGCTGAAGCACTGGCGCGTGGCCTCGCACCACACGCAGCGGCCGCGCTCGTCCAGGCAGTGCTCGCAGTCGCGGCGCAGGCGGCAGGGCGCGGGGCACAGCGCGCGCTGCGCCACGGCGCCGGCCGCGCGCCCGCGCCGCGCGCACCGCGCCTCGTCCGCCCACCACTCGCAGTGGTTGCCGGCCACGCAGCGCTCGCAGCTGATGTAGTTGGAGCAGTTTGGGCAGGCCGCCGGCTGCAGCGTCAGGTAGCGCCACTCGCCTTCCGCGGCACACGTCGTCTTCTCCTCAATGTTCCTCTCCTCGCAGCGGTTGGTCAAGTCGCACCACCCGCACGCCGCATCCGATAAGCAGAGTAAGCAGTTGTCGTAGCTCGAGCATTGTCCATTCGAGTATGGTTCCAAAAATTCAAAAGTGAATACCTGAATTTAAAAAATATATATTTAAAGAAAACAACGCAAAATAGATTAATTGCACTTCTATTATAGATTTATGCAGAAGTGCTCATTTTCGCTGAAACAGCTTGACGGATTAGGATAAGAAGCAAACTATATAATATAACTATATGATAGACTATATAAGATAATCTGGAGGTAAAAAACGCTACTTTTCGACAAATAGCGACGATCCCGAGCAAAGGTAAGTTGCTAGTTTATGATAAGTTTTCAAAACAAAATAATGCATTTTTAAAATTTAACTAACCTTGGCACTCTCCTGTGATTTATTATGAAGGAGCTCCATTTTGGCATGATGATGAGACGGATAGAGGCCGGTGTGGAGGGAGTCGTTTGCGTGCATGTCGACACTGAGGCGGCCGGGCATGAGCGCGGGCCAGTCCACGGGCGCGCAGGCCGAGGGCTGCGCCGTCAGGTTGACGAGGGGCTCGGCGGCGCCGCCGAGCGTGAGGGACAAGTTGGAGTAGCCGGCGCACGCGTGCAGCGCCTCGCCCGTGCCGTTCCAGTGCTGCGGGATGTGCAGCCAGCCGCGCAGCCGCGCCTCGCTCGCACCACTAAAGATATGGTTGCTGCCTCCGCCGGTGCCCCAGTCCACGGTGGTCGCGTTGATCACAGACACACCATCCGGATGGTTCCAATCAGCTGGTTGCTGGTAGCGCAGAAACGTCAGACCTGGTCGCTTATCCAATATCTTGCATTGGTCTGGACTCGTCACTTCGGTACCTGTCGATCCCCACCACCCGGGATTTTCTGAAGGCGTATCTTCACCGCATACTCCATAGTTATCTATAATTATACATATTTAAGATATATTTTCCATAACAAAATTAAGCATTACCGATTATAGTTAGTAAAGAACCTACCATCTTTATGATGACATCGTGCGTTTTGAACACACCAACTACACTGATATAAGCCCAGTTTAGTACTAACAGACGTTAACGGCGTACGCGTGCTGTTTTTATCCAGCGGAGGTCCGTGGATGAGACACGAGTGACAGTCTCCAAGCGCTGGACAGATCCCGCCACATCGAATAGATTGCAAATTAGTAGTGCAGTTTGATCCAATTGTTCTTCCATAGCATATCTACAAAAAGTCGGACGTAACAAATTAAAAATATTTGTAATCAACTCAGTAAAAGTTATTGAATTTCGTATTAACTTTATAAAATAAATTTTGTTTTTTTAATGTTACATATTGTAGGCAATAAATTAAATTATTAACATAAATTTTATAGGAAAGGAAGCGTAAGATGCAATGAGCTTTACTACTGAAAACTTAATGATATGTACTACTCAGAAATAAGCAAACCGAGATGTACAACTTACATCATCAGCTGAGCACCATCCGCACTCGGGGTCTGCCAGACATTCCGGTTGCGTGCGATGTCTTGGACAAGCTGTTTCTGGATCTTTATTTGTAATACCAGCGTGCCAACTGGGAACTACGTACGCTAGAAGGTCACCTAAAAGAAGTAAACAAAACAATAAATACCAATGTTTGTAAAGTAAAATGGTCTTCTTTATAAGTGCAAGACAGTTTACCGGTTTTAAATATGCCTACTGTTGCCTACCGTTTTGTTTATGATCATGTATTTATATTTAACAAGGTTTTATATAAAAAAATATTTATATAAAATAAGGTTTTGATATTTCAAATACTGTATAACATAATAATATGTTAGTAATTTTTCTTAAGATATATTTTTGAAGTGAAAACTTCTATAGACAGGTTTGGATGGGGAGTAAATTCATGTAAGTCGTCATCGACATGGTCACGTGACGTGTTGACACTAACACTCAAGAGTAGGTACCGATAGATGTCAAAATCAGATAAATGTAAACAGTTTTAATTTACAAATTTTAATTTAAGATCATACAATTAATTTAAATATCCAAAAATAACAAAACGTTTATAGTTTTAAGTTTTCGCTTTTGTCGGCAGTCCTTATGACTGCTTTTGAAGCAAATTTTTCTTTTTTTTTTAGAAAAATGCTTATGTTCAAAAAGTAAATAAATAATGTAAAATAAGTAAAATACGACAAAGACCTAGAAAAAACATAGCAATCCATTATCACTAAATAATAAATATTAAAATACAAGAACCTATTCAACAATACTACTACATATGTAAATTCAATTGAAATGAGTGAAAGAAAACTAATTAAATTTTATTATGTCAACAATTTATTTTAACAGTGTTGCAAAATAATATGTAACATTAGCTTAGTGACTCACACACGACCATTATGTAAAATCACATGATTTCAAGACAATAAAACGACATATGTGACTGAATTTAATACTCGATATTAACATTTGCGCGATATTTATTAGTGATTCGCCAAATTCAAACCCTAAGCACAGATCGTGCGTTTGAAGAATAAACGTTACTGACATAGGATACCCTAAATTACCCTATGGCCTCTCTATGCGAAATATCTTCGACTGCGTGATAGACACACACACACACACTTTGCCGCTTATGTAATACTAGCGACTCAGCCTCGCTCCGCTCGGGTTCGTCCCTACTTACGTTTTAACGTTTAGTATAGATTTCTCAGAGATGAAATATTTTCCCGCAGTAAAAAGTATCCTATATGTTGACTCGGATAACCAGCTATCATCATACAAAATTTCATCATTCGGTCAGAGAAAGACAGACAAAAATTCTGAAAACTATATATTGGGCCTCTGCATCGATAATAATGTCTATTTCAATAAGACTTTCCAAAAAATATTTAATGTACAGACTCGGCTTAGGTACAATTTTATTAAAAGTATAGAAGTCGATTAACCTTATGTGTTATAGATACATTTTAATAACCTAAAATGTCATTAAATCAAGTAGATAGTACTTCGTTCCATATAAACACGCCCCCTCCCCCCCACGTGCGTTCACCTTGTCGTGGTGGGGGGGCTCAGTAGTGCCAGGCAATACCGCCGGGCGCGAAGCCAAGAAACGCACAGTCAGGTGGACACTTCGGTGGGCCGTGGGAGGTGGCCCTCTTCGGAGGGCGGTGTACCATGCGGGTTGCTCCTGGTACTTCTCTGATAGCAGAGTGGACCTTGGAGCAACCCCGTGGTTGTTGTGGTCTGCTTCGGCAGACCTGCCGTCGGGGCGTCGTAGTTGAATGAGTAAGCGATCCTGCGACGGCCCATTAAGACGGGGGAAGGCTTTGTTGGGTTTTAGTGGGTAGTACTGGCTTTGCCGGTGAGTCCCACACCTCGTTCGTAAATGCATTTCCCAACGTTAAAAAAAACTTCGTTCCATATAAAAATACTATAGTAACATTGTCTTTTTAACCTACTTCAAAAAAGGAAGTTATCAATTCGACACGTATGTATGTAATATTATTGGAACTGCAAAATATTAAACTATTTTCACAACAAATTGTAACCTAATATTATTACGATCTAGCCAAAAAGGCTAATATCAGTAATTTAACTTTAACTTAGTTTTATAAAATAATATATCTAAGAATGTGTCCAATAGCACTTTTCTTATAGTCTCTTGTTCTAACTAAGCCAAATCTGTACATTAAATATTTTTTGGAAAATCTTATTGAAAATGTCATTATTATCGATACAGAGGCCGAATCTATAGTTTTTAGAATTTTTGTCTGTCTGTCTGTTACCGCATCACAGAAAAACCACTGGAGGGATTTTTATGAAATTTGGTATAGTGATAGCTGGTTATCCGGGTCAACATATACTATACTTTTTACCGAGGGAAAATATCTCATTTCTGAGAAAAAATACAAAAACTGCAATGTAAGAGTACTATATGTAAAACTTAAGAATTTGGTTTTTGTTCATCTGAACGCGGGCGGAGCCGCGGCAATGCTAGTAGTGAATAAGAAGCTTTTATTTCGACTTTCCAAACAGGCACCGAAAGTAAGTTAAAATTTCTAGCATATTTTTTTACATGGTACTGTTAATGCGTGAGATCTTAACAACATACATGTAATAAATTCACAACTTGTGTATGTAAATATATTTGCACGTATAATTTGCAGCCTTATAAAGTAAACATCGACCTTGAAACTATAACGTAGTCTTAATTATTATATTGTTTTTATCTTTCCTTATACAGCTTTATTATTTAAAATGTCTATTTAATGAAATACGATATTTTTACTGTAACGCTTAAATAAAACACAAATATTCAATGTCTTTTTGCAATTGTCTTTACATTTTGAAATCATCTTAGTTACATTTCAAGATTTGCATAGGTTTGTTTCACTTTTAGTGTTCATAAAAAAAATTAAAGCACCAACATAAGCATATAAATAACCATTATAAATAAAGTAGAAAATTAATTTCACGCCATTTATATAAACACAAGAAGAATATAATACTTTTTATTTATCCAATAGCTATTTTAGAATGATCTGTACAAAGAAGTGTGCAAAATATCTAGGACGGTCGCCATGACCATGTCATTATGCAAACGAACCATAACGTTTGAATGTTAGCAATTATCTTACCATTGACATTGCCGTGATAGCCTCCGGCGATGAGAAGAGTGGAGGGCGGCTTCAGAGCAGCCGCGTGTGCAAATACACCTTGCTTCTTGGGATAATACTTTCGAGTTTTCCCCAAAACGTCCAATGGTATCCATGAATGACATCCCAAATGATATAGATACATCTGTCCATCATAGCAGATCTCCTCTCTATTGTGTCTGTGAGAGTACCCACCGAACACCACCAGGTAGTTACCTGAAAATAAGTTGAGTTATTTGAAAAAATCTATGACATAACAAGGCATGATGTACGTTGTATTTAAAATCAATCTTAAAGGAAAATAATTAACATTGGCGTATGGAAATTTAATAGCATATTAAATATCGTGACTTGTATTAAGTATTAACTGTTGATGAGATGTTTTTTTATCTATACATGTAACATTTATTACCGTACGAGGCTCATAGTTCTATATCAGAGTTATGTAACCAAATTTATAATAATAATAATAAGTTTTTTTTTTTAATTTGAAGCAAGGTTTTAAAATCAATTGTAAAGAAAAAATGTATAGTTTCTTAAATTAAAATAAACATTTTATGCGCTAACGTATCTGAAAACGCTAAAAAGATGGATGAACTAGAAGAAATATATCGGGTTCGATCTATTAAGTCCTGAACCACCTTCTGTTATTGAGCATTATCTTAACGAATAATCGGATTTTTAGAGCTATAACTTAATGTTATATTTATAACGACACGTTCGGCACAGTTTGTAGTGACCCTACTTGCCGTGCCAGCGGTCGCGGGTTCGAATCCCGCTGGGGGCGTTCATTTGTGTGATAAGCACGAATGTTTGTACTCCAGTCAAGGAGTTTTATTTTTAATATGTATGTATTTAAAATTATATTATCATGTGTATTGTATCAACTATCTGGTATCCATAACACAGGCCTCGTAGCTTACCATGGACTACCATGGACCACTAGATGGTGTGTATGTAAATGTCCTAACCTCACGTTCACTATACCTACTTTAAACTATTATAAATTTATTAATAACGTTATTCACCTCGTATTGAAGAATATTTTTAAAAAATTACTACAGCGATATAAATATATTTTATTTGCTATACAGCTTATTATGCTATACAGGCCAGGCTGAAATAAAACTTAAAATCATAACCCTGACCTCTCTGGCCCTGGAGCCAGTCACATAAATGTTGCAAGCTCGGTAAAAATTTGCAGGTAACACCACAGGGAAAAGTTAGTTTATAAATAACAACACATTTACCAATGACAGTGGCGGTGTGGAAGGCTCGCTCGCGCGGGACGTAGGTGTCGCGCAAGTGAGCGCGAGGATAGTGTATCTCGCTCCAGTGCCTGTAGTCTAGGTCGAAGGCGAACATACGGTCTGACAGCTTGGAAAATCTAATTGAAACAAAAACGTGAATAATTTATAAATTAAAGCAAGATTTAACTATTTATATGAAATAAAATAAAATATTCATAAACTGTTTTTTTTTTTGTAAAATTCTCTGTTTCTGTTAAATAACTAAAACGAAGTTGTACTGGAAATCACGGATTCGATATTAATTATGAAATTAAGTTACATTACCAAACATAGAAAATAAAACATCATTTTGAAAAATTATGTGGCAATTGTAATATTTGCAAACATTCATTACAATAAATTTAAAACAAAAGGTGACATTGGAACGGCCGCGGCCGGCGAAACAAATTCTTTATTTTAACGACTTAGAATAATGCCAAGCCAAGCATTGGGAAATGATCGATGGTAATTAATAATGGAAATTACTATTCCTTTTTCATTGCATAAATTACTATATCGAATTTTATTGGTGTTGGTTTAGCAATCAGCCGTAAAACGGCAACAGACAGACAGAGAGGTGCACATATAAATAAATAAAAAACCTTTAAGCCATAATATATTTAAACAGAAACAAAACACAAAGCAAATAAACAAACACAAACCTGGCAACACTCGCAACGACACCACCATACACCAGTATAGAGTTAGAGTGGGCGTGGTAGGCGGCGGCGTGCGCCACCACGCGCACGTCCAGCTCCTTGCCGCCGCGCACCTGCACGCGCTCCCACCACTCCGTGCCGGCCTCGCCCACTTTTATTTTGTACAGACTGGAAAATAACTAGTATTATTATACGGATAATATACTAATAGGTACTTATTCTTCTACTGTAGTAGTAGGAGAGAGCATGTTTTTACATTTACCTTGTAATCTACGTAATAATATAATCTATATTTATATAATGCTAACGACGCAATGTTCCCTATGTCAAGCATCACGTAAAAACTACTAAACGTATCGGTATGGGACTTTGAACAATCGACGCGAGATCGTCTGTAGACGGCTTTAGGCTATTTATTGTTTGAATTCCACATATTCTTTACCATTTTTTTAAATTTACTTTCATAAATATTTTTTCCCGCCAATAAAAACAAAAGACGTTACACTTATTTGTTTATTATATATATTTTTTTTTATTTAAACTAAATTTTTTAACCCAAACGGATAGACTCAATATATTAATAAAAAGGGGGAAAAATACTAAATTACATTACTACCTACTAAGTTAATGCGTTTATACTTCTTGATATTGTAACGGTTCAACGGATTTGAATACTTAATCTAATATCCATATTTAACACATACTAAGTGAAGTAGATATTTAATTTTTTTTTAATTACTGTGAATACACAAGTATTTTTAGCAAAAAAAGATTAAAACTAAACTTACCTAGAAGAGAATTCGCCCTCAACAGTGCTTCCACCAAACAAATACAGTTCATCCTTAACCGCCGTCAACGTGTGGCGCGTCAAACCCGGCGGAACGAAAGTAGAATTTACCGCACGTAGCGTCCAAGAGTTTGCCAACGCATCGTAGTACCATAACTCCGAAGACAAACTCCCATCGGACAACTTCCCACCGTACAACATGAAACCGTTGTCAAAAGCACACGCAGAATGGCCATATCGTGGTTCGGGCTTCGTATTATTAGATTTGAGATTCGAACTTAGAAATTCTGGTCGGTCGGTAAATTGCAAATAGCTTTCGGAGTAAGGTGCCGCAGAGGGCGCGTACATGAGTGGTAGCGTGGTCTTGTCATGGTGCGAGAATGATGTCAGAAGTAAATTAAATAGAGAACTCCGATTGCCTATCTGCCAACTACCGTCAACATTACCCTGCGAAACATACAAACTTAAGTCTCGAGAAACAGACACAATACATACATATATACATACAGAGGTACATATCTCTTATGCATCACATTTTGAATTCGCTAACATTATGAATGCTAAACTAAAAAGATATTAATGAAAAAGTTAGTCAGTACCTACATTAATAAATGTGCGAGTTGTTTATTTCTCTACAATATAATTGTTCAACAGATAACGGATTTGAGTAAAATTCACAATGGAGATAAATTATATATTTACTGGATCAACACGTATTTACCGCAAGATTAGTTACATAAAATACCTACTTTCTACTAATCTTTCTTACAATAATAAAAACTCTTTATATTATATTGTAATGTCATCAGATGAAGCATATTGTGACAAGGTCTACTGCTACTACTAGTCCTAATCAATATTAAATGAGTTGTGATGATATTAACGCTAACGGCTAAACTGATTTTGATTAAATACGTATATAATATTAGAAATATCCAAATAAATCTGCCGTATAAAAAAACACTAATGATATCGCTCTGTAGTTTTGTGAGCTAAGATGTCTGCAATAATTAGAGTTTTGACAGCAAAATAAACACACGTTGCAAACTCCAACATCACATATGTTGCGGCAGTTCAAAAACTCGATACATATTTAACATCTACATATCTACATATTTAAACAACAATACTATCAAGCACCACGGAACCGGATGATTAAATACGTCAACGTAAAGACAAACAATTATTTTATTAGAATAGTCACAATGTCCTTGATCCTTGATTAACATATGTGGTAACTCAATATCCTACATAATAAATATAAAATAAGAGGTTTTAAACGAGTTTAACGCGAACATCTATAATTCATTTATATGTAAGGTAAATGATTTTTAATTGGCTTTTTGTTTTTCGACTAATTATTATTATTAGACATTAACAAAAATAAATTAGATAGCTCGCATATACCCACATATACTATAAATGTTTCATCTGTTCACAAAATTGTTTTATCCTAGTACATGGTAATTGGTAGCATTGATAATAATACTTACTCACCTTGGTAAATAACGTTAACAAAGATTTATCAATTTCTTCATTTGAAGGATAACGACGTAATACTTTTCCGTTTTCGTCATACCACTGACTAGTAGAAAATCTGCAGGACAAAAATGTGATATATCAAGGGAATATTTAAACTACGACTGTTATAAATATGTACATATACCACCTTTGCTAACTAATTATATTGTTTGTTAATCTCTGTATTTTACATATAAGTGCAATAAAGAATAGTATATATAAAACCTTTTTAACATACTCCCAATTTTGTATTTGTTCAAATAGTTATATGCGTTATGATACTGTTATATTTTATTGAATAAAAAAATATTGAGCTTTATGTAGATAAAGTATTTGTATGTATGTAGCATCACACTAATTCCTTGCTTTTACTTTCTGAGGTCCACTCAGAAGTATAATTTTTGTTCACTATCCCATGGAAACTGTACATTTTTCTAGGATAAAAAATAGCCTATGTATTATTCCAGACTATAATCTAGCTCTGTGCCGAATTTCATCAAGATCCATTCAGCCGTTCTGGTGTGAAAGAGTAACAAACATCCATACTCACAAACTTTCATGTTTATAATATTAATACGGATTTTGATTAAAAACAAACAAGAGTAATTTGTGTGCTCAAAATAAACTTCCCCCCGATCAGTAAATCAAATGAATCTTTGGTGCAATTTCCAATATGAACAAATTTGAAAACCAAAAAATATACATGTATCAGTTATTTCAGTTTCTGAACTTCTTATTTTAGATTATAAATGATTATAATATTACAAATTAATAATTTTACAATTATATAACAATATATGTATAAATATGAAATTCATGTAAACTTACCTATAAATTTCCAATAAACCTAAAACTCTATTCAGATCATATCCTCCAAACACATACAAGGAATCAGTCTGGTTAACATACACAGCAGAATGAGCAGCCCTCTTGGTCATACCACTTTCGGTGTGAGAAAGCCAATGCCAGCTATTGCCTTCTTTATCAGTACTTTTTAGCGAACATGATTCACCAGAATACCTAAAAATCATTAATTTATTATTTCTACAATAAAGGCAATATATGAGAACAGAAGGTTGAAAGATTTATATACCATGGTATTACTTATAACGGAGTCCCATTGAACATAATCAATAATAGTTTAATACAAAGGCAAAAAGTAATAAAAACTGAAATCCAACATTTTTTAATTCTTAATGAAGAAAAGATATGCATATTGTGAGGAGGCAAAAAACTACAACTATATATAATAACTATATATGTATATATCTGCATATATTAAAATATAGCAGAAATATCTTATTTATTCCAAATTAATTATTACATTTTGTATATGAAAACACTAATTTTGAAAGCTTTTATATTATTATTTTTATTTTAAAAATAATCTCTATAATATTACAAATTAATAATCTTAATATTATTATTAAACTCACCCTTTTTTACACAAACATCTGTCACCCTTACACTGACCGTTTCCAGAACATCCATTGGGGCAAAGTTCTACACTACAATCTGGTCCTCCCCATGTACCCACACAAAAACATTTGTTTGACATACACAATCCTCGACCAGTACAATTATTTGGGCAGTTGTGAATGGCATATGTTGCTCTAAATCCATCTAATACATAGTTGGTATCACTGTAGAGTAATATTAGCATCTACAAAAACAATAATATCTTAAAATTTTCTTCAATATAACTTGGTGGTCAATTTTATATTAGGTTAATAATTTTACTTACATATCCACTAGACGCAGTAACGTTTTGTGGTTCTGTTTTTCCACTAAAGCTCCCCAATAATGGAGCATCAAAGGAATCACCATCATACACAAAAACATAGTCATATGAACACTCTGTGCCCATACGAATGAAACTTAATGTTATGTACTGACTCTTATTAGCTGCTTTAATGAGCCATTCACAATGTGAATCCTAGAAAAAGTATTGGTAACTTTTATTATATGGAAATTTACTGCAAAAATATCGAATATTTTAATAAACTAACTTGTGTATAATTAGAATTACTGGGCCCATCGGTGATTATGCCACTTGGATCTGTGAAAATTCTACGAGTTTTGTCGCAGGGCGCTATAGACGCAGCGCACAGCACAGCCAGGCAAGTCCAGCTGAGAACTACTAAACTTGCACCTTTCTCCCGAATGCGTGGGTAAAACATGCCTCTTCCAATTTTTTCCAAAACATAAGTCAAATATCTGAGCCATATAATCGTGAAATTACGACTAATATCACTAAAATGTTAAATAAACAACACTCATTTATATGACATGTACTTCAAGGCTAACTACTATAAAATATGGATATTTCTACAGGGACTTCAATAACATTAAAACTGTTTAGAAAGATACAGTTTTTTTGGAAAATTACTTATAGTCCTAATATTAATGACATTTTAATACTTTCTAACGAGTTTTCACAAACAAACAATCAAATCCATCACAGTATTTTGACATTTCTGCACACGTTCAATTTTTTTGTTTCCTTATCTGTGTCGTATGACATGGGTAGTATTGTAAAGTGCCTTGAAATATATCATATTTTTTGTTATATTTTTTATTTTTTATATCCTAAAAAATATAACTTATATTTTAGTTAACTATGTCTAATTTATAATTTATTATTTAATATTATTACTATAAATCTACTAAGTTACCAATACTAATATAGATGGCGCTTTAATCAATGTACAAATGAGGAGCGTCGGAACAAAAACCCATAAATCACATTTGTGAATTGTGTTGTTTGTGGAAAAATGTAAAAGTATGTCCAAATTCATAGTTTTCTAATTTAGAGTTAAACAAAATCTATCAATTTACTAGTTTTAGCATCAATCTTTGGAAACCTAAATTCTCTTTAAAAAAATAATTTTTATTTATAATAATTCGGATTTAGAGCGGATTTATCATTTATCAACCAGATTACATTAACCATAGCAAGATATGTACGAGAGGCAACATGAAAAAAAAACATGTCATAAATAAAAACTTAAAAAAAAACGACTTTCAGGCACAAAATGGAAAAAATAACTAAACGGTGGTTTTTGCCGACGCATAAGAAATCTAATATATTTTGATACGTTCATTCATATTTACCTATTAGATATACATATCTTAAAATATTGTCCGCTGGCACCGACTTCGAAAATATCTGATTAGGTATCTATTCTAAATGAAAACCCCCGTTTAGTTATTTTTTTTTTACATTTTAGTGCCTGGAAGTCGGTTTTTATTTAATTTTTTATTTTTCCATTTTTAGTGTAGACGTAATAAATAGGTAATTTTTAAGAAGAAAGATTTTTTATAAATTTAAACCATTTATTTAAAAATAATAATTAATGTTGATTTTTTAATAACCGCTCGACCGATTTCGATAAAATTTATATGGGACCACCTGGGAAGTATACCCTTTCAAACAAAATAAAAAATTTCCAAATCGTTTCAGGCGTCTTAGAGTAATCGATGAAATACATTAAAAAAAAGATTCCGACGAATTGAGAACCTTCTCGTTTTTATAAGTTGGTTAAAAATGTGATTTATCGGTTTTTATTCTGACCACAAACCAGACACAGACAGTTCTGACCATCTTGTTGTTTTTGGTTATGGTTCTAACGCTCCTCAAATGTAATGAACAGCAATAATTATATTTTATTAAAATGCAATGATATTGAAACATTAAACGTGTGCGCAAGTAGCAAAAGTATTCTTTATCTCATTTTATGACAGTATCATGAATGATCGATGTCGGTTTGTGTACCACCTTTTTTAAAGTTGGTAAAAAAAAGGAAACAATAAAACAAAGTAACAATATTCATACATAAATAAAAATACCCCATGCCCAGAGCTCTCTTCTATTTTTATAACGTAACTAATAAATACTAATGTTCGCCCAGTGCAGTGGTTGAAATTCGACCCTGAGGAAAAAATAATATATGTACTTATGTATAATAGAATTTACTTGTAAAAACTAATTGACTCCATTTTTTTTAAATTGATATGACTAAAACTCGTCAATAGCTACTAAACAAAGAAAGTCGATTGACAAACAGCGGAGGAAAAGGTACTGAACTATTTTTGTAGTTGCATACTTATGTATACCTATAGACTAGCAGAACCCGCAGCTTCGCTCGCGCTAAAGCTCCAAAAAATCTCTAAAAATGTAGTTTCGTACAAACTTTCATCCTCTATCTTACCCCCTTATGGGATGAATTTCGGAAAATGCTAAAACACATATTTATTTAATTTTATTGAAGAGCATTAATACCAAGTTTCAACAAATTTTGATCATAAATATTTTTTTGGATTGTATTATAAAGTGATTTCCCATGGGTATTAGGTAGGTAATCTCCCGCGGTAAAAAATAGCCTATGTTACTCTCCAGCCCACTCTCCAGCCCTCCTACTACTATCTCCACACAAAAAAAAATCACGCCAATCTACGCCATTTCGACGTGAAAGAAAGACAAACAAACAAACATCCTTTCACATTTATAATATTGGTATGGATTCCTAAGTATGTTTTAAGGATGACTAAATCGGATAAATCAAACAAATATCCCAATTTTCATCAGCTCTGGAACCTCAAAGTTCAATATGCATGATATATTTTCCACGTACTAATTTATAGGCGTGTGACATAGTTACTTGGTATTCCGTTGCATCAATTGGAGCTCATGAAAAATTTGATATTTGTTTGATTTTTATGTTTGATTTTGAATGATATAACCATATCATATCGTCTCTCATCTCTATGGTGTTGAAACGTTATGATTTTTATGGTTCTTATATGATTAGTAAGTACAGGAACGACAGAAAAGATACTTTGGTGTATTCTTAATTAGGTTAATTAATGTAACAAAACACACTAAGTTAATCTATTTAAAGGTTATATAAGATAAAGGGCAGCAGCCTTCTCCTCCACGTGCGTTCACCTCGTCGTGGTGAAAGGAGGAGGGTAAGGAGCTCAGTATTACCTGGCAACACAGCCGGGCGGGAAGGCAAGAAAAAGGAGGCAGCCCATCTCGGTGGGCAGCGTACTATGCGGTTTGCTCCTGGTACTTCTCTGATATCAGAGTGGATCGTGGAGCAACCCCATGGTTGATGTGGTCTTCGGCAAGCCTGCCATCGGGGCATCGTGGTTGAGTGCGTAAGCGATCCTGCGACGTTCCATTAAAACGAGGAAGGTTCCGTTGGTAGTAGTGGCTATGCCGGTAAGTCCCACACCTCGTGCCTAAATACATTTCCCAACATTAAAAAATATATAAGGACAGCAGCCCTGGCTTATAAGCAGTTTCATGCGCCAACACTTAAACTGGAGTCTTCATCCATAGGCATCAAATTTTCGGTTTTTGGTGGGTACAATTTTGTACCTACTTGTACTGTTTTTGTGTATAGTATTGTTGGCAACACGATTCAGAAATATTTTTGTGGTCTCCCGTGCTCTGACATAGAAATTTTTCAAATCAGTAATAGCTGTAGTTATTTATAGTTTGTTGCACTCATAATGTATTTTTTCATTTGGTTCTTCAGGCTTCTACTAGCTAAAACCAGACTATAAAACTAAGGTTTAGCAGAAATTAATAGAGTAAACAATCTTTACTTAAAAATAAGCTTGGGTATCCTATATTTTAGATCTGAACGAAATCATTATGCGTTTTCCATACTAGTACTATATAAATAATATATAATAAGCATGTGCACTTTTATTCAAATAATTATAAAGAAAACACTTAAAGGGAAAACATGTAAAAATACTTGACAGTTTTTCAATTTTTTTTTCTATGATTGGTGAGCTTGCTTTGAGTTTTAAAACCAATGGCTAAGTAGTAGGTGAAAGGTTATGATGCAAGAACAAAAGCCTGTTCAGTAGGCGGCTGAGATGAGTATCGATCGCGCGCGCTGCTGACTCGGCAGTCGCACAGCGTGGCGGGGAGTGGGATACGCACGACTCTACTCCCGTAGCCTGAAATTTTAGTCAAATAAAACAATATTAAAATATCAACTGATATTAGCAATATGAATAAAACGCTTGAATTATTTGTTATTCGTATTAATTATTTTTGTACTGTATTTCTCTAGTAACGCGGTACACAGTTCCTAAATATGTACTATATACATGTATATAATGTATAAGTGTTATTTACAAATATTATTAGTTTTTCGTATTAAATAGATTTGAAACATAAAATAAACAGAAGTAAAGCATTGAATACGTCATTTATACGTCTAATATGGAAGGGCACTAGTTCCTGAAACACAGTTTTTATTTCAGGTATTATTTGAATAAAGTCTGTTTTTTAACCGACGAAAAAAAAGGAGGAGATTCTTTTTTTTAATGTTGGACAACGCATAACTTTTTACAGTGTAATCCGATTTAGATGATATTTTTTTATTGGATAGGGTTTAGCTGAAAGCTGGTCCTATTTAAATTTGAAAAAAAAATGAACCCCTAAGTGTGGAAAATAGGGGATGATTCATTCTTCACCTACTGAATTTTTTAAAATACTTTCTTCTTACTTTAGTAACTACTATCTCTACACTATACATACTATACTTATACTTATAACTTCAATTAAAAAACAAGTTGTTTAGTGTTCTGTAAATTATATCTAACTTAATATGCATATTGGAGGAGGTAAAAATTAATAAATCATTAAACCGCACGTGAGTGGTGTTGGGGGCTGTTGAAGATTTTTCACGCGGAATGAAGTGATAACCGCTAATGACATAAAAAACGCGAACTCATTCACCAAAAACACTTAAAACTTCCTTTAAAATATGCAATTATATATGTATAAATATACAACATAAATCTAATTACCTTTTGAATGTTTTATTACCTTCAATAATAATATTTATATTTAGGTTTTATATTAAACATTATATGCTTCTAAATGTACATGGCGTCATATACAATCCCACAAAAGAAAGGGATTTCCCGGGAAGGAGAGAATATTTTTATAAAAATTCTTACATGAAATACTAAATAAAAACATCGATTTTATTATATAGGCATGATAATTACTCAATCATCAACGCAGTGTACCTGTAATAAACCTAGAAATTTGATTTTTTATTAATTAATGACGACCTCCTCAGGCTTCTAACACAGATATTTTTAATATATATGGACCATGTAAATTACTGCTGTATTTATTTTTTAC